TTGGAAGTCAGAATTTTCCGAGCTCCGAGTCAGAAATTCATCTGAAACGCACCGCTGAAGTCAGATTTGGACTCCGAAAGTCGGACGATCCTCACCAACTCCGACTTGATGACAACGCCATCATCCAAGATGGCAGCGCAGTGCATCAACAGTAAAAGCTCTTATAATGTTTTATTTATTAGCACTTCTGTTTTGTTTTTGTGAAATTAAATAAGTGGTATATGTTGTACTGCCCTACGTCTAACTGTAAACACGATGCTATGGTTTTTGTACGAGTAAAATACTAGGTTATGCTTTGTTTACAACTGGTATAGCTAGCAACAACTAACAACAACGGACAACGGCTAATGACAACTGACAATTGTTAACAACAGCTAACAATGGCTAACTGTAGGCATCCATCTTGGTTTTCCGACTTGATAACTGGTATGCAGTCAACTCAGGTGTAGCGTCATTCCAAGCTCCAACTTCCGAAGTAACTGGAATGCAGCATAAGAGCCCCGAAGTTAGTCAGCACATGTGCATTACAGATATTTTAGTGAAATCAACATGTCAGCACGCTCATACCTCACTCTGTTAACTATAACTCCATCAGTAGAAAAAATAACCCTGTCAGTCTGCTCAGACAGATGCAGAGACATGTGAGCCGGTGTTCTGGCTCATCTTGTTACCCTGTTGACTGGTGACTCTCTGTCCAGTTGTGTTGATGGGCATCATTACAACAGCTGCTGAAAAACGAAGAGAAAGACTCCTATTGGATGTCTCTGTTCAGTTACTTCAGACGTATCTGACGAGTAAATTTAGACACCGGAGATGAAGAGAGACCGTTGCTGTTTTTAACAGCTGTTGTAACCATGACAACCACCGACCCCTTCAGCTGAAAGTCTCCAGTTAACTGCATCGCTCATGAAACCAGAACACGGGTACAAGCCGCTTTTCTGTTAGTGTGAAAGGCTCACAACAACAAATAGTATATCAATAATCAATACCGTTTTATTGTGTAGCTGTCTAAATATCCCTGGTGAGAAACAAACTAGTGAACTGACTAAAGGATAACTGATTGTGATACTGAGGAATCATTTCTAGCTTCACTATTGAGTTAAAATGCTGCTTGTAAGTTTTTGAAATATTCTCACACACATTGTTTTTCTAAAAAAGACTCTGAAAATGAAACTCCAGCTTTAAAGATGAGTGATTAACCCATTTATAGACAAAACCAATCGATCAATCATAAAGATTACAGGCACATAAATCAATAAGTTTTGACTAAGAGCCGCAGATTAACTTGGATTGCTCACGTTTTACACTCTCTGGTTTTTCCCACTATGTTGATATCCCCACAGAGAGACAGCTTGATGGTGTTTTAGCCACTTGCTAAAAGGTGGTTTTGTGGGATTTCCCACAGCACAGCAGAGTCTATCTGATTAATTGTCTTGGAAATGTCGTATAAAAAATTTAAAAAATCCCATTGTAGTTTCGCAGTAGCTGAGAGTGACCTTTCGATTTGTTCAGCCAGTCCGGGAACCCCCAAAATATTCACATCACCCTCATGAAATCACCGAGAACTCCAGTCATTACTCACTTCAATGAGGCATCCACCAGTTTCGCTTTCACTTCTGCTTTCAACATTAAGATCCGATTAACCAACCTTTCTTTTTCCACAGCCTACACTACCAAGCTGAAAGTGACGTTTCAAGTTCTTCTGTCAGTCTGGAAAACCCCCAAAGTTACCAGTTCAATGTCCTGAAAAGACCGAGGCATCCAGTCAGGTACAAAAGTTCAAGCCACATTTCTCTTTCACTTCTGCTTTTAAAGGTACTGCAACATTTACATATTCTTCCAACTTAACTTCCAACTTAACTCTATTTTATTCAACTTACATTAGGGTTTCATGTTTTTTGCTATTGTCCATGAAAGTTTGAGCTTAATTTGATAAAAAAAAATCTGAAACAGACAGGACTTTGTAGTAGAAATCACTGCATGGGCCCATACCATACCATACATAGCCCAAAACACTGAAGCAGGACACTCATACATGAGATGCAAAGTAACGAACTTTATTCAGACTGTTATTTACCTTTTAGTCCGTGAAAAACAAAATCACATCTGAAAACCACTTTCTGTGACCACAGCTCATCGCTACATCCACAAATGAAGGTTTAAACTAAACCATGCGAAGAGGAAGCTAAACTTAGACACAGAGAATAAACTCAAAACATCTGAGATATTCTTTTTAGAAATCTTGGACGCTGCACCATCCGGATTTTTATCCTGTGAGCTTCATCCCTGATGGTCTGGGGATCATAAGTGTCCATGTCACGGGTAGCATCTGTGCAAGCTCCATTAATCCTGAACAGTATATTTAGGTTTTGGAGCAACATATGCTACTATCCAGACAACGACTTTTTCAGGAGAGATCTTTATATTTCAGTAAGATGATGACAAAATGACAAATACTGCACATATTACAACAGCAAGCTCTGTAGTAGAAGAGTCCTACTACTAATCTGGCCTGCTGCAGTCCTGACTTGTCACCCATTCAAAAAATAAAGAAACATTTAGGAGATCATAAAAATTAAAAACATGTCAATCCACATCAGGTTTCACATGTTGTCTTTGCTCTATTTTCACTTAAAAATGGGCTTTAAATGATTTATAAACCATCTGATTTTATTAACATTTTACACAGCCCCTTAACTTTTTTGGAGGTGCTAAAAAAAAGAGGCACTGTATACTTTCATTAGTTAAAAAAACACCTCACAGAAGCTTTAACAGTCAGGAGCATTTGGTTTGTTTTTCACGGACTCAAAGGTAAATAACAGTCTGAATAAAGTTCGTTACTTTGCATCTCATGTATGAGTGTCCTGCTTCAGTGTTTTTGCATCAAGTCAGATAACATTTAAAAGCAACGGTGTGAAACTGCTCCAGGAAGCCCCCCACCCACCCCCCTCCACACACTCACACACACACACTTAATGCTGATGGGTGTGTGTCTCCGCGGAGGACAGTTGACTCTGCCTGTGATGGATTTGCATAGCAAATGCATGGTGATAGACCTGTTTGAACACTCAATCACATGGTCGTCAACAAGACTGCACCCCACGAACCCCCTCTGCTACCTCACACCCACAGGGACACACATTCACTGCATGAACACACACTTTTTTTTTTTTGCTGAAAGCTCCTGAAACTACACAAGAACTTGTTCCTCCACTTTAACAGAAACTGTAAGTGTTTACAGAGTATGATCCTTTCTCTCCTCTCTGATATTGGATAGAGTTTCAAACATCACGTTTGACTGCATGGATGTGAAAACTTATGCTCTGTCTGGTTTAAATATGAAAATAAATGCCCACCATGATTCAGGTGGATGCTTATTCTCAGCTGATCAGGTAAATCTGCGTGTGCTGAGGTTTGATTTATGAGGTCTCTTTGATTTATCTTTAAGGAAACACCTCAACACCTTTAAACATCCAGATAAGATCTAAAATGTAGGTTAAATATATGGTTTACAAAACAGAACATGGCCACAACATGTTGATGCTACAATTTTCTGTGCTGCATTCAAGGCACACGTCAAAAATCGGACATATGGGAACCTCACTGGTTGAAAGGAGATCAAACAGTGTGCTGCTTTTTCATGACAAACCCTTAAGATTTTTTTAAAGTTAACCCTGTGTGAATTCATGTACTGTGATTTTTCAGACACTTTGGGGCTTGAATAAGTCATAAAAATAAGAAGTTTTTAAGCTGCATCAGCCAGCTGTAGGTAAACCATCCTAAGTGGTTGAAATGGATTAAGAAAATAATTAATTGTAACATTTTAGTGGCTTCTTTACACAGACAAGCTGAAATCTACGGACACACTTTTATGAAAAAAACACCCCATCACTTGCTGAGAAAATTGGGGTTACAAAAATAATCTACAGGTTAAGTTCACAGCCTCATTTGGGCGTGTCCGTGTTTCATTCAAAGTAAAAAGGCATGTGTGAGGAGGAGGAGGACAGCGAATTAAGTTTGCTGTTATTTAGCACTGTAGTCTGTAAAAACACATGGATTTAGCCTCAGAGAAAACACCCATTTTTCTCTCAAGCAGAGATTTGAAACTTGTAAGCAGTGGAAATGCTGGCAGCTTAATTTTTTGGTCAACTTGAAGCCTCTTTAAGTCAGCTGCACCCTAACTTATGGAAAACTTGTCACCGGAATATCTCTAAATTTATGATTTACGAAAGATTCACGCCACGTTCAGTGTGTGTGTAGGAGAAATTAACTATTCCTTTTCTTCAGACTGTAAACATGTTTATGACAGGAGTAGCATAGAACTTTTTAACATGAGTGTCTATGTGGCTTCAATGGCTTTTGCAGACAGCCACTAGTGGACACTTGAGGAACTGCACTTTTTAACACTTTTAACTCTGGCTCGATTTCCAGAGACTGGAGGTCCAGCCACCGCTTTGGTTGTCCTTCCAGTGTTATCTGTTATTTTCTGCTTGCTACTTGTTTATACTCCATATAAATGCAAAGAAAAATCTTTTGCGATGGAGTCCGTTCTCATCAAAACTGTTTCTTGCTAAATGAGCCTTACAACAAGTCACAGGATGATTTTAATCTTGGTGATTTGTGGATACATGTGGATATCATTAAATTAAACCTTTTAAATGGAAAAAAAAAATCTAAGAAACATGGTTCAACAAATCTAAGTTGATCCAAAAACATCCTCAATAACAGACAAACTTTTAGACCCCTTACTTCAGATTAATACTAATGGGATAAAGACATAACTATAAAAAGTTGAGCTGAAAGTTTGAAGATTCTACTGTTGTACTTGTATTTTCTCACTTCCAAGTCAAAGCCTGTATTCCTACGCCCCCCTGAACGCAGCGCTACAATCTATTGTTCACTCCCTTCCCCAAACCACGCCCCTGCCCGGAGCAGAGAGCTGTGATTGGCTGAATCTGAGTGCGGTGCCGTCATCGCTCGGAGCGCCCATTCATCTCTTCACTTGGGCGTTGGACTCCGCATCTTATTAGCGACAAGGGAAATTTCTCCATTTTGCAGCCCCGTCTACAGCGACGCGGATTTTATTAGTTCTCCTACCTGCCAGCTTTTCCCTGCTATTTTGAAAAATCCTGCTCACTCTTCACTGGACTTTGCTCTAAATTTTCCCTGTGAACTTTTTCTTCGTGCACTCAGAGGGAGACAGCACCGAAGAGCTTGAGTTTTTCAACAAAGAGGCTTGTGGGGTCTTTGTTCGTTTTTTTGGATCGGTTGAGTTTCTTTGTTGGAGTCAAAAAGCATGGGAGCGCAATTGTCCAAGACAGGAAAGGCTGAAACCGCGGCTGAAAAGCCCGGAGAGGCTGCTGCTTCACCCACCAAGACCAACGGACAGGTAAATGTGTTTTTATCATCAGGTTCTTCCATCCATCGGGAGGGAATCTGCTGGTTTGGTTTGGAGGGGGGCTGCGCTCTGAGGGCGCAATCCGTGCGTAAATGTGGAGAGATTGAATGGAGAGCAGCTTTGGGAGATTTCACTTCATGATAAAACTTGTTTGAGATTTTAAATTGATTATAGTTCATGAGCAACAGTTGACTTTGTGAATTTCTCCTTTTTTTGTCATGGAAATTGGGGCGCTTTATTCGACCAATATTCGAGGGGGATTTGACCCAATAAGGCTTGATTTGTGATCAGGGTGCGAATTTGGTTGGATGTTTATTCATTTTCACTTTGAATTGAACGATTTTAATAGTCTTAAGTGATTTCTTCTTAATTGGTACATAAAGAGCAAAATTGATTCTAGGTTGAAAATGTTTTGACTTTGAATGGAGTCATCTCTTCATCTTTATCTGGAATTTGCTGAATAAGACGAGATGCACGACGCCAACAAAGGCTGTGCGCTCAGAGCACCACTCCTTTTGTTACAGATGCTCGATAGTAAGTGGAGATGGCAGCCTGCTATCACACAGGAGGGGAGAGACAGACAGGGGAGGCTTGGAGACACTGGTGCGCGCCGGAGAGGGAGAGGCTCTGAGAGGCATCAAATTTAGAGTTTCAAATCTGAAAGCGAGAGGAAAAAGATAACTGTGAAGATTCATTTTGATTTTATTCAGTTCGGAGAAATGTGTTTGAACTCTGCTCTCCGTGATCCGCGAGACAAATGAGCATCTGCTGTTTTAATGAGCAGCTGCTTTGCTGTTGGAGCGAGCAGGCACCGACCCCTGTCGATTCAGGCGAGGCACTGCGCTGACTCCGGCTCAGGATGTGAATGAAATATAGGGTAAAAAGATTGAAAAAGTATAAACATGTTTTTTTTTCGTTTTTGGCTGATGATTTGTGGTCGATTTTTCCATGAAAAGTTGGAAGTAGAAACCGAATCTAGGCTGAAGTGAGAGTCTGCTTTTGTGGCTGTTGATCTGACGGTGACTGCTGCCCCTGGTGTCCAAAAGTGGCACTGAGCGCTGAAATCCTTCCAACTCTGTTCATGGCATTAACAGCCCCTGTGTCTCTTTTTAGGAGAACGGCCATGTTAAGGCCAATGGAGATGCTTCAGCTGCAGCCGAGAATGGCAAAGAGGAGGTGCAGGCCAATGGCAGCGCCACAGCAGAGGAGGCTCCCAAGGAGGAGGCCGAAAAGGCAGAGGCTGCCCCCGCTGAGAAGGAGGCTGTTGATGGAGAGAAGGTGGAAGCAGCTCCCGCTGAGGGAGAGGCAAAGGCAGAGGATGGTGCCACGCCTTCAACTAGCAATGAAACCCCAAAGAAGAAGAAGAAGAGGTTCTCCTTCAAGAAATCCTTCAAGCTGAGCGGCTTTTCTTTCAAGAAGACCAAAAAGGAGACCGGAGAGGGAGCTGAGACCGAGGAGGCCGCTGCAGCTGCCCCCACAGAGGAGGCCAAGGCCGAGGGCGCAGAGGCAGCCGCCAGCGAGGAGGCCAAGCCCGCCGAGGGGGAGGCTGCTGCACCTGCTGCCGAGCAGGCCAAAGAGGAGGCCAAACCAGAGGCTGCTGCAGCAGCAGCAGAGAAACCTGCTGAGGAGGCCGCGCCCGCCGAGGAGCCAAAGGCAGAAGAGCCAAAGGCTGAGGAGAAGCCGGCCGAGGAGGCACCCAAAACAGAGGAGGCCGCCCCAGCCTCTCAGGAAGCAGCGTCAGCAGAGGCTCCCGCTGCCGCCGCTGCTGAATAAGTTAGAGAAGAGAAAAATTAGAGAAAAAAAAGGAGAAAAAAAGATAATCAAAGAACATTTCCCTGTTTGTATGTTGGAGTGATGCCCGGTGGAGGCTTTGAAGAACTTGTCTACAACCAGGGATATTTTAAAGCTTTTCTTTATTTTTGATTTTACATTCCCCCCTTACACAAAACCCATCTCGGTCCATTGTTACTTCCATTCCAACGGGCTGGGGAGGTGGGTGGCTTCAACATGTACAACAGATTAATACATCCACACTCTGCCATATATTTTTTCATCAGTATTAAGTTTTTTTCTTTAAATTTTATACAAATGTAAACAAAAAGGTATGGACATGCCCATGGTATGAAGGAGGAGGGGTCGAGCTGTAAATGAGGGGAGGGGGGAGTTCAAGGGGGGGGCAGGGGGGCCTGGGAAATGTGCCACAGACTATTATGAAAGAGTAGTCTAAAAAAACTAAGAGACCAACATCTATATATTCTCCATACGGTTTACAACACTAAGTCCTTTTTCCAAGAAGACAGCAGTCCCAGAGTTAGCTTTTTAGGAAACATATAAACTCATAGGAGCTTCTCACTTCTCATTAGCTGTACCAGTCAGTGATTCAGTAGAAATACAAGTTGTATAGGCTTTATTGTTTATTGTTGGTTACGACCTTAATAAAATGTAAGTATGTATAGGCGGGGTGTTTTTAACTGTGATTATTGTACAAAATGAAAAATCTTGATCTCAAGAAGCACATGAAGTTTGCAGCTCTTTTTTCCACCCGCTCATTTTTGTAAGATAACAACACACACAAAAAAAAGTAGTCCTGGAAGACCTTCTCAAGCAATTTTGAAACCAAGCTGTGATAAGTGGAATGGTTTAACTGTTTATATACTGTGGTATGTTTTTTGATTACAGCAGGCGATGCTTTTTCAGTGGTCTTTGACAAAATTTAAGGAATCTATCAGATGCAAATGTTTGTGTAGCATCTTGTCTCTCTATCTCTCTCTCTCTCTCTTTTCCTTTTCCTTTTGTAAATACTGGAGAAGCTTTGACCAGTTTGACTTAGAGATGGAATGTAACTTTGCTTACAAAAAAAATTGCTATTAAACTCCTCTGCTTAAAGGTGTTCTAATTTTCTGTGAGCACACTAAAAGCAAAAATAAATGTGAATAAAATTTGAGCCGCATCTGTCGTTTTTTTTGTGTGTCACACGCTGCAGCAGTGTCATTTTGATTGGCTGAGCTCTAAGAGGATTAATGACACCCTGTGGTGTTTATTTGTACTACAGCAGCTCCAGGCCTTCAAGACCAAATCCAGGCTGTAAACATTTATTGTCCAATGTGACAGTGACATTTATTGGATTGAAAAGCTTAACTGTAACCTACATGATAAATTGAAAAGCATGTGAAACCTCAGGCCAGCGGTCTGAGACAATGGACATCAATCTGCTGTTGCAACAGGACCAGAATGAGGTCAGGACTTAATGCATGGACGTAAGAGGGAAATTCAGCATTTTTTTATCGACTTGGATGGAAGTTTGGCGGATTTAAAGCAGGAATAACTGTGGCTCAAAACGATTTAGTGTTGCAACGGTAGATTGTTTCAGCCAGCAGGGCTGCGACGACTGCAAAATCATCTTTGCTGGCAACAGGCCCGATGCATGTTCACCAAAAATGCGTGTTTTGTCAGTTTAAGCATCCCACAATGTTACAAGAACCACAATGAAGTCAAATCTTTGTCTTTAAAGCTGCCAGACTCCATTAACAAGATCAGAAGTTCAACCTTGCAGGACTTTGCGCTAACTCAGGTTGGGTTGTGCCTTTGCTTCCAAAGGTTCATCTTGCTAAGTTCAAAATCTGCTTTTGCCAATAAGGTTTGCATGAAGGGAGTAAAGTAACAGCTATATCTGAGTCAAAAAGCATCTGACAGATCAGGTGGCTACAGCATTTCTGGAAGGATTTTATCTGCTTGTCAAAAAGACAGACCTGAGCACTCAGGGAACGCCCCGCATCTTCATTTTCACCCTGAACCAGGTGCTTTTGTAAACTAATAACTCACATAGTCTTCCTCGAGTAAAAATACGACCACTTTCAATTGACCTGGGCCACATTAATCCTGTAACAGCCCGAGGACTACATAGGTAACATGACCCAACACCTCACCAGCATGACCCAACCTTTGCCATTGTTTCAGCAAGTTAGGCCTACAACACCTCAGGGAGGCTCAGCATCCTTGGACCACCTCCCTTATGTTAGACCCCACTGCTCAATAAACTCTAATACAAACAAAAATGATACTAAAAAAAGCAGAAAGAAAGAGGACAGGAAAGGCAGAGAGGAGGCAAGAAAACCTATCAGCGCTTGCGGTTCCTCCTGCTAGATTCAGCCTGCTTTGTAATTCTGCGCTGAATTTGCATCGTAGGTTCGAGCAGCCCTGTCCCTACGCAGAAGTTTGTAAACATCTCCTGGTGCACACCTCCTCAGAAATATTACTTTGCATCAAAACAACAAAGACCGCAAGCTCTGTGATCTATCTACTGTGCAATCAATTTACAACATTTCCGCTATTGTTGCCAACACCGATTCGGATGGCACGCATTTCCTCTCTTACATGGGTTTCCTCTTTCTTATTCTCAATAATTGCAGGATGATCAGCTCCAACTCTAACATGACACGCTTAGATTTAGTTGCCATGGTTTCCCTCAACCATAAACAAGCAGAGAATGCAACAGGACTGGATAGTGTAATGACCATAGATATTGCACCAACTATCTCATGTTTGTGCATGTGTGTACCTTTGATGCATGCATACAAATAATGCACACTTTAGTTATTCTCTCTCTTGCAGGCTTTAGTTCGAGTAAATAACAAGTACGCAGAGCAGCGGTATAATGTCACTACATTTTCACACCTTTATTTCACTTCTGCCATCACTTAAGTATGCCTCTCATCTGTTGACAGGAACACTGTGACTCAGTCGCAGCAATAACAGGATGCAAAAGAGGAAGTAATATCATCCTATAAACTGTTTACTATAATATTTCTAGTAAAGGTTAAAAGGTGCTGAGTTCTAATGCCACCATGTCAATTGCAGACGCTCTTGACCCATCACAGTCGAGAAGGTGGCACTGAAAAGAGATAGCCTGATCTATTTTGTTCATGTCACCTGCTATATCAAGGCCACAAAGTGAATGTGTTGTAGTCATAGACCTTGGTTTAATACAGTGTTGAACAATTATTTCAGCAATATGATGTTATTCTGAAGGCCTACAATACCTGTGATAAGCAAGTGAAAGCAGGGGTAACAAATTTGAGCTTCAAAATTGCTTCAAATTTTACATAAATAACATTCATTTAGCACCACATCAATCTCCCATTTAAAAGCATCATCCTACCTCTGTCGTAGCAGATGTTAATCCAGTGTTGCTGCCAGTCTTGGATGCTTGAATGAATCCCTGCCAATACAGAGAATAATACAAAAAACATAAAACTTTTGGCTCAAACATCAGGTTATTCCTTTTTTAACCGCCTTTGCAAAATATTCATTCACTTCATGGTTCTACTTCAATGCTGTCTCCGAAACTCCTAGGAAAGTCAGTACAACTAAACATTTCCTTGTTAGTAAACAAAATGTAAAATAGCTCAAATACAATGTGTGATATGGTTTTAACCAACGAGAGTTGCTTTTCCATTCGGCATACTTAAAACACAAGTAAATAGCATAATCTGGAAAATAATTACATTTTTACTCATGAAGACAACTCGAAAACAAGGCGCATACTGGTAGATAAAACCAACTCTTACACGACTTATCGTTCCTAGTTGGACTTTCAGTACGCCGAATAGTCCACGATTAGGTATTAATAGTCATCGTACATTGTTATTAGCTTTGACTTACATTTACACTCCTAAAAAAGCCAGAACTAACAGCATAGATACCCGTGCTAGGCTGCTAACAATGATCATCATTCACCTGTGCGTAGTTTAAAATGGTAACTGTGAGGTCAGAGCGCCCTCGTGTGGCTGTACATAAGCATTACATCGACTTAAATACAATTAAGGTAAGCATCGTTTTACCTCAATTTTATGGGTCAGCTGATTGCGATTTCTAGCATCCAAATGGTAAAATTTCAGCTAATTTTGAGAATGAACCAGAAATAGAGTAGAAAAATGTTTCACAATAAAATCAAGCAGAGCAACAAGCTCATTCGTCTCATTTTAAGAGGAAGACACATGTACAACTTCTTAGTTTAAGAATGCCATGAAACAAGAACAACTTTTCTTTTTTTTTTTAATTAAGATTTCCATTGCAGGTCATCTGAACCTGACAGAATCTGCTGCCTCATACATTATCTGACATATAAAGATGTCAGTAGGCTAGTTGCAGATGGAAACTGCAAAACAACAAAGAATAAAGAACATGCTTGCTTGTGGAATAAAAAATATATATTTAATGAGAATGTTTCGGTATCTTGATTTAAGACAACATCACTTATATTTGCTTTGCTGTTTTAAGAAATTATGTCTTATTTGAACTACTGTCATGCTCATTAATAATCCTAGATTAAGGTGTATTTTCTTGAATTTCATCTATTCAAGAGACTAAAATTCCAATTTTAAGTAACTTTATCTTTATTTTTGCTGTAGAAAAAAATAGATTGATGTAAGATTTTCTGTCTAGTTTTAAGTTTCATTTGAGTCTGTCAGGGCCAAGAAATTTGTTCTTATCTTGAGAATTCTTGTCAAGCAAAAAAAAGCTTACCGCATTGGCAGATTTTTTCGCTTTTTTGCAGTGTAGGGCTATCTCTCTGAGAAAGGCTTATACAAAGGCTGAACCCCTCACGTAATTTGTCCAGTTGAAACTTTGAGTAGCTACGGAAAGAATCATCCTGACACAGTTCATATAGAAATTGTATTAAGTGTGTTGAGGGTGCTTTTCAATTTGGCATACCTTTAAACGCCTCCATTTTGCCATACTCTTACATTACACTGACAGCTGTTCTTAAAAATACGACACACTTCATGAGAATAGTATAAAAAAGTTTTATTGACAATGCAAAATATTAAAATTTCAACATGTAATCATTATAGGTTTGTCTACAGATGTACCCACTGTTTCCTAAAAACAAGAAAATCATGGTTTCCTTCAGAAGATCAAGCACATTGGAATAAAACAGTTCAAAGGGTATCAAAGGACAGAATACGGCAAATTCAAGTGGTGGATTCAAGAAACCTGCTGATACTACACCAAAGAGGGAACGCTTACATTTCACAAGAGATTTACAGGTAAAAAAAATGGAGAGTCGTAATAAATATAATGCTTCTGGCTTTTATTCAGTGAAGAGTTGGATCCTTTCGGCAGAGGACAGCACCGTTTTCGCTGGGTTTTATTTGTGGCCGTGACCAACACTTCAGGCACTGCTTGTCTGCTCGGTCTTCACGCTGCAAATGAAACACAGAAACTCGTGTCAAGGCTTCAGAGAATAAGCATGAACTGACTTAAAATGAGCAGGAATAAGAAAAGTGATTCACTCAGAGCAAATACAGGAGCAGAATATATGATTTAAGAGGTTTCTCACCTTTTTGAGTCAGTCTTCTCAGCATTGTTATCCTTTGTTTTCTCCTCTTCTTTGATTTCTAAAAAACATTTATGAAATTAATTCAAAGAACTTAAAGACACCTTTTATCAGTTTTTTCCTTTTCCAGTCTACACACCAATTTTCTTCTCCTCTCCTTCCTTCTTCTCCTCATCGACCCGGGACCGTTTCGCTCCCTTCTTGTGATTGGCCATGTTCCTTCTGCCTCCCTCCCCTTCGTCCTCGGAGTCTGAGAACTCTTCGTCACAGGCGATCCTCTTGTCTGTGGCACGGACTGAAACCACAAACAACAAAGAGTTGCCAAGAGGTCTCTACACAATGAAGCCTAATTTATAAAAGAAGTGCTGAGGGTACGAGTGAAGGGACTTGAGTGAGCAGAGTCTTACTGGACAGGCGTTTGTCGGGGTCCTCTGTGTCTTCATCTACAGTGTCGTCCGGGATGGCGTCCTCTGGGATGGCTTGCATCTGAACTCCAGGGGCGTGAGGCAGCATCCTCAGGTTCTCAAATAGTCGCTGCCTGAAAAATCCCACATAATAACGTGTAAATGAACTATTTCTCCGTGGATGCGGGGTTATTTTTTTACTACTCAAGCACTTTAAGAGCAGGGGATGTTTGACAAGTTTAGAAGAAAATGACTGAACGTACTTGATCTTATCCATGTACTCCTGTGTGTTCTGGTTGGTCATGTTCGAGGGGCTGATGTGCAGCTTGAAGTCAGGCCCAAAGTACTCAAAGTAGTCATTGTAAGGCAGTTCTGCAACAGGAACATCACAGGGAAAAGTAAGCAAACACAACATGAGGAGGGGGGTTTACTGAAGATGAAATACGGTGTCCAGTTACAAAGCGATCAAACACTTGTTGATATGATTTACTGAGGTTTTCTGAGGTGGACTGAAACAGTTAGAGGTCACTTAAAGTCCTAAAACTCCTCTAAAAGAGCCGCTGGTCCGTTGGAAAAGCTGTAATTACAGAAACCTCTTTTTCTGTCACACAGACTCGGCAGAGGAGACAAACTGCTGACTCAGCTCTCTGTGAGGACAGGTAGTGATCAGGCTGTACTTTTGTACCTTCCCTTAAAAACAACTCCACATGTCCTATCAGCTCCCCCCACCATCCACCAACATCCACAGAGGCGGTGAAGTGAATGAGAGTGATGCTCCAGACCGGCTTCGTTTCAAAGTTACCTGATAAAACTGATTGTAAAGTTGGTGGAGTCCTTTGTTGTGTTAAAATCCAAAGCAAACACTTTCGTAGAACTATCTACAGATGACCGAACAGAGTGAAACTGTTTTAGGGTTACTCTAGGTTAAGAGATGTGACTGCAAAGTCCAAAATCAGCACCTGTCATTGCAGTTTTAGTTATTTCTAAGTTGCATGCATCCTTACAGGTTTTACAGATCAGAAACTTTCCGTTTGCAAATAGGGAAAGTTGTTGGTAATGGTGTTTCTACCAAAAGGTCTGTTTTGGGACAGTATGCGATTATTTGTGTTTCTATTGTTTAAAAACACTCCATCATCATAAAATCAGGGACAAACCATCAGGGATGTCTGAGTCCAGAGCCACGGCCGTCTCATAGGTCCAGCAGCGGGCCACGTTGCGGATGGTGTATCCTCCTCCGCCCAGCATGAGCAGCGGGAGGTTGAAGGACTTCATGTACTCCACACACTTGGCGTGACCTACGAAAAATAGAAGAGAAACTATTAAACGCAAAGCAAGGCGTATAACCCCAAATTATGGACCTTTATCTCGCGCGTCTGTGTGTACCGCGGATGGTGAGGTTGAAGCAGCCAAGGCGGTCTCCTGACAGAGAGTCTGCTCCGCACTGAAGGACCACAGCGCTGGGCTGGTACATCTCCATCACCTTAGCCATTACCTGCAAGAAAACAGCAAGAATAATCAGATAATGTAACGTGTTAAAGACTCTTTAGTGAAAGCTTTGGCTCTCTGTGAGAAAAGTCTTTGTTCGCATGCACATCACCTTTTCTCCACAGAGCAGCAATGCTTTTGAGGAGACAATGCTAGCAAATACACACAAACCAGTTTTTCGCTGGTGTTTGATTCTTTTCCTTCTACATCCCATTTCTAATCAAATCCCCCAACGACAGCAAACAGACTCATCATTTAACTACTGAAACTGTGATTTGCTCATGCACAATATTCCCATCACAAGACATGCGATTGCAATATTAGTCACCTGACCTAAAATCCATCATGCTGTCACCACCTCCAGTTTTCCAGGGATGAATCAACAATCAACTTCCATCTGGATTTATTTCAAGAGTCTGTATCTGTGTGTCTGTTTGACTGCAAAGTAGAAACATGAAAGCGAAGCTGCTGCAGGCATGTATCGTCCAGCAAAAGCTCCATTTAATAAGATGGATTTTAACGACACAGCGTTGCCTCATTTGTCCTGGTGTTCGTCTACGCTATTGGCAAGCATGCAGATCAAAAACAAGACCCGGGGCTGAATCCTTTCAGCAGCACACATACAGTTGTGAAAATCCCGAGGCATGATTTCGAACGTTTTAGAGAATTATTTTTGGTGTCTAACATCATACATCCACTGTATTTATTAGAAAAATGTATCAAATATCAACTCGTTCATGCTGTTATCTCTCCTCTGTTTGTGTCTTTCTTTATTTATGGACCAAGCAGATGTCTGGGCTGTGGTCAGACAGTAAAAGTATGAGGGGGATTTGAAATGAAAGCAGAAAATAGACATAAAGACGTCCTACAGATGACTAAAACTGTATATCAGAGGTACACTGGTGCTTCTGATCATCACTGAAGGCTGCTTTTACTTTCACAAGCCACTAGATAGCTTTATTTGCCGAGTATGAAGCTTAAAAGCTTTGAATCTTATTCAGCTCAAATTGAAAGAAAGCCCCAGAGTTCATGAGGCTTCACCCGCCCATCTCTAATGACTGAAAAATTGTTTAGTTGTTCTCTAAGTTTTCCAGGACTAAAGGAGATCCTGCTAAATCTGATCTCCTGGGTATTAAAAATGTATGATATTGCAGTGGTGTGTAAGGAGAAGTGCAGCTTTGTTTGTTCAACAGTATCAAACTCACAGGTTTGAAGATCTGCTCGTATGACTCATCATCGATCCCATCACGCAGGGGGAAGTTGACGGCGTAATATTTGCCTTTTCCAGCGCCAATATCCTGAAGACAGATCAAACACAGACATTTTTTATCTCCTTTAGTCTATTTGAGTAACTTTAATGTTTAGCTGATTCCAAGCTGAAACTGACGCCTAATTCCAGTAAGTGAGAGACGACAGAGACTGAGACTCACCCTGAGGTCTCCAGTTCCAGGGAAGTACTCTCCGTATTTATGGAAGGACACAGTCATGACCCTGTCTGTGGTGTAGAAAGCCTCCTCCACGCCATCTCCATGGTGGATGTCTATGTCGATGTACAGCACCCTCTGGTGGTATCTGCAGAGAGGAGCGACGCAAACAAAGGTGGACTCAGCGTTAACAATCAAACCTGTACACCAGAGCTCTGAGACAATCTAGTCACACTTTTAGACTTGCATTTATTTACATTTTCATATTCTAAAAAGTCATGAAAAGTTTGTTACTTGAGCAGCTCTAGGATGGCCAGCACGATGTCGTTCACGTAGCAGAACCCAGAAGCTTCAGACTTCTTGGCGTGGTGAAGTCCTCCGGCCCAGTTCACGGCGATGTCGGTCTGCTGGCGGTTTAATTTCACTGAACCAGCTGCACACAAGCACAAAAAAACAAAAAGGTTGGCTTTGGTTTGAAACAAATGTCCAACAGAATCACTGTTAGTCATGTTAAGTACACATGTCAACACACTGTCAACACAAGGCAGATTATAATATCTGAGGGTTCCAATGTGTGTAGGCCAACTGTATATGTGTTGGCTTTAATCCAAGTTTCACAAACAGCTGCAATTTCTCTTAAACGTCTCCATCTCAGCTGCTCCTTGTCTGAATTAAGCTCATGTTTGTACGAGCCAGTGATCATGCAAAGCCAAAGCAAGCACAACTGGTCTCACACCAAAATGACTGAGTATTCTGACCAGCATTTGTTAATGTATTCATAAAATAGCCTCTCTAACTCTGTAATAGTAAACTCTGATGGAATTTTTAAGAGCCTGTCCTCCACATTGACAGTAATGTAGTTTAACACCATGTCTGACTGTTTCATGGTCGTAGTTATGGGTCAAAGAGTTAAAACAAAAACACATTGTACATGTAGTATACTATCCCCTTTGTTTCATATGCAAACATTAAAAGCTAAGCTAGGGTGAGCAGCAGCTAAGACTGATACCGGCAAAGTCAGAGACAGCATTAAAAAAAAATACCTGGGGTGGAGGTGGTTGGAATGTGGTTTTCAGAGGAAGCCCCCTAAATAATTGTGATCAGCTGATGCACTAGAGCTGAGCTTGACTTTGTGGCTTTCATGAGCTGATGCTGTGCTTAGTTGAGTTATTTTTGGGTGAAGAGGCTCATCGGTTTTTTAGTGCATTTGTTTGCTCTTACCAGCAGATCCACCAGCAGAGAGTTGGCAGAACTCGAACAAGCCGTCAAACACAGGACAGTCCTCTCCGACGTTGACTGAAAGATTGAAGCAAAACCTGATCAGGATTCATGACAAAATCTGTGTTGAAGCTCTTTTATGACAACTTTGAGAATGAACAGCTTCTGTAAATACTAAAGGAAGAAGAAATTAATGAGTATAAAGAAAACGACACACACAAGGAGCTCAGAGCACTTACAGCGTTGCATCTGCTTGCTGAACTCGGACATGTTATCTGGCCGAATTGATCGAAGAAACTTGATGTAGTCGTCACTGTGATATTTTGTCATCTCCTCTGCAGTGGCTTTATGTGGTCTCTGAAAAAATAAAACAAAACAGATGGATCATTTTTTAAACGTTTCACTTCCAGCTCCCATTTTGTTGAAGCAGTGCACAAGCAAATAAGAAGGTTGCTTAAGTATTCAGAGGTCAAACACGTACATAGATCTCCATTTTCCTGTAGAGTCCATAGTTCAGGAGCAGGTTGTGAGTCATCCGGATACGATGTGGTTTCATCGGATGCCCCTGTCCATAGTAATAATTTCCAATGTCACCTGCAAAGGAAAACACGTCCTATTAAAAAGCACATTTACTCTTTACATGTTAACTAATGCTCAAGCAGGACTTAGCACCTACCCACAGCGCCAAAACTACAACCAAATGGTTTGCTGCCCATGATATTATTGTGCCCACTTGTCCAGCCAACTGACCTGACCTGAACCCCACAGAGAATCAGTGAGCAATGTGTCAAGATGAGAAAATACAGACCAGCTGAAGGCCGCTATCAAAGCAATCTGGGCTTCAATAACACCTCAGCAGTGGGGCGATTGATGCAAGAGGTCATGGTTAAGGAGCCCCAACCGAGGACTGAGAGTATAAATAAGGCTGGGCATGTCTGTACTTAAAGGGATATCCCGGCGTGATACAGTGTGTTTGACCCTAAATTAATTTTACGCCAGAATATCCCTTTAATTGTGCCTTCAAATATGTCAGTGTTTACCACATCCACAAAAAAAGACAATAGTATCGAAGAGGTTAGCCTTTTGAATGAACAAAAATGAACTTCTTTATTCTTTATTCTTATTCTCTTAGCTGCACCTGCTCTTTCCTCTGACATCCCTCCTGCCTGTAGAGGTCTGATGGACTCATCAGTTCCTATTCCAAACAGAAATACTCGACACTCTGTAGATCAACAGCAATCAGTTATCAGTAAACTGCCAATCTTAAAGCTTCATACAACTTACAACTTATTAATAGTAGGTGAGATACGGTTCTGTAGAGTACAGAGTTTAAAATTCAGTGATTTCTCTGAATGAATGAGGATTATTCTGCTGGGTCAGGACTGCTTCCTATACTGTGATCTTCTGCTCATCTGGATCCAGGGATGCGGAAACATTCAATCCACTGGGTTATATCAATTAGGCCTGAACACATTGTTAGTGAACTGTGAAAATTTTGGCTTTTCTGCATCAAAAAATGTAACTTTAACTCTCTGGGTATAACAATTGCCCTCATTTGTTGCGGATTAATCTGGGTAAATATGTTAATAAGGTGCACAAAGCCGGGTCCACGGTTGTAATTAACGCTCGGACAATAATGACAGTCAGTGTGGTAATTGACCCTCTTATACCTTCATTTCGCGATATTTATTTAACTCTAACTCCACGTATCATGCGAGGTATTCATAACTTTAGCTTTACGTTTCTTTTAACCAATGAAGTGAAATTAGTTAACACTACAGAAGCGTTTCAACCGATATCACACCGTTAGCAGTAAGCTAGCAAGAGCTAACCACCATACATTCAAAAGCAGCACCGGCTAAAGAACAACGTTAGCTCGCCGGCTAGCGTTAGCACGCCAGATGCTGCATTCAGGCTCCTCATTCAGAGCCCCAGGATGTCCCATACCGTCATAGTAATAGCAGACTTTCTTCTTAGTGCCGCCCGCAGTCGTGTAAGCCATATTTGGAGCACTTTCTCACAAAGTTGGTTCAATTTTTTGCTTCAGTAGACGGACGTTAGGATGGACGGCATCAACACATAAGGATTCACGACGGAGCTCAACGGTGTTCAATGGGAGGCGCAACCGTCTGCGGCGGGGCGGGGCGGTTTGAGAGTGGCCCCGGGCCCCAGACAGTGGTGTGATATAGTAATATAGGGGAGAGTGGGGTAAAATAGCCATTTTTCATATTTCGGTTCGCTCTGTTTCTGAATTTCTCTCTGGAATCAATAAAGTATCTATCCATCTATCCATCTATCTATCTATCTATCTATCTATCTATCTATCTATCTATCTATCTATCTACATCTAGGCAACCATAGTTTTTTTTCTCTAACTATTGTATCTGCATATATTTCAAGATATTGTGCATCCCTGCAAACCAATACAATAAGTGTAAACATAACTGTCTTGATAATATAGGATGCCAAAAAAGTGGTCTCCTATGGTCAACTTACCCCATGTATCAATCAATCAACCAGTCTTTATTTATAAAGCACTTTTCAAGAAAAAAGATGTAGCACAAAGTGCTTTACATAGCAGAAGAATAAAAAACACTAGTCTACCCCAACTCAACTCCTCACTCCCACCCTGCAGTCTAAGCACAATTGAAACGTGTATTGAAATGCATGAACTTTATAAGGACTTGATTCATATAAACAGGAATGTGTTCAGCATTAATGGATCCTTTACAGATGTAGACACTTAATAAGTGTCCATAGGAATACATGTTAATCTATCAGTTAATCTCACAAGGGGGATATATATAGATCTATTAGTTAATCTCAAATGGGGATCATAATATGATCTCCATACCATCAGGGGTGCTGGTTTTGAACTCTGAGCTGATAACAAGCTGAGAGAAATGAGTATGCATTGTCCATGATTTCCAGAAAGCTGGTCAGAATTTGATTATTCATATTACAGGACATTTATACCTGATGTTATTTTGTGATCAATTATGATGTCTACAGGGGTTTATCTTAATAAATGAAAAATGTTTAAATTTCAGTTAAAATATATATATTTATGCCCCCAAGTTGCTCTTACAAAAGTAAAGCATCAGTTTGAAGCTCTCCAAGTAGTGCTCTGATACAACACTAGGTGTCAGCATCATCTTTGTCACAGTCTAGTTTTCCTGTCATTCACAGCAAGCGAGAGCGCATGAGACTGTTAAATCAGATGTATATCCAAAGATATTTGTGTAAGCTGGTGATACAACAGTCAAATGTAAGCGGTAAGTTTGAGCTCAGTAACTGAATTCACTCAGAGGAAGAAGCTAAAGTCAAAGTCAGGGTCTGCATTTATCGAATCCAAGGGTACAAAACTTTGATGGTGGATGAGAGACAGGCTGATATTCAACCAGGTTGAGAGTCCAAATAGAGTATGAGCTCTTATTAAAATGCATTAGAATGGTGAACATTACCTCTCTAATGTAAATGTGTTTTTCATGGCAGATGTAAGCAGCTATTTTGCAGTTAACTCTTTAACCATTGACTGTAACCTTATAGAAAGTATAAGTCTCTATATCGTTGGTTTGGTTTGCTTTTATGGATCATAAAAAGACATTGGTGGTTATCTCAATCTATCTTATAACTGGCTGAAAATTCTCACAGGAGCTTTAAATGACAAAGCCGATACAGGTTTAATAAATAAATAGTCATACACATGTTGACATGTTCATTTAATTTCACCTTCTTTAACAACACTTATGATACAGAATGAATATTTGCACAGAAACAGACAGAGTCATCATAGAATAAACAGTCGATTTGACAGGAATCATCAGAGGACAGTTTTTTTTTTCTTTCTTTTTTCTTTTTTTTTTCCACTATGGCTTTTTGCCCTGTGTTTGCAAATTAAAGGAAAAGCTGTGAGGGAGGCACGGAAAAGACATATGAACATTAGAAAAACAAGCTTGAGTCTTTAAATGCTTTAAAAGCTTTGGAAATGTTTGAGTCAAGCTTGAAACACTGAACTCTGGTCTGATCTTCAGGATGGGTGCTGGGATGAGACCCAAAGAGGTCTCTTTCTGATTTTCTGATGAATCACAGCATGGACTCGAAATAAATGTGACAAATAAAAAAGCAGAAGACGCTGAAACATGAGTCCACTGAGTAATGATAGGAGTCGTGATTGCACATGCAGATTTTATCAACAAAACAGCATAATGGGGGAACAAATGAACAGTTCAATTCATCAGATGTCATTTTGTCTTCTTTTATCGTGGGGAAACGTCACACTTAAAGCTCATCTGAACAGCATGAGTGTCTGATAGTCTTTTAAAGAGCAACAAAAATAATCTCTTTAGTTAATCTCAAAGCTCAGGACTGTTTTCTCTCCTCTTCATGGGGGACATTGACAGACAGGTGAATTAATCTCCGAGATAAAGAGCTTTGAAGTGAGTCTTTTAGTCAAACCATCAAACTGTTTTGTTTCAGCGTCACACTCTTAAAAACAACCGTACATCAAGTTCTGTTTTATATTTGGTCACACTGTCATTCTCGTATTAAATTCAGTCAAAGTGCTTTTAAGAACTCTTCAGATCATGTAGCTTGGTGTCTAAAAATCACAACAAACCAAAGGCTCCAAATGTGTCATCAGGGCCAGTTGAAAGTCCGTCCGGTGATCTGGTAAAACTTCTGATTGAAGGGGTGGAAGAACTTCTGCAGTTTGGTCACCACTGACTGGTCCACCTCCGGGTGGGTGCGGCCCTTGCTGCCTGCCAGGCACTTGTTGAAAACAATGTTAAATCGCAGACAGTAAAACCCTCTGGTGGCGTTGAAGTACAGGTTGTATTGGCTAATCCTGGAGGGGAGGTTGAGGAAGCGTTCCACCAGCTGAAGTTCGGGCAGCGGGTCCGTGATGAGGCGGTCCCCGTCCACAATGTGGAACTGCTCCACAGGAAAGTACTTAAGCCAGCGTTCCAGGTGTTTGGTGTAGATGCTGGTCCGCACCGCTTTATACTTTGTGTTCACCTCACAGGTGCTGGAGTCGATGGCCAGCTTCTCAAACTTGTGGTAGGTCTTGTTTTTGCGCTCCTTGCCCTCCAACACTTGCGTGTAGTCCGACACAGCTCTGGTTGTGGGCTCACGGACGATGATCAGCAGCTTGATGGAGGAGTTCATCTTGAAGATGCGTTCAGGGACCTCCTCTGTGATGAAGTAGGCGGGGCTCTTCTCAATGGTGATCTGATGAGGGAAGGAGAAGGGCATTTTCTCCCTGTACCAGTCGATGCCCCGAGCATAGTTCTTGTCGTTGTCAAAGAAGTGAATCTCTTGCGAGGCCTTGACCACAGCTGGATGCAGGTTGAGCATCTCCAGCAGAGCGCGGGTTCCGCCTTTACGCACCCCGATGATGATGGCCCGAGGAAGCTGCTGGACCAGGTTGTGCAGGCGGATTTGCTCTTTGGTAGCATTGCCTTTGCGGAGTTCATGAAGCAGGCCTCGTTTGAATTGTAGAGTTCGGAGGGGGATCTGCTCCGGCTCGGGAGGTGGCAGTCTGCTGTCGATGGGACAAATGGGCTGAAGCCTGAAAGACCAAAACAAACATAAAACATCCTCAGATTCAAACAAATAGTTCTTATTATATTACAAATGTGCAACCTCTTGTTAGACTATCCAAATACTCCGAAAAATAATTCAATTTCATCTAATTTTCTAGACATTCAACAAAAATTAACAACCAGAATCCTGTATAAGACAAGATCTGGTCAACATTTCACTTTCCAAAACTTAGAAACTGCATATCTTTACATGTTTGGTCATTAATCAAGTTATTTACAGGAGGTAAGAACTGTTCAAAAACATGAAAATACAGTTTGCTGTTTTTAAAATGGTCTTAGGCAGAGGTAGGGGTTCATGGCTAAGGGTAAAAGGTTAAGACGAAAAAACTCTTTTGCTTTCTAACTTTAGTTCTGTTTATAACTTACAGACAAAATAATATAAAACTTTGTGTCTCGCCATCAAGGAAAAACTGACTGATCCAAATATACTATCACTCAAAAAACTTCTGTGTGATGGCGCTGCACACAGGAATCTGACGAATTACGCTGCAACACTTTTCCTCGACTGTGATAGTAAAACTCTTTATTAAGAGACGAAAGTTTACTTCAAACCACTTCTTTCCCTCAGAGTATCAATAGGAGCGGTGTTTCTGCCGCTCCCGTGGGACGCTCTAACCCAGAGCTGTGTCTCTCGGGACCAGCTCCCCGAGTTCAGATTCTGCTTCTGTCTGAAGATCTGACAGAACTAGTACTCTCAGGGACATGGAAGAGGACACGTTATGAAGGATGTACAGCCTGACAGTCTCAACAAACAACCATTTCTGGTGGACATAAATGGGTGTGTTTGCAAGCAGAACTACTGTTAATGTAATATTATCATCTTGAATAAAAAGTAAATCAATCAGTTTGAGGATGTTGAAAATGTCCCTGAGCTTAACTAGATTATAAATCCAAAAAAATCCATCCATCACTTTAGTTCCCTGAGATAAATTAACGTAGGACAGTGATGACTCACCTATCTAAGGTCCCGACCCTGGCCACCAGATAGAGGACACTTCCGATCGCGAGGCTGCCCAGAACGAAGAGCTTCTGTCTCAGCAATGCCTGCTGTTTGAATAGCATGGCCCTCCATCAATCTTCAGGACTGCGTCTTCAGCCTGCAGAGAGAGAGCAGAGCACATAAACCACTAATCACCAGGGGAAGAGAGACAGCCTAATGTTTATTAACACACACTCAATCAAGTCTTACAAGTGATTAAGCCACACTCACACACGCCTGCAAAGTGCTGCAGTGCCATTAGAGGAAATGCTCAGCCACCATCCACCACTTTGTTACACTTATTTATTTATTTCTGCCAGCTCCAGACTCTGATTTGATCTAATGTAGAGGCGTGCTGTGAGGGCCCGGCTCTGAGGCGAGACTGTGTTTTATGAGGTATGAGTGCGGATTAGCATTTCAGTTTGAAAAAAAGAGAAAGAAAAAAAGAAATCAAAGACTGTTGGTCAATACACCATCTCTTTATGTGGCAGCTGGACATTCACCAAGTCGCGGCAAACTCCATTTATATGCCATTAGCACCTGAAGGAGCAGTGCACAGTGCTTTCTCGCTGCGAATATTTGTCTTCTGCTACTGGAAACTAAACATTATAATGTAAGGATATTAAGAGGTTACAGTTCCATTCAGCAGGTGCTTTTGTCTAAACCACTCTGAGAGTAAGAGCAACACAACCAAAGATCTAGATAGTGGAAATGACGTGACTAAATGCACAAACAAGAACTGGAAGTTTTGCAACACAAACATGTTGAGCAACAAGAGGTTAAAACAAGAGGAGCACAGTCACTATGAGTCATATGGCGATGAGTCAGACACTGTTAATTGGAAATGCTGATTAAAACTAATTTAAAGGAAAACAAACTTTTCTTTTGTGATTGGCTGAGTGCCACGCGCTCTTATGTCTTTGTTTTAATGTCTTCATTTAATGACGTCTCAACTCATGGGACATTCATCAAAGCTTTTATGTCTTCCACCAATTTTTATTTCATTTCTTTATGTTATTTTATTTCTTTATTGCCAGTAATGTGACATTTCCCCCCAAGTGTTCTCTTGTTGTTGTTATGTTATTTTTATCTTCTTTGTTTTCCTGCATGTTAAAGCACTTTTTAAACTCCTGTTTTCAAAAGTGCAATATAAATAAAGTTACTATTATTACAGTTTAGCACAATGTTGCTCTGGCGAATGGAGTGCCGTTGGCTGTGCCGGTGCAACGTGAGGACCTGATGCCCGGAAACAATAACGAGGAGAGACTCCACAAAGGTGCTGTACAGAGGAGACAGGACCTTATCCATGGATGTAAAGTATAACTTTAGAAAGTGCTCTTCCTTTTTAATTAGTGATAAAAATCCAATAGAAATCCATTAAAATGTGCCTCAGGGGCAGCAACACACTGTTTAGTGACGTTAACAATTATTTTTGTTCAGCCTCTCCAGTCTGCTCTACTTTACAAAGATGCAACGAATTAAAACTAAATACTTTCAATAATAGGAGCAGTGCCACCATAATCCTGCCCCAAACAGGAGTTTTCTGGACTACTTTTATACCAGTTTTGATGCTTCCAAAGAGCAAATCCTTGTTAGATTCCACCACAGATGTGAGGATATCCACTTTCAGCTCGGAAAAGTTTAGAATCTTTCTAATATTTCTCCTCTTTCATGTTTGACCTCAGTGGGCGAGGCTTCTAAACCACGAATATTTAAGGGCATGACATGTTAATGACGCTCGATTTCAGCCGCCAAATTTATCAAGACCCGATCATACGTACTCTGAGATTGGTCAGTCACGAACCCTTTCATAAATCTCACGTGTGTCCTATCATACTATGAATCCTGCGCTCAGTTCTATGCAAGATTGATAAATGAGGGCCAATGTGTTCAGGGTGAGACTGTTGGGATACATGTGCAATTATCTGGACATTTTCAGAACAGTGTGATGCAAACTTTTACTGGTGAGGCTAAAACTTTAATGAAGGTTCATGGCAGAGCATGAATGAATGAGTAAAGACTTAAAGCTTATTGTTTTTTGGTATTTAATGTAGATGTATTCAGGGGTGGGCCTTGATCGTGGATATGAAATTTCAAAGGAATCACACGTTGTATGAAAAAGTTAAAATGACTTCCTGTTTCATGGTGAGATAGAAGTTTCAAACCCTCTGCCAGGGATATAGTAGTACATGAATAATTCTATAATTCTTGGTGTTTGAGTGACAAATACTGCAAACACAGAAGTTTTAGGATTGTTTGAGATTCCTTCAGAAGTTGAAGGAGAAGTATAGCTACCCACATAATCCCTGAAGGCAGATGTGTTGAGTCAAAGTGCTCCCACTAAAACTTCTTGTTTTTTTTTTTTTCACCAACAGGCTCAGATTGATATTTTAAGTGTCTGGCAACATTACAGAAAGGATCCCTGCTGAGACAGACATTGCTGTTAAGGGGTAAGGGGCTTTTTTTTTTCTTTTTTCGGACCAGTAAAAGCCATAACGTCTTTTTCGTCAAGGCTTCAAGACTCCATTCACAAAAGCAGCAATTTCACCTCACAGAACAAGAAGAGTTGTGAGTGTGCAGCTGCCTCAAATGACTGCTATTTTTTGTCGCTCCGTGAATTTGGTTTCACAAACATTCAGCTCAGACCAGGACAAAATTTGTGAAGAAAATATCAACAAAAATCTTCCTGCTCAAGGCAGTTGTAGGCAGACATCTAATGGGCGCTAAATGAACCGTGTACATGTGGTTCAAGTAGGTACTTTGTTTGCATTTTGTCCAGTCAAAGAGCAGCAATATATATATTTTAATTTTATGCACTAAAATAGCAACAAAAAGGCACTTAACTTACATTTTTTTAAGTTAAAGAGCACCAAGAAAACTTGTTTAACTGGTTTATAAGTAGGGATGGGTGATAAATTATCGTTTGCAATTCGTCATCAGAAAATTCCTCCATGATAAATATTTGCCATCTCACAATAAACGCAATAAATGCAAGTTGATGACATAAGTGTGAGTGACGGACTCGCAGCCATACATGGCTGATGGTGGTGAAGAAGATGTCTCAGAGCAGCTTGTTGCTAAAAGAGGCTCCACATGAGGGATTTCCTTCAAGACTGAGGTTTAGACGAGTGCAATCTCTGTGCAATAAGAGTTTTCAATTCATGTTGAAAGTGCATTTCACTAGTTTTCTCTATAAGCTACCACTTAAACTTGTTGCTCAGTATCTTATCCTCAAGACAGAATGAGTCAAAAACACAGACAGAAATTTAATATTTTTTATCGGGACTTTATCGCTATCACCAGAATAGCAAAACTTATCATGATAAAAAAAGTTTTCGGCCTATATCACTCATCCCTATATATAACCATTTGATCAGGGAAATGAGTAACCAGCACAGGTATGTGAAAGTTAACCTGTAAGGAGGACTGAAGCTCTGTGGTGCTAGCTCTTCTATTGGTAGCCACACTCTGCAAATCAGTTTGACATTGTTACTTACAGTGTTTAACCATGTTACATAACATGTGCTCAATTTAGATTTTATTCTTACCCTCACACTACATGTTTGGTTTTAATCTAAACTCAGTTCAAACAATATGGAAATAAGTTGGTTTGGTCCCCTGGTTCACGGTGATCACATTTCGCCTCTGAAACTCCTGTGTCACCTCCTCCGATGCCAGACTGGAGAAATGAATTCCTTCTGTTTTTTGCAGATTAAAAACCTGAGCCCTTCTTCCCGCCTCTGAAAGATCACCTGAGTGTGACCAGGTAAATCACATTATACACTATTACAAAAGAGCCAGCTGCCCTTTAATACCGCCTATAAACGCTTCCCATTAACAGTAAAGGGGGTCATTTGTGGAGCATCTCATAAACCAGCAGAGAGCTCTTGACCTGGGAGTGACCTGAAAACATTTCACTCGTATTGCCTCATGGTGACTTCTGAGGAGAGACGAGCAGAGGAACTGCAGTTTCATCAGTCTGACAAAGCAGAAGAATAAAGTCAGTTAGCCCGGGGTGAAGCCCTGTGTTTGCGGAGCCCCATTTAGAGAAGAAATGTTTTTTATTACTGCCTTTGTCTCTGCACCGAGCTAGAGCCATTAAATGAACTGTTTTGAAAGAGTCATTTCAGAGTTTTTTTTTTTTTTTCAGGAGAGGGATGCCATGTAGTTTGACCATAATATAATAAAGAAATCCAGACTCTCAAAGTGTCATTTGGTGCAAGAAAACCTCAAAAATAGGAGTGCTAGGATGAGAGAAAATGCAACTCCCAAACATTTGTCTGCCTTCTGCTTTAACAAACACTTCTCCTACTGTGTAAATATTGAATCATGTCTTCTGGGATGTTATGGCTCACTTGTACAAATATGTATGTATATCTAAATAAACAGATGACACGTCTCGTGTATGATGCAAGGACGTGCATTTCTTTATGGATGGATCAAAGGAGAAAACAAGGCTAATCCTCTGCTAGCAATTTCAAAATGATAAAGACAGTCTGACTGTAAAATATAGATGCCTTTTACGCTTCATGAAGGGAAAAAGTTTCACAGGCATAACCAAATATTACAGGGGGCTTCCAAAGGCATGGATGGCTTCCAAATTGACTTCTCAGATGGGCTCAAGTTTAAGGTAGTCTCTGGTGTTTCTAGAACATCATTATGAAAAGTTTTCTTTTTGCATGGTTCAGTTTTGTGTTAACAGAAAGTACGTTTTAGAAGTGATTTTTAGTGATTTCCACTTCAGAGTCCTGTCTGTTTTTAATGTAGTGCCGCCTGAGGGCCTGAAGATCAGGACCATCCAGTACTAGCTTTGGTCCTTGTCCCAGATTTCTCTGACTCTTTTAAAGATATTGTGTACCGTAGATGATGAAATCTACTCATTCTTTCACATTTTGCACTCAGGAACATTATTCTGAATTTGTTGAACTATTTGCTCACGCAGTTTCTCACAGAGTGGTGATCCTCTTCCCATCCTTATGTCTGTGAGATGTTCCTCCTGCTGTTTTGTTAACATTACACACCATTTAAAACTTAAACCTTAATGATTTGTTGTGTTCATATAAATATTTGGACAGTTTTCCTTCAGGGCCACCGTACATAACCACTCTACAGCCACCAGATTTATACAGAAGCGCCTCAGTTACCTCAAGCACCATCAGCTTTAGTGTATTTATATAACCATACTCAGCGCTCTCCTGTTTCCTCTGTGTTAACCAATCAGTTTTGATTGACACCTGTCACATTCGGTGTTAAATCCAAACTTCTCCGCTCCTGGGTCGAGCGTGGTGAAGTAAAAACTCTTAAAAATCCAGTGAGCAATTAGAGAAATGCTGACTGTCCTGCTTGTGTGTAATTAAAACAGCGTAAAGTGTTTCTGTTTACACTCCTGATAACATCTATAATTAGTTTCCAAACACTGAAGCGAGGAGTATGTCAGCTTTATAAAAAAAAAATTTTAAAAAAAGCAGCTATTTGCAGTGACACTGCTAAAAAAGTGTTTGGTTATTAAGTCTCTCGCTGTGCTGTGCTAATAATCTGCACCGCTCTGTTCTCATTTTGAGAGGAGCACACCAGGGCACGGGTAAAAATAGACAGCGGCAGCTCAGCTCTCATTAGATATCTTCCTTTTCTGTTAATCCGTGTATTACTGAAAAAAAAAAAAAAGCTCCAGTATCACACATTAAACTCATGCATGCGTAAGCTCTGAGGGTTGAGTGACAAGGACGGCAGCAGGAGTGCAAACACTAAAGATATGTGACAGGAGAACTTTTGCTGTGACTCCTGCCGTATTGTGCCAAGATGCATCAGAGTCACGGATACAGAGTGTTTGAGTAAGAGAAGTACACACAATGAAACGATGCAAAGATGCAGAGGTCTGCAAAAACTAAGGGGGTGAATGAAATCAACACGTGCAAAGGTCAAAGAGGAAACTAATAACTAGGAACTTGTAAGCGTCTATGAGGAATGTAGGGTGTGTATTCACTCATGAATTAGATTTGAGTTTCAGATTTAAATTCAGATTCAAGGTCCTTACACACAGGGACGGACGCAAATATACGACGTGAAATTACAAAACATTCAGAGGTGAATTTTGACGCGCCTGACTATACACATTGACTGACATACCTGAGTAATGTGGATGGGGATCGATTTTCTCTTTCATGTGTATGCCTCAATCGCACTAAAACTGGATAAAGAGTTTGCACGAAGTTTAACATCATGGATTCCTTCCTCGGAAAAAACTTTCACTTCCTTTCACTCAAACAAGAAGCGTCTGTGTTTTCACCGTTCCCATTCACCTCTTGTGAACGTGTTTTACCAACCGTTTTACAAACTCAATAGTAACAAGCTGAAAGGGGGCAAGTGGCCACTTATTGTAGCAGAGGCAGATATGCTTCTGTCAATAATTAGATTTTTACCCTGTGCGTGTGAACTTGGTCAAGGACAGTAGTCGAGTTAAATTGTCTAAGCAAGTTTTAACTGTCAGTCTAAATGTGCACGTAAACAAAAGTGTGAAAGTCATTGGTCTGATTTGAATAATCTTTGTCGGACTTCAGGCTGCAGTTGAAATACAGACGAATTTGAGATTCCTGGTGCTTTTTGTTGAAATACCCCTAATGTGTCTGCAGTACATCTCTCATGATAAACCTGTCAGACCAAGTCAAGTGGACTTGTCACCCAATGGCAGGAAACGTTAGAAAATATGTCCAGACAACAAACAGGAGGCAACTCCTTAACTTAGTCAAAGCCTCTATCCTCTACAGTTACCTCATTAAAGAAAACTGGATCTAAAAACCTGAATACAAACTTAAGCAGCGGCATTAATCTTACTTTGCCTGCTTTTAACAATTAAATTTAGAATACAATTTTATAGATTTAGTCATAAAAAGTGTGGTATAGTAGCGTAGGTCGACTAAATACTGTAATAATAAATAATAAGAGGAGAAATTGTAGTTGTCTATAACTGAATGCATACCTGTGTGTATTTATACAAAAACACACAGTGTCAGAGGATGCCAGAGTGGAGCTGGAGACAAAGGGATCTGCAGTGACAGGTAATAAATAATGGAGGTGTAATATCACAAAATGGACGCTTGGTTTATAGGAGTGGAGAGGAGGTCAGCGGAGGGCGGAGCTCCGAGCCGAACAGCAGAACCAGTCCCTGGTGCATAAGCAGAGATCAATAACAATAATAAAGCACACAGCGGTGAATAATTCATCAGCGTGCTGCCCTCTCGCTGTCTCCCTCCATGATGTCCCCAGCTGACTCAAATCCTGTAGAAACAGATACAGTAAACCGCTGCAGCTGTCAAACTCTGGAGGACCTGTTTTTTTTCTCTCTCTCTATAACAAAGAACCAAATGCATATAATTAACACTTCTTTTTTCCCAGCATTTTAATGTCTTTGTAGATTCGATAACGCCATCTCTGATTACAGACGGTCTTTGGAGTGTGCACCAGTTCTGTCAGAGGATAAAATGTGGAAGTTTGTGTGTGGATGCTGAAGATAGTTGCTCCCCAGCTCTCTTCTCACCCCACTTTCCAACAAGAGGGTTGATCTACTTACATCTTGGGGGTGTTACTTTTTACACAGCTTTGTGGTTATGAAAAGTCCTGAGTGATTTACCTTTGCATTAAACATTTTAAGCTAGCTGTTAGCGCTCATATTAGCTTCCCATCATACTTTAGCCATAGTTCCTGTTGCCCGCAGCTCATGAAGGTCTTTATAGATGAACACCTCCAGAATTCAGTGACTGCTAAATTGAACACATCCTTTTCTCAGACGTTTCTCTTACGCCCTCTAGGAGGCACTACTATGCCCCCCCCCAAAAAAAAAAAAAACAAACAAAAAAAAAACAAATAGGTACTCCAACTCATTTATCCCCTCGCCTCCAAATATTTTGTAATTTCGCGTCGATATTTGCGTCGTTCCCAGTGTGTGAGAACCTTAAGTCTTGTTGTTGTTTGCAGTTTGTTAGCTTAACACCAGGCAATAAAAATACACTATAAGATCATGGACAGGTATCTTATTTTATCCTATGTTTTGGAACTCTACCTCTGTTTGGTATGAACATCAAACATGGTGATATTATATATATGAAAAGGCTCAAAAGGCTCAGTGCGATAGGTTTTAGAAGTTTTGAACTCAGGTGGAAATACATCTGAGAAAATATCTGTGATTTTTTTTAATCTGCTGTGTGACCTTCAAACTGCAGAAAGAGGCAGCAGTCATAAACTCTGAGCCTGGAGACAAACAGGAGGAGAAATACCCACAAGGTTTTTACTGCCTCTGATCTCAAGCCCCTGTGTGTAGTCTGCACTTACTCCCATTTTAACACTTAACTCAAACACACACACACAAATACACACACACTCCTCAGAGGGGCTCAGATGAATGACAAGATATATCCTTTTAAGAGCTGAGAGACACACAGCTGAGTACATATCACATCAAACATTAGACTGCCATCATGATCCTCTCTCCTCTTTACTTTGGGCTCTGGAGCGCGAGCCAAAGGGGAGTTTAACTCTCTGAAATAGGCCAAGTTTGAGGAGTAAACACTCGGAACAGCATCATGAGTTTAATCACACCACAAACACCATTTAATCTCATCTAGAAATGTCATGCTCTTTATCACAGGGTCAAATGAAAAACGACTGCAAGGACAAGAGAGGGATGAGTTCGGGGAAAAAAGAGCTCAAAATACCACCTGAACCAAATAACGCACCAAATATACACATGCAAGGTTGCCAACTGCTGTTGCTGCAAGCTGACTTCTCTACTCAGAAACATTTCAATAGTTAAAGTCTTTTTTTTTTTTACATTTCAAAGTAGTTTTTAGGTCCAAATTAACAATCCAAGGCAATTCTTTGCTGTCTTCATTACAGATTGCAATAAAATATTCTTTATGATCGTGACTTCTGGATCTACTCAAATAAATGCTGCACTGCTGTCTTTATTTTTATCATTTAGCTGAATTTCTGCAGACTACCTCAGAAAACCAAAGGTCAAAGGTTACAATTACCAAACAATTATGTTACACAAGTTGGTGATTCGATCATGAAAACCAAAAATTTACAGAACAGCTATTTCAAACGTGACACAGAAGTAAAACCATTCCCTACATTTTTGTGAGTGTGATATCTCAAGAACCCAAGAAAGAAATATTTTGAAATTTTGCACAAATGTTCTCTTGCACTTGAAATTATAATAGTAAGATTCTGAAGGTCAGAAGTTAGAGAGAACACAACAATAGAGTACCTGCAGGGAAGTAGATTTATGTTTAATTTCTACCCAACAGAGAGAATAATCCCAGCCAGAATCAATTTGGTGACTTCCATGAAAATAAAACAGTATTTAAGGTATTAGAAAAACAGTAAAAGAAAACCGTTTACATGTTTTATTTCTACTGGGAAATGTTATTTTCAGCCAACCACTCAACTAAACATATGTGGACATACACCCAGAGGAAAATCCTCACAAACAAAGCAGCTTACTGCGAGTTCTCTTTGAACAGAAAATAAGTAAAATCAAATGCAGCTTTTTTGACATTGAATTAAACAGAAACAGTACGTGTACAACACTTTTGATACTCCACTTTTGTAATAATTAAATAAAATGGGCGCTTTTTTTCAGATTAAGTACTTATAAAGTTATTGTTGGCTTTAGTCCCTGTCAGGTCAATACTTTAAAACATAAATTAAACCCCAAAGTGCAAAATAATCCCTCTGTCCAGACCCAAAAATAGTGAACAACCTTTGGGCCTGTGCAGAACAAAAGGAGGATGCAAATCATGCAAAGAAAGCTGCAAAATCATATTAGTAAATAACACCTTTCTCATCTGTGTGATGTAACTTTTATTTCTGAACACCTCTGCACATTTTCTCAATATCAGGCTGCAAGATAAAACTGTAATCCTCACACAGGCTCCATGGGTTATTTTTGGATTTAGCTCAAAGTTAAGAAAACTTGATTAAAGTTGCCAACATTTCTCAAAAGATGGATAAAACTTCAAATACAGACTTTTTAAAAGTTTTTGGTGTTGCATTTGTGGTTTTAAGCAAGAGTTGAGCTCAGACAAATATCTTTGAGCAGTTTGGCACCATGTTGTAGACGCAGGATGTGACACACATTTATGCAGACATATATTAGGATTTTGTATTTGACTTGAAGTGGACTCTATGTGCTTTACAGTAAGGCGAAAATATTACATACAGACCAAAATGAAAGCTAATGTGGTTGGTACCTGTTGTTGGTGGTTTTGTTTGGGTGTAAAGCGTTTTGTCAAATGTTTTCACAAATATTTCCGCCACCGCAGCCGTAGTTACTCTGTCGTTCTGGGAGAAACACTAATTGGATGTAACTCAAAGTTGACTGGCTCTCAGAGGAACCTAACCATGAGGGGGTGTTTCTAGCCGTTAGAGGAAAATCACATCAGAAGTTGCTTTTGAGAGTAACCTTTAACCTCGCTCCAGCTAACTAGCAAGTGTCAGATCTCATCCTCTATCAGACGTTTCCAGCAGGCATGTGATCGTCAGTTTGAGGCTGATGTGACAAATTTAGCCTGAATCACTGTAAACGGTGACAGCTAACGAGATTCAGGGAGAAGGAGTGTTTTTAGCCGTGGAGTTAAAGTGCACTAATGAGATTTGTGCACCGGGCGAAGAGAACGGTGTGTGTGTTTCTCTCTCTCTCCACCTCTGGGAGATTCCTGTATCACATCAGGTACAAACACCTGCTTGCTGAGAGGCCTCCTGAGCAGCTGTGAGCCTGAAACAGCTGCAGAGCCCTCCCCCCAGAGGAGACCCCTCATCCTCCAGCCAGCTCCCGGCTCTCCTCTGTCTCCTGTAGCTAAGGGTGGAGCGGGGGGGAAGCTGTGGGTGTCTGGTTCTGGTCCTACAGGCAGACTGACAGACAGACGGGCAGGCGGTGCTGTGGGACCTCTGAGTGTCATGTCTGCACCGAATTCCCAGCATTCCCTGCAGCAGCTTGCCTCTGTACTTGGCTTCATCAGATTTTCTCCTATCACGCTGATGTTCTCTGCTCACATTAGGCGCTGCTCACTTCTGTTCATTTTGAACAGATTTAGTTGGAAATTAACAGAAGTTCACATTAGCATTAATGGTTAAACCTCTTAAAAGTCTGATGGTCTGCCTACTTCTGCTGCAACGGAAACGGTCTCTAAAATCCAAAAAGATTTAATCCAAACACACTTAATCCATCAAAGCATGAATTATTTCAAAAAGGAAAACAAAAGCATATTTTAGGAGAGTTGTTAAAGGTGTATAAACAAAAAAGCTTTTAATATCAGTCAATAGCTATTAGTTATTGATGACATTTGATAATACAATGATATCGCTGTGTTTTGTTATGTCTGTGTAGTCAACATTTTAAAATTTTTGAGCGCCCGCTCTTTCTGACTGTAAACAAAGCCATTCTCCGCCTCCTTCAACCTGATTGGTTGTGAGGCGGACACTGTTGCCTTGTGTTGTGAGGCACGCTCCACGTCCTCAAATAACGTTCACGAGCCCAGACAAAGTTAGCGTGCTACAACATTGGACTGTAGAAACCAACCAGGAAGTACGGAAAAATGTCTGAATCCTGAGCATAAAACGATTGGGACGCTTTGGGATCTTATGGACCCTGTAACCTTTCTGCTGGACAGGTAAACTGCTTTAACAAAGTAAGCCAAGTGTCTGTAACAGAAGTGTTTCTTCCTGCTGCGTGTTGTAGTGCCGCTAAACTGTTAACCACGGGTCCCAGAGTATGTCACTTTTTCCGCAGTATTTTCAGGGATTTTGTACAAATAGCTGTGGCTTATTTTAAGAGCAGTTAAGTCGTACTGTAAGCCCTGTAAAATAAAACAGCCTTAAAATTACTTTGAATAGGATTTATGTTGCTTTGAATATGATACTGCACCTTAAAGTTATGAGATGTTTATAAAGAGAATGTCTTTTCTCTCCTTCTCTACCAACACACCTGATTCAAATGATCAGCTCGTTATTAAGCCATTACAGAGCTTGATAACGAGCTGATCATTTGAATCAGGTGTGTTGGAGCAGGGAAACATCCAAAACATGCAGGACGGGGGGCCTCGAGGACTGGGGCCTGTTCTACGAAGCAGGATTACTGCTTAGCGAGGTAACTTTGAGGGTAAGTTCGGGGTTTCCTGTTCTACGACGCGGGTTCACTTCTGAGCGAGGCGAGTCTCCATAGCAACATGCGCTGAACGGCTAACCTGCTCCGGGGCAGGTTAAGTTCCAGATTGAACTCACCGAGCATAAAAACCCCGCCCACTGACCAATGAGCTCTCTCGAAAAACGGCTTGTCCGTTCTCGGAGGATCCTGTAGACCTCGGTGCTCGCATTGTCCAAGGAGCACTCCGGCTCGCGAGAGTTTTCAGGGAGAGTTTTCTCCGGATGACCACCTTTATGAAAGGCTCAGATGGCCGACATATTACACAAAACATGTAAACACGATAGGAATGAACAAATGAATGATTCATCTTGGGAATGAATGGGCATGGGCTGCGCGTTCACAGACAACATCTCGGTACTATTTAGTAGCAGCGCATGCCCCTTATAATAACCCCGTAAATACTGTTGTTCAGGACTGCTTACTTGTGCTTCCTACCCACTGTAACAACCGTTGTTCTAGCCCACATGCAACATTTTTGTTCTCATTCATGAAACGCTTAAATCAGGGACATTTTCGGGGACAGCTTTAGCCGGGGACAGATCATCCAATTCGGGGACTGTCACCTTAGTTAAAAGCGCATGTTGAACAGTGCTATTTCAGGGTGATAATGGCATCAAAGATTACTTTTCTGCCAGCATTCCCTCCATGCTTTTGCAGCGGCGACGGTGTTGCTTTTGAGGTTTATGATAGCTTTCAATTCTTCATACTTTCTCATGACCGTCTCCTGTTCCTCGTTTGTAAAGTCTGTGGTCCTTCACTCTCCAGCCTGCTCTGACGCTCCAGACTGATCTATGTTTACAATTGGTCAGATGCGGCGGGCTCCGCCTTACATGTGTGCACGCGCTCATAGCAAAGCTGGATCAACTTACGAGGTTCATAACCAGCGTCGTAAAACCGTGTAGCGAGACCGCTGGCTACCGCGCTAAGTTGAGTGAGGTAGCTCCAAGGCGACCTCGCTAGGTTGAACTTGTTTCGTAGAACAGGCCCCTGGACTTGAGAAGCACTGCTCTAAACCCTCTCTAAACCGGATGCAGTAGCAGCAGATGACTGTCTAACACGAGTCTGGTTCAGCTCAAGGTTTCTGCCTCATCTTTACATTGGGTCTCTTAATACGGTATGGTCTTGACCAGCTTTTTTTAAGCATCTTGGGATAACACCTTATTCTTAAATTTCTGTATGAATATCTGTTTCTTTAATGCCTACTCATCCAGCCAAACAGGAGCCATTTCTTCCTACAGATCCAAAAGGAGATAAATAACACACTCAGTGCTTTTCTTTTGTTCCTGCTGACAAAAAAAAGAGTAAAAATCCAGATTTTATCCACAATTATGCAGGCAGAAACACACACTCACCCACACACATCATCCCCTTAAGGCTACAACCGGGGACAGCCCGTCCACACAGGAAAGACCTTGTCATCTCATTTCATAGCTGGACTAGCAGCAGCCTCAGGGGAGGGGAGCAGAGTGAGGAAGGTGGCAGGCTGAGGTTAAAGCTGAGTAATGTGTAAGTGATGAGACTCTGAGTCATGAAAACACTGCAGGGATTGCAGAGATATCTCCCCGCCGTGTCAAAGACTCACGCCGCTCACCTCGTCTCTTCAGCTTGGCCTCTGATCAGCTCTTCTTTGTCAGGTAGGAACGCAGCAACCTTGGACCATCCTTTCTGCGGCTTCAATCAAACACTCAGCCCTGGATGTTTTATGTGCGCGCCCTTCGAAAAACCATATCAAGAGCCGGGGCGCGTTTGTTTGCCGTGCTCAGCTGTAAGCGACACTGACACAGAGAGGATGTTAGCGGGGGTCTGACAGCCTGGGGAACATCCCGGGGGTTGTTTAAAAAAAGGAGGGGAGGCTTCAGGTGTGTGGAGCAAGCCCTGCAGCAGGAGCCGACATATGCATGGAGCTAATTAGCCACGCAGCGCTTATGCAAAAAACCTTTTAACTGTTTCCAGCCATCAAGCACCTTGTGATTCGCTCTGACAGGCCCTCCGCTCTGCTTTGCATACAGACGCCGACGAGGGTGTTTAAAATTTCATCGGCTTCCCTCAGCAGAGGCCTACTGCTGCCCGAGATCATCCCTCCATCAAGCTGTTTGGCAAGCAGCTTCTGTGTTTCATTAACCCTTCTTCAGACTGCTCTGATACGCCTTTTCCTTCTCCCTCCAGAGACTGTTTGAATCAATGCAAAGATCTGATTTCTGCACATGAGGGTAATGGATTCAGTTTAGAATGGAAATAAAAATGAGTGTCAGTACTCTGTCTGAGTCACTACGCTTTGAAAACAATCAGATATATCGAGCTAAAGGGAGAGCGTGAGTCTCCAGTGATCTCGTGAAAGACCACCTGTTCACCTAGTCAGGCAGCCATGAATGTTTGCAGAGAACAGCTGAAGGTTTGAAGAGCTTCTCATAAATTTTCTTTCATTACAGGCCAAAAAAATAAACTCACTGATTGAAAAAAAATGAAGGATTTTTAGAGGTTTGAAAATGTCTGAGACTTGCGGCTCTTGTCTGTTCTGATACGAGTTTGAATATCAAGGTAAAAGTCAATGAATCTCGAAGTAAAAATGCTTTTCATTTTTGCTTTATGAGGCACGGCTGCCAGAGAGAGGTGCAGAAGTCTTTTGATCAAGCTATCAATTCAAAACTCAGACTGCTGCAGAGAAATTTAATAATGGCAAAACATCTCAAACTAACTGTAATGAATAGTGCCCCCAGTTCCAAAAGAGTTAGCACACTGTAGATGGCTGTAGATGATGAAACCCACTAGTTCTTTAACATTTTACACTCAGGATCATGATTCTTATGAACCTCTTTCCATCATTCCTTCCTTCAGTTATGTTACTCACCCTTTTCTTAACCTTCCTCCTGTGTTAGCTTTCACTACACACCCACTATATTATCAGGTCGGTTTTGACCCGTGCCCTAAATCAGCTGCAAATTACACTAAAAACAATTCTAAATCATCCAATTTGGTTCTCATCTCTAGGTTACCTTGTTGAGCTTCATTATCCATGAAAATTTTGCTTATAATACCTTTTGTTGTGGTCCTCTGGGCCTTTCTTTGTCAGTATACCCCTCTTACAGACATCTATACTGAATTGATCTCACGTGTCTGGACATGCCCGACGTTGTTTTTTTGTGCAGGAAAAAACACGAAAAAATGAGAATTTTCTAAATCTCACATGATTGGAAGATGATCTGACTGTCAGTGTGGTGCCTGACAGTGCACTTATGATTTTAGTTTTTGCTCTAATTATTAGATACTGATCTAACCGGGTCAACAGGGACCCTAACATTGCAAGTGCCATAATTTTAATCAGAGCATTTGATAATTTTGTCGATTTTTTTTACATTTATTTTAATTTTGTTAAAATAGAGGTTCCCGACAAAATCAAAAAGTCTTGATGCAAAAAAAGCTAATTTAAGTGGTTCTTTTAAGCAAATAAAAACAAAAATGGGTCATTGCAGACCCTAACACAGGAGGAGAGTTAACACCCTGTCGTGTTACTAACCTGTTGCATATTTTGGAGATGTTCCTCCAGCTGTTTTCTTTTTCGAATTAAATATCTTACACAGTGTCTAACTTTTTTGGTACTAGAGTTGTACTTAATTCTGATCATGAGTTCTGTTCGATGGACGATGATCAGATTGAACACACCTCCCCGGTTGTTGTCGTGTTCATGTTCAACCTCCTCTGGTCTGCCTGGTATAAACGCTGCCTTCTTATGACAGGTAATGATGCTGATACTGAAACTAATCCGAGCTACACGAGTTTCCAGGTCAGAGCTATTCCATCTCCATCACATTCTGTCAGCTCCCATCATTGTCTCATGTCAGTCACTGATTGGCGGGGCTGATTACCTCTCCTTTGTGGCACATTTACATTCAGCTGAGGTAGATCCACGGAGGCACACGGAGAGTGAACGGGAGGCAGGGAGGCATCTTAGTCAAGGGCAGGGTGACAGCAGCACAGCTGTTGACTGATATGTAGTCAGAGCCAGAAATCAAATCAGTGACCTTTCTGTTATAGACCTCGATCTGTATTAATACCAGGGTGCTCCGGTTTGATGTACTTCACTGCTGGGGATGTCTCGCACCGCCATGATGGCTCCTACCACACCGGCTGTGTCAGGAGGACTAGCAGCTGCTCGATGATTTCAGCTGAGGGTCCTATTGTGTGGTTTTTTGAGTCTTGCATTATGACAAAATTCCCAGTTTTACACACAATGGTAACACTTCACCAATCAATTGAAACCACATAAGCTAACTATTTAAACCGGCTCCTCATTTATACTGGATCAGGACTTCTCACTGCAAGCTAAAGATGAAAAAAAGATTGACAGGGACAGTGGAGGACAATCATTATGGCCTGACTCAAAATTCACCAGTTGCTTCACGGAGTAAGGCATTCTGGGATATCTGGCATCCTGGTTATGGCTGGCAGCAACACTTTTTATAAACTATTCTCATTTATTCTGTCAAAATGATATTTTTACAAAAAATTGTGATAAACTTTGAAGTACATAAACATTAAAGGCTCACGAGTGTATAGTAAAGTATAATATGGTAGGGTATAGTATAGTATAGCACCGTATAGTAAAGTATAGTATGGTATAAAAAGTCAAGTATCTCATGCAATGGTGTAGGTAAAAACAAAAGCTTAGTGAAATAAAGTTAATTATGGTGTAGAATATTAAAGTATAGTATAGTAGGAAATAGTAGGGTATAGTACAGCAAGTTATTTTATATTTAGAAAAATGTGGTATAGTCAAGTAAAGCATAGTATAATCAAGAACAAAACATTAAGGATTAGTGTTTAATACTAAAGTAAAGCATTGTATACGATTGTAGAGTATAATGTGGTGCAATTTTGTATAATACAGCAAATCAAAGTATGATATAGAAAGGGTAAAGGATAGTTTCATATAGTTCAGAAATTTGTAGCATAGAATAACATTGCATGACAAAGTATTTATAATCCTCACGTGTAGTACAGTTGTATAGTAAAGCATAGTTTACTATAATTTACTATGGTTTAGTATAGTATAATATTGTGTAGTGTAGTCCGATGCGGTAGTATAGTAGATTTAGTAGTATGTCCAATAAAGTATAGTATAGTATAATAAAGATTGCTTTAAAATAGTGGAGTATAGCATAGTAAAGTTTAGCACAGTTTAATATAGTACAATACAACATGCTAAAGTATAGTACAGTCCTATGTAGAACAACCCAGTGCAGTATAGTATAGTATAGTATATTGTAAGGTAGTTGTAAATAGTATAGTACAGTATAGTACAGTATAGTTTAGTATAGTACAATGTAATACAGTATAGTATAGTATAGTATATTGTAAGGTAGTTGTAAATAGTATAGTACAGTATAGTACAATATAGTTTAGTATAGTACAATGTAATACAGTATCGTATAGTATAGTATAGTATAGTATAGTATAGTATAGTATAGTATATCATAAAGTGGTATATAGTTTATATATAGCTTATTTTAATGTAGTGTAGTAGATATAGTTTTATTTGGGATAGTAAAGTGTATTGTAATGTAGTCAAAGATCGAATAAAACAGAAGTGCACTCAGCACACAAAACTGCAGCAGTTACCACAGTACCTTAAAATGTTAATTTAGCATAATGTCAGTTTTTATGACACTGCCCAGTAGAGTTTGCTTATTGAGGCTGAACTGGTCATAATCTTTGACAGAAAACTAGCCCAGCTGAAGCTTACATCAAGTGAAGTAAAGTCATGATCTCTTTTTTTTTTTAAACATATAGATACTCCTCGGTAAAGTTTGCTTATCAAAAGTTGGTGCAGGTCTGATTCAGTGAGGTGTTCAGCACTCTCAAGGTGAGTGACCCTCCTCTTCTGTTCTCTGAAAAACAGTAAGCTTCTCATGCAAGTTGGAGTTTGCAGACTCTAACAGACAGAGGGAAGACGCCCAGAGTCAGGGTAAGTATATGAACCCTGTCTTTTTCTCACTCTGCATCAGTGACTGGAGGATTTACTCGAGCGGCTCAAGAATGGATAAATGGATGTGAATAAACCTGAAGATACACCAGCAGGGTGTCAAGAAATATTGGACACAGATGACTTTGTGTCACCCAGGAGCAGCAGCTCATCAGTCCATGAAACTGGCAACCCTTACAGAGGAGGTGACTCACTACTTGTATAAAAGTGCTTTAAGTAGAAGTTGAAATGTAAAGGAAGTCAAAAAGCTTATGAGCCTCCGCAGGATCAAACTTCAGAGCAGAGTGTGAGAACAAAGTAGCCGTGAGCTGCCCATCATCCGCTTAGAAAACCAGCCAAGTGTTTCCAGTCAGAACAAGATCTGCTCAGTTACACACACCCTTCTTTACATCTTACTGGTTTTTTTTGGGTCCTTTTTAGATTTCATTGTCTCTTTGTCCACAACATCCTCTTTCTGTCTCACTGAGTCTCAGCCAGGTGCTACTTCATAAACTGAAGTGTCCAAAGAAATATCTCTCCAGAAAAAGAGGCCATTTGTCTAAAACCTTTGCACAGTAATCAGTACGGCTGGGCGATATGGCCTCAAATCAGTATCACAATATATCGAGCAGTTTACCTTGACAACGACAAATGGTTGATAACTATTCCACAAGCTGCTCACCCCCTCCCACATTAACTTCGTCTACTTCAGCCGCCACTCCAGCTGCTACAACTTTTGACCCGTCCTCCATCTCCTCACCTGTCTTTCCCTCTTTCTTACAGACTGGATGGGGTGGAGTCATGCCTCTCATATAGGACAGAGTCTTAAAGGGAGATGAGACCATAGCCTACCTACACACATCCAAAACCAACTTTTATTTATTTTTTGACATGGGCAAAATGACGTCGGATATCGTCGTAAATTATGGTATCGGTAATTTTTTCAGTTTATTGCCCAGCCCTAGTAATCGGTGTTGGTGAGAAATGGCTGCTAAGAGTTTTAGTGTTATGATGCCAGTCAATAATGACCAAAATTCAAACCTCACTTATTTTGAATGTGGAGTTTTAAGTCCATATTAACAATGTAAATTAGTTTTTACAAGTGTATTGGTTTGTGAATCATTTAAATGTGGGTTATAATCTTACAAACAACAAATGCTGCTCCGCTGCACCAAAGCAAGAATCAGTGGGAGGAGACAGCTTCAGTTTCAATATGGTGTGCAGTCATTCTGAGGTACTTTGGACGACCCACTGGCATCCAAGGATCCCTGGATAATGCAACAGCACTCGCACTTTTCAGGAAGTCTAGTTTGGCTGCTTTCCCTGTCTCCTTCCTCCTTAACACATAGACATATTGCATGGCAGCCTAAGGATGTCCCTTCATCTCAAATCTTGTGTAGTATTGTCAGTTTTAACCCATTTCCACTAGGGGTGGGAGGAAAAAATTGATTCACATAAGTATCGCAATTTTTAGTTTTACAATTTTGAGATCAATTTTTACCGTATTTTTCGCACTGCAAGGCGCACTTAAAATCCTTTTGGCTTGTCGGAGCACTGCAGCTACCATAGCCTTGCGCAGTTATCGAATGAGTTCAATAAAGTTTGACTTATCTGACTGTTTTGTTTGGCTTAATGCGCTTTATAATCTGGTGCGCCTTAATGTATGAAAATAGACACATTCATCGATGGTGCGCCTTATTGCGCGAAAAATACGATATGTTCAAAAATTGATTTTTTTTTCGAATTTAAGAATAAATCTTAAAACCTGACTTGCACATGATGTGTATTTTTTGGGGAAATATGGTTCCTGGAATAGTCAGCAGACGATCATGATCATTCAACTGTTTCACTGGTGTTAGAAATGTGGACTACAAATCTAGAAAATTAAAAATATCGTAGAATCGCAATTTAAATGGAATCCTCATCCAAAAAAATCGTTGAAGAATTGAATCGGATCCACACATGGTGAGAGTTTCATACTGTAGAGACTTTTTGTAATTTTTAACAATTGTAGAGGACATCTGTGTTTTTACATGTCATCTGTCAGAATAAATCTATACTGTGAACCTGTTAAGCATATTTTTTCCTGCAGACTGCTTCAACAGTAAATTTTATCTGACTAAAGCCCACAGCCTGAAGAGTTCAGTTTACCTCAGCCTGATCCTCTATAAATAATGCATCTAAAAATAGAAACACCTTTTTTCTTCCTTTAAATGCAACTCAAACTAAATGAAATATTGATCGCAACGGGCTGGTTGTGTAAGATCCCGGAGTCTACCTGACCCTGGGACAGTTTGTTTTAGTCGGTAAACATCCATTAGTGCAATAACATTGGGCTGTCTTTGTCAGCTGGTTGCACTTATTTTAAACCAGGGTTACATTAGCTGTAGGAGACTTTAGCATACTGTAGCTCATTTAGTATGAGGGGGTAATAAATCACAGTTTGCTCAGATTCTTAGTTAGCTACAACATGACTTGTGGGGTCCTCTCTTGATTCTATTTTCTTGCAGAAAAGCATTTATCTAATTGACAATAAAGGTAAGAATCTATCTTAAGAAAAGGGGCTGTGTGGATGATAATGCACCTATTTTAAGGGACAATTAAAGCAGCGCTGGATGAAGCAGAGTGTCTTGAGAGTATCATATATTTGCACTTGCAAAAGCTCAGAATGCTGGCTTTTTATTTGGTGCAAATAACCTTTTTACTCCTAAAAGCATCCCTGTTGCCCTTAAATAAACACTTTATTAGATTATAATACAGAGGCTGGAGGGTAATCCATTAAAGCACTCGGATCCTGCACACACAGCGAGACGATGGAGGCCTTATTGAAGTGAAGTGAGGTCTGAAATCACAGAGGAAACAAAGCTCAGCTCGGTTATTAATGGGCTCAGTCTGTCTTGGACACATTTGCCATTTCTGTAATGTCAGAGCAGTGAGGGAGGACCCAATAAAACACAGAGCCTGGAAGCTCCACTTATTACAATTAATAATTCATTCGAGTGCATTAACCAGGCGAAATCCACAGTTTCATATGGCAGGAGGGGAGTGTGTTAGTGTGTGTGATGGTGTGTGGCTGTGCCGCTGTCAGAACGGAGGGACACGGGAACGAAAAGCTTCGCCGCGCTGACGACTGAAGCGGGTCTGCGAGCCATGAATAATAGATGGAAATGTCGATGAACAGGGTAAAGCTACATACGGACAGATTTTTAATCTACAAAGTTTGACTCTCAAATAGGAAAGTTGGAGACGGTGACAGATGCATCAGGCTGCTAAAAATACAGATCATAGCTCATCATGTCTGAATACTGAAATCTCATTTTTCTTTCTCTGGGAGTGATAAAGAGCTGTAGTGTTCAGGCTGCAGGCTGGCAGTGTCTCACGAAGAAAACTACACTGCTGAATTAGTTTGGACTCATTCCTGTAGATCCTTTTATACCCTGTTTTTAAAAGATATATGCAGGCTTTTAAAAAGCCATTCTTCTTTCACCATTTGACCTAAAAAAATACTCCATTCCCAATCTTAACAACCCGATCTGGGCATTTATTTACTGATTAACACAGAAGGCATCCCCCAGGGCTCTGTGCTTGGTCCTCTCTTATTTTCTCTTTACATGCTTCCTCTCAGTAAAATCATTCACAAGCATGGACTTCACTTTCACTGTTAAGCTGACGATGTCCAAATTTATATTTCCACCAAGTCAATCACTTCTTTTACTAGTGTTGTAGTACTCCAGATCGGTCTTGGTCTCAAGACCAGTCTCGAGACCATTTTTTGAGGGTCTTGGTGTCATCTCGGAATCATCTTGGTCAGATCTCTGGTCTTGGTAATGTCTTGGTCTTGGTTTGTGCGGTCTTGACTACAACACTATCCTTTACCACGCCCCACAGACTGCCTCTCATAAATAAAGAAATGGAGAAATAAATAAAAAAATGGAGACTAACTTCCTTCAGCTGAAGATAAATCAGATTTCATCATCACAGGCTCCATTTCCCTCACCCAAAACCTCTGCCTCAAAAAATCATACTCCCTCTGAAACAACAAATCTGGGTTTACTACGAGTGAGTATCTTTTCGTTTTTTTCAACTGACAAAGGTCCCGAGAAGTCATGAGAACAAACCTTTCTTAAACCTTTTAGATTAATATTGATATCATGGTTTTAAACACCTGGGATCTGATATTTCACTTTAATGAAAACGATCATGAAAAAAAAAAAGTTCAAATTTTTGCTATCCAAAGTACGACAGAGTATTAGGGCTACATTAAGAAAAAAAAAATTAAGACGTCGTAATTACTTACGAGAATAAAGTCGTAGCTAATAGCTATTCTGACCTGCTGTTAGTTGTTTAAGTGAGCGCTGTGGAGCATTTAGATGAATTGAACTTCAGTAGCTCGGTTTCACAAACAAGGAGATACTAAATCCTTTAACGTTTCAGCATCACATTGTCATAAGTATCAGGACATATGCAAGAAATGCATTTTTTCCAGAAAAAGAACTAGGTGGACTTGTTGGGAATCAGCGTTTTTGAGGAGGGAGAAATGGCTGGAAATGTCTGTGCGGAGGCTTAATCCCTCAATGCAGCCGCTTATAGCAATAGCATATGGCTTTAGTTTATCGTATGAATCTATATGCCATAAGGTGTTGGTGCCTCTGCAGGTGTAGGTTGCTGCCGGTGTTGTGCCAGCATCAGAAACAGACACGGTGCCTTTCAGAGCTCGATTCCCTCTGAATCACAAATGTTGATCATCAGTTGGTTTGTTTCTTAAGAAACCACAAAAGCTCTCTGGATGGCCCACTGATGCACCCACTGATAACTCTGCAGTTGACCAGTTCAGACATTTCCTCCTACACAAAAGCAGCTTTAAGGCTTCATTTACTTTAGGACTTTATCCTCATAAATAATGACTTCATTATGACTAAATTCTTATAAGTAATTATGAAGTCTTAAATTTTTTCTTTCTTAATGTGGCCCTAATACACCATCGTGCCAAAGCATCCCTGTTTGTAAAACTAGATATTATAAATTCTTTTAAAATGTATTTTTCTCCTTAAAAAATTGAGCGAATAAGAACTAAAGACCTTTATTTTGAGTATGAGCCAACTTTACATAAAGACAGTGCTTACTCAAGGAGTAAAAAAAAGTCCACACATGCTCAGAAAGTTTGTTGATTTAACTCACACCAGCGCAACCTGGATATGATGTCAGAGATAAGTGCTGCAAAATGACATAAAGTATATCAGCCAGTCTAAGAGGCGCGCTGCATCTCTAAAATATTCTTTAATCACATTTTGAAACCATGTAGAGGACAAAGCTGGATTTAATCTGATTATTTAAAGAGCTTCAAGATTTGCAAAGCAAATAAAGTCATTTTCAGGAGAGTATCTCACTGTTAAAACAAAGATAATTTGGATTAAACTATTGTTTGAAGAAAATAATTCTAATTCAATTATTAGTAAAACAGACTGAACATATTGTATAGCACACAGACCCGCCCTGCAGCAGCAGGATGGCAGTGACATTAGTAGCCCACTATGACTGATTATTCTGAACCTGCCCCACCAAACTTAGAGCAAATGATCCTTAAAATAGACTGAGTCAGGGTGCTGTGTGATGCAAGGCAAGGAGTGCAGGGATATATTTTATCTTTGGCTCTGAGAGTGCAACACTGTGGGGAATAAACTCGGCATCAAACATCGGGAGCTTAGACCAAAAGTCACTGAAATGTCTCACACTCCAGCGGATGCATTCATAAAGCCTCCTCGTACAAAGAGCTGCTCCCAGAGGTGGAAATCAGAGACATTTTAATGAATAATAAGGTTTTCTAAGAATGACTCCTGGTGGGATTAAAGTTACTCACAGAGTTTCAAAGTGCCATGCGAGCTCCTACAGGGAAAAAGCGTTCAGAGCAGTGAGGAAGACTTTCTTGAGCAGAGGAGAAAATGAGGAAAGATGGAGATTCAGAGAAAATTAATGACAGTGAGTTCATTTAATACAATCGGTCGGATCAAACTGTGATTATGTTTGTGTTCATGACAATACAACACAACAGAAGTGCGAAACACAGAAGCAAAATACTAAAGGAAAGATCTCAATGGAAAGACTGAGAAACTGAAACTCCTGATTTTGTGGATTGAGGCTTGAAGACACTTACAGAAGGAGACCCCAGAGAATCACTGCTTAGGAGGAGGATTTTAAAAGTACATTTTGAACCAATACTTAATGACCCTGATATATACAGTAGTTAGTGATCATCTGACATTAGAAATTACACCTGCCAGGATTGAAGCTGTCCCAAACATCGGAATTATGTTATCAGTTTTGTTTTCCTTTCGCTTCATCCGGGTCGTGGGGGCAGCAGCTTCAGGAGGGAAGCCCAGACGGCCCTCACCCCAGCCACCCCCACCAGCTCCTCCGGGGGGATTCCCAGGCACTCCCAGGAGAGATATAATCCCTCCACCTGGTCCTGGGCCGGCCACGAGGTCTCCTCCCGGTGGGACATGTCTGGAACACCTCTAACGGGAGGCATCTAGAAGGCATCCTGACCAGATGCCCGAGCCACCTCAGCTGACTCCTCTCAACGTGGAGGAGCAGCGGTTCTACTCTGAGCGCCTCCCGAGTGTCCGAGCTCCTTACGCTATCTCTGAGCCTTACGCAATCTTGTTCTTTCGGTCATTACCCAAAGTTCATGACCATAGGTGAGGATCGGCACGTAGATCGACCGGTAAATCGAGAGTCTCGCCTTATGGCTCAGCTCTTTCTTCACCACAACTGATCGGTTAAGCTTACGCATCACAGCTGACGCTGCTCTGATCCACCTGTCAATCTCCCACTCTTTTGTTGTCAAAAACAAAAGTAATCTGTGATGATTTATGGTTTAATTTTAATAAAATTCTGTTATTTTTATTGTTATTAGCTGACTGTGCCAGACAAAGGCTGAAGTCTTTATTGATGTCTTTATCTGATGTCTGTTGACCAATCAGAGGCTGTATCTGCCGTCAGCTGACCTGTAAAGGTGAGGTGCAGCCAGAGCCTGAATATATCTAAACCCTCAGGATAGAAATACAAAAAATAGACCTGTTCTGGAAGGATTCATCCAACTCAGTTTATTCTAGTATCTATCAGTAGATTTGTAATTTCTTTGCATATTATTGCAGTAAATCATTTTTTTTTTAATTACACAAAAACATACTGACTATAAGTCACACAATATGGGAGTGTCCAAGTGAGAAAGTCAACGCCGTCAGTAAAACGAGAAGATCACATAATTAAAGGCGCAACTCTTGTCGAAGTCTCAAATCCCATCTCTGCCCCCTACACAATGAGATCTGATCAAATAAAAAATACTGAACATACTTAATATCTCTGGTTAAATCAGTGAAGTCAGACAAGAGAAGTGAAATCAGTCTCTATAAACTTCTCATTCTGACTAAATTGTCCTTCAGGCAAACACAAATTCTGAGTTTTGCAGTCTTCTGTCTACTGTGTGAACTTAAAAAACTCTTTCAAAGAGTCCTTGCTCAAGTTTCTTACCCATCTGTTTTTTTCTTTTTTGTTGTTGTTGACTCCTGTCTGTATTAAAAGGTGCATGTTCTCTAGTATAATACTGGCTGTAAGCGTCTAAAACTCACTCTTGAAGAATGACTGTAGTAATATGTCGCAGGTCCGGCAGGTGTTTTTCAGTAACACAGTGGTTACCCTTCACGTAGCTACAAACAGCTGCAGGTGAGGCTGATGTCTCCTCACATTTTACTCTCTCCTTCGGGTTATCGTCCTGCGAGTACATCTTAAGTGGTGACAGTGCTATTATACCAAAGCACTGGAGTCAAGGGCTGGAGTGAAGGGCAGAGCTTTATGTTTCTGTTTGTAGCCCGGTGGCAGCAGTTTGTCAAACATACAGGGAAGGTGACTGCAGTTACAGCGCCGTGTCATTTAGCCCAGATGACCCAGCTTAGGCATTGCTCTGTCTTTTAATATCAGCTTCAATTACGACCGAGCAGCAGCGGCTTCTCCGAGCTGCCCATCAGACGTTTACAACAACGAGAGGCCTCAGAGCCCCCGGGCAGCAGCTCTGGATATTACCTCTGCGAGGCTTTCGACCGCATTTTTCTGCCATTTATTTTAACAGCTTTGCAGACAGTGAATTATTTCCTCAATAAAAGCTTCTTGTAAAAACAAATATAAAAAATGTTGGAGGGAATAAAGAGATATATAAACTTAGGAGTGGATTTTTCCTGTACAACAGCCTGCAAGCTCCAGAGGTGCATTAAGAGGGAGCAAATGCTGGTTCAAAAGAGTGGGATTGTATGAAGGATGTTAAGAAATGTAGCTGTCCTTCTTTCATTATTTCATACATTTAGATTTCGGCTTTTTGGCGTAAAACAATACCGACCTATTGAGGTTCAGTTTAGGTACTCTTAGCCAAACTGCTGCGCCCTAATTTTGGATAGACTGATGTAAAAATCTGACATTTATGCCATATCAGCGTGTTTTTAAGCAGATAGTTCATCTGTGAACTTACTGTAAAGTATAATCGACAATATGATCGTATTTCTGACACAAAACAACCTACTTTTTATCATCAAAAGTAGGGCTGGGCGATAAACCGAAAATTTACCTATACCAAAATTTGCGACAATAATGACCTAATCTTCCCCATGTCAATATATTCGGTGTCAAAAAATACGCAAATAAAAGTTGGTTTTGGATGTGTGTAGGTAGGCTGTGGTCTCATGTCCTTTTAAGATGCTGTCCTACATCAGAGACGTGACTCCACCCCATCCAGTCCCTAACAAAGAGGGAAAGACAGGTGAGGAGATGGAGGACGGTTCAAAAGTTGGAGCGGCTGTAGTGGCGTCTGAAGTAGACAAAGTTATCCCATTTAAACTGGGACAGCATGTACGCATTTCAACCTTCCAAGCCAGCGGCGCCACTGCTCATGTCTACCCTTTAAGCCTGGAGCATAGATACGTCATTTTGTAACATTCTGTAGTTTTTTAATCTTTTCTGGAGTCGTGGCGAATCAAATCATACCTGTCTGCCTCTGATATGCTAATAAAGTGCTCAGATTGATGCTCGGATTTTGCTACGTGTTTCGTGAGTAAAGTAAACAATGATGGAGGCAGAGAGCAGCTTCGGAGGAGAAACATCCAGCAGTGTGAACAACCTCTTCATATGGAGGTCTTTGGCTCACACTATCTGCGATTTCTGTGACTGTTGCATGACTTTGGGTGATCACAGAGATGAACACACTGTCAGCCACGTATTTATTTATTTATTTTTTATTTTTAGTGCTGCTTTTGTACTGGCACTATACTGGGGCAGCTGTACACCTTTTCTCGCTCTGAAGGCTGCATTGTTGCACTGTCACGTTTTCTACAGTAGCTCAGAATGGACAAACTAGCAGGAACCAAACACGTTTTGTTAAGTACAAGGTGGCTAAGCAAGACATGCAGAGAAATGTACTGATAAAGCCTATCATTTGCAAGCGACAGGGTTCCTACACAGTTGGAATTTCCATACTTTTCCATAACCTACTTTTTAAAATAAGTTATTATATTTTTCCTTACTTTATTTATTATTGACCATACCTTTTAGACCCAGAAGTTGATCAAATTACCTCCATTTTTTTCCATACTTGCGTAGGAACCCTGAAACTTCTGCTTAAATCCAGGTAAACTATATCCATTACTGTCTGAGCTGTCTGCTAACATTAATTTAATCGTCCTGTTACCAGCTAACTGGCGAAGTTTCCAGTCAGCATTGCTGCGGTCTTCTCCTCATCAGGGTGAAAGTATTCCAGCTGTAAGGGATCCTTTACGACTCTGTGCTTTGAAACTAACAAGAGCTGATGACACATTACCCCGCAGACTAAAAAGCCCTCACAGTCAGCAGGAGAAGAAAATGGACTCAGCCTACATTCACACAAACTGTGGAGAAAACTCCTCTTGTGCTTTGCAGCCTTTAAGCAGGCAGCCGTCATACATGGTGAAATACTTTTAATTACCGGAGTCCTCCGCTGGGTCGGTTCTCTTTGTAGTGCGCTTGGAGCAGCTATTGATTTCAGGTTGTCTTCTGCCTCATTAGACCGTGGCAAAGCTCTGCCCTGCCAGCTAAAAGGCAACAGCGTCAATCCATAAAAAAGGCAACTACACAATATTGTCTAAACCTCCAGACGTCTGGAGGTGTTGGAGGGGTAAGAGTTCAGCCTTTTGTAGTTACGCCGCGACATTTACGCCAAAACGAGACAGCTGTCTGTGGCGCCCAGGGGGCTGATGGAGCACCATGAGCCTCTGATTTGACATGATTCAACATTTACATTGAATTAGAGGAAATTGTGTAATTGCAGTTTTTGCCGCTGGCCTGCGCGGCGAGAGGAGGCTTGAGTGAGGACAGGCAGGAGTCAGAGTCCCAAACAGGATTAAAATGATGATTCCTCTGAGGACACAATGTTATTGATCGGCTTTCAACTCGGGGCTGCTGCCGGGAGAAAGATGCAAACCTCACTCACCGCACAGCCAAAGATGGATGGGCTGGCTGCTCCTCAACTCTTCATCCTATTTTTTTTTTCTCAGACAGCAGCTAAAGAAACTTTTAAGAGTTATTTTGACACTTGAAAACCCAAATTAAAGATTGATGGATAAAAATAAAATCAGGTTTCCTGATTTCAGAGCCTCAAAAAAAAGAACCAAGCCTGGTTTTATCCTGAGACAGCACCAATGATCGACAGGAAATCTGTGTTGGAGGTGTGAGAAGTTAAAATTACTTAATGACGCAGAGATTCTTCTTCTATTCTAATGATCAGACAATCAGACAATGATTTTTGGAAGAGATTTTGAGATCATGCAGTGATTTCCACTAAAGAGTCATGTCTGTTTTTAATGCAGGACCGTCAAGTATTGGTTTTAGTCCTTGTTTCTGTTGTGCAGAGATTTCTCTCGATTTCTCTGAATCATCTAATGATATTTTGAACTGTAAGAAATGAAATCCACTTATAATTTGACACTCAGGTAGGGCTGGGCGATATGGCCACAAATCAATATCATGATATATTGAGCAGTTCACTTCGATAACGATAAATGGATGATAACTACTCCACAAGCTGCTCACCCCCTCCCACATTAACTCCGTCTACTTCAGCAGCTACAACTTTGGAACCGTCCTCCATCTCCTCACCTGTCTTCCCCACTTTGTTACGGACGGAATGGGGTGGAGTTACATCTCTGATGTAGGACAGCGTCTTAAAGGGACATGAGACCATAGCCTACCATCACACATCTAAAACCAACTTTTATTTATTCATTTTTTGACACCGAATATATTGACTTGGGCAAAATGAGGATGGATATAGTCGTAAATTTCGGTATAGGTAAATTTTCAGTTTATCGCCCAGCCTCTTTCCATCTTTCCTTTATCCCGTCATCTAACTAATCTGTTGCATATTTATCTGAAAAGTTAGAAGTTGTTCCTCCACCTTTTTTTTTTGTAGCTTTAGACAATTTCTCACCAGTTTGGTTGCTCCTGTGAGTATTTTTGATGGCACAACATAATAAAAAACACTGATATTTTATTTCCGCTTCAACTTCTGATTTGCATAACTCTCAATTGAATATTCTTCCTCATCATTGTAGTGAGCTGCCTGAGTTAGGCTGAACTAAATGCCTGTGATTTCAAAAGGAAATGAGCTAAATTGATGGCCGGGCCTCTTTTTGCTGTTACTTTATGATGGATGACAGCGGAGGGACGGGTGGGGGGGGTGATTTCTGCCGCAGATCTGAACATTTAAATTCCAGCCCCTTCAGAAGGGCTAAATTTGTGCTGACAGGTGATAATTTAAACACAGAGGAACAGCTGGTTTCGGAGCTGCGCCTTACCTTTTTTGTAGACGTGTGTGTGTGTGTGTAGATGTGCATGAGCCCATATGTGTTTGCCCGTACGACGAAGCTTGTCATATTTCCTTTCAATCAGCTCTAACCGCTCACAACGTTCAGGTTCATGCATATGCAGGCGAGGAGCCTCAGAAGCTGCAGGAGCCAATTTTTCTGAGAGCTGCTGAGCTTCCTGCTACACACACACACACACTCACTCAAACACACAAACGCGCACAGCTCCTCGCTCTCCTCTTTCCATTCAGAGCCTCACTTCTTCCCTGAACCTGAAAAACTTTCTCTGAGTTCAAGCTGAAAAGGGTTTTTACGCTCCTGCTGACAGAAACTAAATTGACATCAATGAGTCATCTTCAGAGGGAGCCGCTGCTTTCAAAGCTGCACTATATTTACTTTTGAGTAGATCAGGAGGCCTATAGCTGTACGTTTGGTGTTTACTTGATGATTGGTACAACAGTTTTAACGGTATATCATCTGCAGGTGGGAGAGGAAATGCTAGATTTCCAAAAGATATTAGACTGAAACTGCTGATCTGGTCTGCTGGGTTTTATGTCAGGGATGATGTTTGTCTTGACACTTCATCTCAGACACCGTGGATCTGTACACCAACATTGCTGACAAGTTGAAGGTGATTTAAAACATGATGCGAGTTTAAAACAGATATAGAGCCGTTAAAAAAAAAAAGAGTAAAAGGAAGGTAAGAAAGTTGAGTTTATGTCTAATATTTATGTTCTTCTCGAGCAGCCGAGTACCACGAACCTCAGAGTCGCATTAAATTTGAGTTCACAGTATGATTGCCTCGACTTTTAGCCTGCAAGATTACATGCACACCAGTTTAATACAGCAGAAGACGTCAAAGAGATATTGCAAATTCTTAAACACAAGCTGGGGAATTTGTTTGCTTTAAGTGCTGAAGGGACGAGGCCTTTATGCCGAATTCTCTCTCTGTGTGAAAATTATAATTGTTCACATTTAATTACAAAGACAGCGAGGGCCGAGTTCACAAAAGGGTTGTGTGGCTTTGGTGCCTATTTAACTACATTTTTTTACAAAGTGATTTTTTTTCATGTTTAAGGAGTCGTTTTAGTTTTGACATTTTTTTTCTCATACATTGGTGCTAGTTAGTTAGAAATTGAGCTTATACCATTAGCACAATGCCAGCTTCAAACTGCTGGATAACATAAATTTATCTAAATGGATAGAGGAGCTCAGAGGAGCTGTGTACACAACTTCATGGTTATCAAGAAACATCTTATAAAGTTTTTTTTTTTTTTAATTGATTTTAAGACCAAAATTGATCACTCCAAGGATGGACCACATCCTGAAATGTATGTGTCAGACACAGCTCTGGCGCCCTTGCTTAAAACATGTGTCAAGTAAAAACTGGCTCAACTCACTCTGCTCTCCCCAGTGCAGACAGACATTTGCTATGTCAGAATGAGAGTGCACAAAGCAGCTGTGAACAGCAGAGAGTGGAGATGCAAACTAGGGCTGTCTCGATACGATATTGATATTGATATTGATATCAGCCCAATATCAGCCAATAAACAAATATTGGATTATATCGGCCTGCACCTAAAATTTCCGATATCAGCACTGTGATATAAGCAGTCCATTCCAGACTCTGCTCCTGCACCTCTATCTTATAGCGCCCGGATCCAGCATGCAGAGCCCACATGATCACAAAAACAGTGTGTACTAAGGTAATAATTAAGTAGCGATGAGTAGGAGTGACGTCGGCTGTGTGGCAGTATTTTTTGTTAAAGTCCAAATAAGGCATTGCAGCTGAGTGCAAAACTTGTCATGAACAAGTTTGTGCCAATATTGGATCTATATCGGTATCGGCCGATACTGAAGGCTACAATATCGGTATGGTATCGGAAGTAAAAAAGTTGTATCAAGACACCCCTACTTCAAACAGCTGTAATCTCAGTCACTGCAAAATGAAAAACCAAAGCAAACGGCACCAAGATGGTGAAGTTATGATAGTGACCCAGCAGGCCCGGGTGGCTAATCAGAAGACTATTTATTTTGTCATGTAGTAAATAACAATAAAAAGAAGGAAAAGGGAAGTAGTTTGAAATGAGAGCTAGCTTAAATCATCACGTCAGTATTTAGAGCTGTAAATTCAGATGTAGAAACAACAACAAAGAAACAGTCTGCAGCTCTCTTATCTCGACAAATACAAGCACCAAAACGAGACTCAGTATCAGCAGATACTCAGGATTAGAAGACCAGATTGGGATTAGAGACCAAAACAGCTGATGAGGACATCCTCAGTATTTTCAACATGCCAAAATATTAGCTGAGCACATTCAAGAGCAGATAATCACAGTCATTAATACTAAGTTGATATCTTTACTAAATGTTTGCGTTTATTTGCATTAAAAACACATTTGTCTGATTTATTAGCACAGTTTTTAAGAACTAACACACACACAGCATCACAAATATCATTAATAATGAGCAGTCAGCTGAGAGCAGAGAGCAACTAATGTAAGCTCAGCTAAAAAAAGAAAAGAAAAAGAAAGAAAAACTCGACCATAAGTGACGCCTTCTCAGTATAACCAGGTCAACAAAGTTTGAGCAGGAGAATTGGCTGTGTGATTTATGGTTTTTGGTGTATATTTGCGTTGTTTACACATGCCGGCGGTCTTAATTTGGTGATATTTCAGCGCTGAATTGTCACTTCATTTCAGCATAAGCCTATAAAGCAGCGAAGGTGCTGACACATGAGGAGAGATATGAGAGGGAGGATTAATCATGTGCCGCAGGACGTGGACGAGGAGAGACGGAGCTCAGAGAGAGGGAGAGAGAGAGAGAAGAGAGGGAGCAGAGACGTGGGCACGGTGATGGATGACTACGCTGTGGATTTACTGCTCTGCCTACCTACGCCTGGCTCCACCTCCACCTCCATCCAGCTGAGGTTGGAGCTGAACTAACAGCATGTGCTAACAGAGGAAGGAAGTTTAAAGAGGACAGGAAAACAGGACGGAGTCAGGAGCCAAGGTCAGGGGAGGAAGTACGTTCACTTTACCAGGAGGGACGATACAAGAACAATGCAATGATTAATGAATCCTCCACCTTACATGACGCAGCTTCTACAACCGTTCTTGAAAGTTTCATGGTGTTATTTCAAATACGTACTGGAGAAGTCAGGACAACGGAGCATTCAGGGGCCTGTAGGTCAAATCTAAATACGGGATGAGGTGTTTTTTTGGGTTTTGGTCTTGATGTACTGTACTCGGTTTACTCAAAACAGCAGTATAAAGCTTGATCTAAAAGTCAAGTATCATATTGGTGTATTAGGATGTCAGCCTGTTTTCTCTTTCCAACTTTTGAGTGAGTTATTTTGGGGTAAAAACCTTCCAGGTAGTGGTTTCAAGGTGCCATTAAGTGTTAATACTGGAAAGTAATCCAAAGGTGGATGTCAGGGGTAATAAGGAGGTCAAACAAACACCAGGTTTTTACCCAGCAGAGCAAAATTAAAAGTAACATTTGCACACTAAGCAGCTCTGCAGGTGCAAAACCAACACTAAAGGATACTGACATTTTTTATTTTTGGAAGTGCAGTCTGGCTGAGCAAGCTGCCAAAATTACCATTTCGGAGTTAAAAAGTGACTGTTGCAATTATTTCTGATTTTGTTTTAGTTGTGAGGATATTTGCATGATGGCTTCTCCATGCAGCACTTCTTATTTGACCAGAAATTGGTTTAGCAGGAGGAGTAGGATGTAAAGAAGAGATGAAAATACATACCCTCTATTCCTCATGACTGCCAGAGGCGATGATTTGCACCTGGACACTTCTTCATGCACCTATGCAGATCCAAAGTCTGTAACACAGAGAGAGAGAAACCTTCAGTAAAGAGCACAGAGAGCAAGATTCATGCGAAAAGTATGCAGTCTTTGTCAACATTAAACCATAAAACATTTTACCATTGCTGGACTTTTTAGTTTTGATGACACATGACATAGATAGATAGATTTTTATTGTCATTGTGACAAGCACAACGAAATTAAAAAGCGCCTTTACAGTCAGTGCGTTAAAAAAGGGACAATAAAACATTAGACAGTAAAAGAAGTGCAAAGTTTAAATTAGAAAAGAATTAAAACTACAACCATAAATACATAGGAAACACATCATCTGGCCTTCATGGGGGGTGTTGATGGAATGGACAACGTCTGGGAAACAGCTGTTTTACAGTCTTTTTGTCCTGGATTTGAAATGACACACGTATCACAAGGGATTCAATTTGGAGTTTGCTTTCTGGGATAAATACCTATACTCAAAAATAACTAACAAGTCACTGGAGTTTGATATTCTCCATCCTAAAGAAATTGATATTCGTCTGCTATAACAGTTGGGTTTGACTGGGATCCATAGATTGAGGTGCATCCCCCCGCTGTAGTCCATAATGGACTGGCCTGAGGTCTCGCTACAAACAAGCGGCTGCTGGAAGAGAGTAGGTGAGTTGTGTTTAGTCTCTTTTCTCAAGAAATTAGGCAAAGCTAAAAAGATGTTTGGTGGCTAGTACTATGGCTTTGACCCTATATGTACCGTTGATGAAGTTAGGTGCTGTTCTGAGCATTATTTGTGACTATAGAGTGGTGTTTTGGTTGAGGTTTGTTTATGGCTCCTCAGACTGCTGTGTATTGCTATCCTGCAGTCGTTACTAAAGTTGGTAAAACTAGAGAAGCAAGCGGTCGGCAACATTCATCCTTTTCGAGGGGGTGTCTAACTCGGTGTTATGGTGTGTCTGACCCTAAATTAATTTTACGTAGGAATATCCCTTTAAGTAACAGAGCTTCTACATCCATTTCAGCTAGATCATTTACTTGTGACATGTGACTTACACAACCTGAATTAAAAAAGCTGAAATATCCCTTTAAGTCTGGAAATCATTGTACATATTTAAATGGTTGAAAAAGGCTGTGAAAAATCTGGTGTGGACATGTCTTCTGTCCATCAGGCATACCTTCAGGCCTCTAAATAACTGACACTATAAATAAACTGCAGGCTTCTTTTTTTCCTGATTTAAAAGAGGTCAGAGGTCATTCCTCGCTGGGTTACGAGGAGCAGCAACTCCAATTATGAGAATACTGAGAGGATATTTTGGAAACCCATGCACATTGATCCATAAAAATCATATTGTACGCCGGTCTATCCCCTCGAGGCAGGACTGGAAATGGCCGTCAGGCGTATTTTATTTTCTACGCTGAGGAGGTCAAGGGCTGAGGGGTCAAATCCTATAGGCGGTGAAGTCAAAGCGGGGCAGCTCTGGAGCAGTTGAATCAGGTAAAAGAGAGACTATATATTCAGAGAAAATCCAGTAAATCACACATGATAAGGTCACACATGAAGCTGTGAACCTGCTCTGAGTCCTAATACCACCGTGGAGACCACTTTAGCTGTAAGACAACAAACCCCGCAGATCATGACCGCGCTAACACATCTCAGTGACAGGACCGTGTTTGCCGGGCCTCGCAGGACAAATCTTCATTTAATTTATGCAAATATGCACAAGAGTAGATTCATTTTAATTATTAAAATGAGACAGCGCTGTGTGCAACAGATTGTTCTGCTGGTGAGTCGGCTGCGTATTACACCTCCTCTCTAATTATTAACAGCTACGTCGTACTCAGGTGAAACAGAGCGGAGGAAGAGGAGAGCAGGATTCCCGCGGCTGATACACAATGTGAGTCAAAAGGAGATAACACGTCTCTCTGATGCAGAAATGATTTCTGGGTCTCTTTTTTTTTTTCAATCTCACTCTGTCATTCATTCTCCATTTTATACCTTCACTGAGCACAACAATTTTCAACTTTTAATGACTTTTATTCCTGGTATAAGCTTCAATTCGAATTATGAATTGATTATGATATCACAGAAATTACTGAAACTAAATCCCTGATCACTCAAACTTTTTGAACCATTTAAACTTTTATCCTGGGCTCTGAAGGCCTGTACCATAGACTGTATATAGAATAGATGCCGCCAGCCTCTTCACTGGGTGAAGCCACTCCGAGAACAGCACCCTCTGGTGACGGGCTGCAGTATAGGTCATAAATCCCGCCTCCACCAGCAAAGCTTATAGAGCTGTGGACAAACTTTAGAAATTCATTAAACAGAACATAAATTTTTCTTCCCCCCCCGTTGCGATGTTGACATGTAGTTACTGTAAGACTGGTTTGTGCTAGAGTCCTTTTTTTTGTTCAGCTCTGTTTTTTAAAGTTCTTAGGGGGTTCATGTTTTTTATGATTGACACCTAATACAGCCTATGGGCATTCAGGGATTGCGTTGCTCACCCGAGCGTCATCACAGCGACTCTCAGCGACTCTCCAATCGAATGCGTACAACGCTACTGTGCAATGTTGGTTTTAGGAAGTGGAGAGAAAACGCAGAATTACAGAGAGCTTTTTGGCTTCAAATCCGTATACTGGCGGAAGGCAGAACCAAGTTGTCCATAGTATATACAGTCTTTGGCCTGTACTCTTGATGTTGCATTGACCTCAAAATGCATGAACTTAGGTCTGGGGGATATGGGGTCAAATCAAAATCATGATATATTGATCAGTTCACCTCGATAACAATAAATGGACGATAACGACTCCACAAGCTGATCACCCCCTCCAACATTAACTTCATCTACTTCAGTTGCTACAACTTCTTTAACCGTCCTCCATCTCCTCACCTGTCTTTCCCTCTTTCTTACAGACTGGATGGGGTGGAGTCAAGTCTCGTCTTAAAGAGACAGCGTCTTAAAGGGACATGAGACCATAACCTACCTACACACATCCAAAACCTTTCATTTATTTATTTTTTTTGACACCAAATATACTGATATGGGCAAAATGATGTTGGTTGTTGTCGTAAATTTCAGTATCGGTAAATTTTCGGTTTATCGCCCAGCCCTACATGAACTGCTTTAATTCACATTTTTAAAGATATGTATCCTTTGTGCCATTGCTGCATTATCTTGCTTCATCTCTCAATCCTTGTACGGGCTCATTAGACTCTTTCTCTCCCGAGTGAACATTAGAAACGCCGACACAGAGGCACCGTGGGAAGATGAAGAGTGGAGGAGGAGGAGCAGAGGGAAAAGAAAGAATGGTTTCATCTCTGTGCTTTTAAATAGTGCTGAATAAGCTGACAACAACCCCTCCTTCTCTCCGAATCGCCTGTGAAACAACAAGCTCGCTTTTACAGCTCAGAATAATGCAGACTGTTTTTATAAGAATTATAAGATTTACATAAGAAACAGTATTTGGAGCTGCAGTAGTGAATAACACTGTTTAACTACATGACTTTGACTTATTTGACAAACTATCCTCGGTCTGTGGTGATTATTTTCTCATTTTATTGCTAAAAAAGGAGCTCAACCTAAACCGTTTCTTAATTAATTTTTCATTTGTTGAACTTTATCCTTCTCAAAGTTATTTTTAATTTTATTTTCACTTTAAAAAGTTCATTTTAACTAACCCTAAAAAAAACAAACTTGAATTAGATTAAAATAACAGGATTAAAATTCGCCTAACTTCCCTCTTGAGAGTAAACTTCGTAAACTAACTCAGCACTGAGCAGCTCTGCATGTTAGTATGTCCGCGATGTCCCCTGCTGCTTCCTGGTTACATTTGTTAATTAGCCGGGTGTCTTTTGTGAAGCTGTAGCAGTGGAATAATTAACAATGACAAATAGCTTTTGTGTCCAGGAGAGCTTATCCCACCTCTACAGCTGTGGGGGAACATCTTCCTCTGCCGCGACCTCTTTCTATCAGGCCACAGGAGCCGCAGCAAACCTGCTAATGCTTTCATTTCCTAACATGAGCTGGCGTCGGGCCGATGCGGACGCCAGGAGAGGAGGAGAGGTGGTTAGGGTGAAAAAGTGCAGTGTCACCATGAGTTCACTTTGAGCTTTCCGCATCAGGTTACAGTGTTTGAGCTGATTCAGCCTCAGGAAACAGATGTCCCTGTATGCTGGATCTTGATTAATAATGGGTGAGACTTTCTGTTTGCATCAAAGGCCGAGACGTGCGGCGCCGTGCGCAGACTTGATCTCTCGGTGACAGACAGGAGTCGAACCGCAGTGGGGAGATCAGCATATTTAGCATGGTGGGCTTTGACATGGAGAGGGCAGAGACAAAGAGGAAGAAGACAGACGAACGATGAGGTAAAGAGTTCATACCCAGACCAAATGTGTCGGTAAGAACCCCGCTGTACCAAACAACTTTTCAGATGTAGTTTCTCTCACAGAAAGCCTCATCCAAGGGAAACTCTGGAGGCCTCACTATCACAAGACAAACAAACCTCTTGATGTCCTGGTTTTTATTTCTTAAGGGAGACATGGTTTTACATTTTTATCTGTGCAAGTGCTGATACCGATGCTCTGATTGATACTGCTCTAATGAGATAAAGTTTTTGTGTCTGCAGTGCTGAAGCCGAACAGATCAATCCTGGGCTGACTGAACGAGTCACTTTGATTCCTCAGCCTGTTTGCTTTTTAATGATTTTGAATTCAACTTTTACATCCCATCCATACTTGAGCAGAAAAAGGTTAAACTAGAGCCAAGTCAGAAAAGAAGCTTCTCATACGTACTGAATATAAAACACAAAGTCACTCAAAGGGACCAAAGCTTTCAAAGCACACAGAATTTAATCACATTTATTTAACCAAAGAATTTTAGTGAAATAACGTTTGTGGCTTTACTGGTAACATAAATAAATACACAGGAGGTCTGAAAAGCTAAGTCAGGTCCCTTGTTTAGGTCTCTCTCTACAGCCACCAAGAAAGGATTTTGCTACCGCTTGGGATCCCACCTGAGAGCCACAATGAGCTACGACACAATATTACATCCAATCTAATCCACTTCATTTGTACAGCACATTTTAATTTAATCTAAAGTAAAAGCCTCAGATGGTTAAAGTTCGTCTGTTTGAAAACCAAATTAGTAACTATGGATTTGACATGAGTTTGAGACATATATAACAGGATTCAATGGGATATGATAAAAGATCCAATATTAAACAATATGATACAGTAGGGCTGGGCGATATACCGCAAATTTACCGATACCGAAATTTACGACAAAAACCTGTCATTTTGCCTACGTCAATATATTCTGTGTAAAATTAATATACAAATAAAAGTTGGTTTTGGATGTGTGTAGGTCGGCTATGGTCTCATGTCCCTTTAAGACACTGTCCTATATCAGAGACGTGACTCCACCCCATCCAGTCCGTAACAAAGAGGGAAAGACAGGTGAAGATGGTTCAAAAGTTGTAGCGGCTTAAGTAGAAAAAGTTAATTTAGAAGGGGGTGAGCAGCTTGTGGAGTAGTTATCATCCATTTATCGTTACCGAGGTGAACTGCTCAATATATCGCGATATTGATTTGAGGCCATATCTCCCAGCCCTATAATATGGTATGATAAGATGCAATACAACACGATGGGATATGATAGAATAATAATGATAGGATACTTAACAAAATGAAATAAAATTACAATATAACATAGTGTTGATGGTACCATTTAATGTATATTTACTCCAGACATTTTCCAAAGGGACAATAAAGTGCACTAGTTTGTTCTGGAGGGTTTTATTGTGTTATTGTGTGACATCCTGGTGCATCCTATTGAATCAAGAGGATCCAGAAACCAGTCCAGTAGAAAATGTGACTCTGCATGGTACCGAGTCTCTGCTGAATCTTAATGTGTGTCTAAAATAAATCTCTGTCAGGCCTCAAATTTTCCTGGTCTGTCTAAAGCTTTTTAAAGTCCTCTGGTGTACAAAAGCCAGGTAGGGTCAGTGACCCGAGAGAAAGCAGTGAATCTCTGCGAGGTATGAATAACATCTCTCCAATTGGTAATGATTGGAGATGATGGAGAACAGTCAGAAATGTCAGACAAGCTAAGGCAAATACCAAACAGACGACACACAGGGGATCACTGAGTCAGTTTTTCAGACGACACCTGTGGAGTCCTTACAGACACTGCCTCTCTGAGCCTGGGGCCAGATGCTGTTCAATAATACACAGCTCACGAGAATGATGAGTGTCAGGATGGTAAGTTGACAAAGTGAGGTTCAGGAGGAACGGACAACATGAAATCCTGCCTCTGGGTGACAGGATACAGGTTTCATCTTCAGGACGAGCATCTCGAGGCTTTAAAAAACCTGCAGAATGTGCTCGTGTGCAAGTAAATGTCGAGAAACAGCAAAGAATGAAAACATTTGGTAATTTTGGTGCTGACAAGCTAGGGTGATAATCAAGTATGTAGTCAGGACAGACGCCTGCATCATTCAAAAGCTGAGCTCCTGATTGGATAGAAGTTTGTTGGTGTAAATTAATCAGAATCAGGACCATTGAGAATCAAACTCTGCTGAAATGGGACTCGAACACAATCCTTTCACAATTCCTTCAAAGCTTAAAAAGATTTAAATATTCAATAAATTTTACATCACTTAACCGGGATCCCGGTGCCACGGAAAGTAATGACACTTCAAGTCAATCAAGCTTAATGTGTCTGTGAAGCAGCTCATATCCATTGCAATAACTGTTAAAAACTAGCAGCTTTTTAAAGTATTAATCCCCTCTTCACATAATTGGATTGGCTGGTAATATTTTTTATGGGTCTGCCATGTCAGGAGTGCAGATTGTCTTCAGAGACAGAGTGATGGTTGAGTGCAAAGTGACAGTGAATCTTGGAAATGGGACTCCTTAGGACATTATTTGCCATAAATTTCTGAGAGGATCTCTACTCAAGGTCAGCTGTAAAAGTGACAGTCTTAAAGAAAAGCCTGTCCAGCTCACCATCAGACTTTACCAGCTCCGTCCCGCCGTGGCCAGCTGAGCGCCTGACCTCGTCCTGTTGAGAAGTTGGCCCATAAAAGAGGGTCAATCTCCAAGCAGACTTGTTAGGACTAATAACGGAGGATAACCAATTACTTCACTGCTTCTATAAAGACTGAAAAGGTTGAACTCCTGGATTGATTTGCTCTTGTTTGGCGTCTACTGCAAAGTGTTGCTGGATTGACTGATCCCAAATGAGCACAAAGTTTAATACATTTCACCCTACAAACTACATACTCGGGATGCACTGATCCGCTTTTTTCACCACCGATAGCGATACAGATATCTACAGTCTAGTATCGGCCGATACCGATCCAATTCCGATACAGAAAAGCCGAGCTGAATTACCTTTTGTTGTAACCTTAAGTCTTACCACTACCCCTTCTGCGCTGCTATTGCAAGTGGCCATCAAGCTTGTAGGCTGAGGTATTGTGATAAAGTTCAAGATAGCAGACCCCTTTGCTTGCTGCATTTTGAAAACGATGTGGGCATCCGCTCAGCGTGTTTACTTGTGGTGCATAGCATAGAGTTAGACTGAATAGATCATCTCCTATGCATCAGGCCCATTGTCATGATACCTGATCTAGAATTTTCTTCAGTATCGGGACCGATACCGATATCAACTATCGTATCGGTGCATCACTACTAGAAAATGGGGAAGTGTATATGTGACATTGCTGATTGGTGTGTGAGCCTAAGCCTTAAATTTGCAGCTGCAGTCATGGTTTTAGGGCTGTAATCAACCAAAGACTATTTTGGTCAACTAAAACCCGACTAATCAGGGGAATTTTTCCGACTCTGACGGCAAACGCTTCTGCGGTGGGGGACGACGCATCTCGTCTCGGCATAGCGCAGCTTGGCGAGGTGAAAATATACTGATATCAGCACAAGAAGGCAATTAAACACAAAGGGCTAAAATATAAATATTCAACAAACCACCAGACATTGATTAAAATGGACGCTATTCGATCTTCCTGTCTCCAGCCGGTCTTCAGCGGGTTGGGCGAATCCAAAATGGTGAAAACAAGGATGGTGTTCTGAGACAGGCTGTTATCTGTGAATTGTAGAGTGACCATATGTCTTTTTTTACCCAGACATGTCCTCTTTTTTGGGGGCTGTCCTGGCTGTCTTGGCTTGTCCGGGCTGGTCTGGCTTTGTCCAGGGAAGTTTATAAAATCTTTCAAATGTCCGCGGTTTTGTTCAAGACTTTCGAGTTTGTGTCACATGGACTTACTGAGTTAGAAGCATGTGAAAGACACTTGCTCCAACCTGAAAAACTATCAAAATTAACTTCGTGCGACTCCGTGACTCCACCCCCGTGTAGTCGTGTCTAAGTCAAAATATGGTCACCCTAGTAAATTGATGCGCAAAGACTTTAATGGCCTGACTTGGTTTAGCCCTTACATTAAGCAGCCATCAGTTGTATCATCTTAGCATGTTTATCTTTTGCAAAGAAGGCCACAAAGGATGATTACAGAGGCTCTTGGAACAACACCACCGTATGGATGCAGACTCTTAAGGGTATTTGAAACCCTGGATTTTAAAAGTGTTTCTAGTTCATTAGAATTCCTGTAAAAAAAATTTTGCACTAGATTCATTTTCCCCCCTTTTGGTCACATAAATGGTGAGCTGCATTTCCAAACATGATCAGAAATATAAAATCTGTCTAAAATGAAAACTTGTTTTAAAGGCTGCCAGGGCAATCAGCAAAGACACACTATATTTTTTACAAGCACTCTGTAACTGAGGCTAATCTCTAACACAAGCTGTTCCTATCAGGTATATGACCACAGTGATCAGTGCCACCGGTCTTAAAGGGATTAGCCCACTCAGAGTGTGCGGTCTGATTTATGGAGCAGAAAATATGAGCGGTTGTTAACCACAGAGCTGCTTGTTGCTCCAGCAGGACTTTCATGAGCTGCTGCTGAACAACGCCTTCACTGCGCCCAATAACGGAGCACGAGTTTATCATGTGTTCACAGAGCGGTCAGGTCAGTGGTCACAGTGAAGGTCAGGACGCAGCATGTCCAACGCTGGAAAAACTGACCCAGTTTAAAACTCATTGGTGCCTCGATTTTCATTAGAGATTTTAGATATATTTTCACCTTAGTAGATCTTATCGCTCTGTAATTAACTCCTCCTACATGTGTACAAACTTTATATTTGTATGAAAAGTTAAGGACAAATCACGAAGGACATCTCAGACACTGGAGCAGATTTAGAGCAGAGAGACATCCTCGATCTGATTTACAATTTGGGGCACAATAAATGTCCATTATTTTAATTTAAGCTCCACTTAATTTTTATCTGGAGTCAGAATGCTTTAATGAAATCATCTTGAAAGGAAGTCATGTGGTTCAGTCTCCTTGTAATTGCCAGTAAATTTACCTTCAAGGGGCAACTATTTTACATTTATGCTCAAAAGGTGTCTCTGAGGACTATTAAAGTGAAAACTTAGCCTCATGATAAAAAAGTACAGTCATCCGGTGAGATAAAAAGTCATAGTTATAGGAGAGAATGTAGAAATAAAATGATATTGAGTGAAATTATGAGGGGAAAAGTTCTTATTATGAGACAAAAGGTCAAAATTATGAGAAAAAAGGCAGAAAAAGTGGGATAAAATATAAAAATTGTGAAACAGAAAAAAGTTACATTTTTTTAAAATTCAGAGTCAGGTAGGCATGTTATTTATAGGGATGGTTTTAACTAACTTTTAAAGAAATTAAATGTTCATATAGTGAAATATTAAATAATGGTAATGCTGAGGATTGATGCAGCTGAAAGAAGAAACGACAAAATCATTAGACAAAAGTGGTATCTGTGAGATTAAATGGTTTTTAAAGCATGCGGCTCTAATTACTTTCTGCTGCAAAGTCATAAAAGTTCTCACCGAGCACCTCTGCATACTGGATAGTACCCTCCAGATCTGTTTAAAATTGCTCTTTATGCTTTATGCGTGCTTTTACTCAATTGTAAATTTATTAAGATGTTAAAACAACTGTTTGAAATCCTGTTGCAGCTCTCAACTTCATAGTTTACTCTTCAAAAAGGAAGGTTATGGGAAGTCTGTCCTCTGTACACCCACTATTATTGTTAAAAAGAAAGTGATATTGAAAGTCCCGCCTCTATGGTTGTTTGTTGAAAGTTTCTTGTCACTCCACAAGCTTAAGCAGGGAGGACACACCTCCCCTCTGTTTTACATGGAAGAGCAAAGGCAGGGAGAGCAGCAGCAAAGACCTCTAGGGAACAGAACCAAGCGAGAGTAAAAGTTATCACCATCTCTATAAGTTGCAACATCCCGACCTGACTCTTAATTTTAGAAAATGTAACTTCTGTCTTACTATTTTGGCTTTTGTCTCTTACCGTTTCACAATTTTTGTATTTCGTCCCACTTTTTCCTCATAATTTTGACCTTTTGTCTCATAATAAGAACTTTTTTCCCCATAGTTTTCCTCTTTTATCTCAGACTTTTGTCACTGATACCGAGCAGGCATCAGTGACAAACCCATACGACACTGTTAAATCGGACAAAAAGGAGGAGCTGAGGTGGAAAACAGTTTGCAGAGGAAGCAAGAAGAGGACAGCCCAGCACTTTCCTGGACCCGTTTGGCGAATGTGTCCTAAATTAAGCCCAAAATACACCAAAAAAAGGATATGAGTGTCTGCAGTGGGACTTTCTGTCTCATTAATGTCTGTTAAAGTAAAGGATCACTTTTTAATACCGAGGCAAAGTTCTTTGCTTCTTCTATTAGTGCTGACTGTGTCTTCTTACAGTTTTTTCAGTCGGACTTTCATTAACAGGCCGATCAGACCTTCTCTTTAGTCTGGATCTACTTTTTCCTGCAGTTTTCTGCCCTTTTACTCCGGTAAAGACTTCACACTCCTGCCCCCTCTGACTCTCGGTAAACCCTGCTGAAAACAGCTGTCTGACCTGATACCTCTCCCGTCCTTTGGCTGACTTTTCTGTTAAGCTGTGGATGTAAATGTGAGCATGCTGTGTTGACTTCACTCCGCATGACGTGACCTCTGGCTGATGTGCAGAGCTGTTATCACTCCCCGCTGCGTGGTACAGCTTTAATGAAAAGTGTAATAATCCCTCGCTATCTCAGACGACAGCGTTACATTTGCACAGACAGTCCGTCAGACGTGGGTGACATGCATATTCCTCCACACGGGGGGACGCTGACACGCGATAGCGCCGGGCTTATTCTGCTTTCTTCTGCTCAGCCTGCAGTGATGATTTCCACAGGCCGTGCAGTCAATCACGCAGCGCTGCCCTGTCACCAGCAGCAGCAGTGAACCTTCAGTCCGACTGCACCACCTCCATGGAGAATAAACACCACCCGCTCTGTGTCTCCCCCTCTGTCTCCTCACCCCTCTGCTGACTGGCAGCAGCTTGTCTGGTGACAGTGTGGCGTGCAGCAGCAGCAGTGTGTGTTTGCCAAAGATAAACCAGCTCAGATTCTCCATAATCATCCTCTGCTCAGCCGTTCATTCTGCTGCGTCAGGCTGCTGCAGCTCGGATTCACGCTAATGATCTGAGCTGATGCAATTTGTAAAGGAACGTGGATGTGACCCATCAACGCACATGCAGCCGCAGATGTGTCTCCTCCTCTCGGCTATTTGTTTGTTTGTTTTTTTGGCGTCTTCCGTCTTAAGTGTCTCGTGCTGCAGGGGTTTGAGATTTAAAGACAGGAAGAGTTGTTAGCGGCTATGTGTGAAGGACGAGTATAATCAGGATGTGGTGGATTCATTCACCAACAAAGATACTGCCGTTAGAAATCAATGCCTCATCTAGCACGCAACAGATCAGACCAGCAGCCTTATTACGCACTGAAGATGAGTTTAATACGTGTCTGTTCTTTAAACTAAAGGGCTAGTTCACTCAAACTGTGATAGAGTCAAACAATAAAAAATAAACCAAAGCAAAGACAGATATTTCTTTCTAAGATCAGGGGTGCAAAGCTACACTAGCCATGTTTACGTGTTTATACATGCACCAAGGTTTATTCAGATTAGAATCATTTGGACATGCGCAGAGTTGTCTGATTTCACTAAAACAACCGCAGAAGAAGAGTTGTATTTACGCCTGTGCTGTCAACAAACAAACAAACTCGGTTGTGGCTCACTCCGTCCAATTTAGTAGTTTTCCCCCTGTTAAATGTTGTCATTAGATAGCGCCTTGCGTACTTATCTTACTGTGCGTGCAGATGTGACATCATCACGCTGTATGTACGCCTTGTTATGTTATCGGAGGAGCAGACACGGCACCTGCGGTTGTGTTTTATTCCAGAGTGTTGATAATGAAAACTCCAGTACTGACCTCAATAATAAGACAAAAGCTAAAGAGTGAAGACCAAGTCATGAGGTAAGAGAGTCACGATCGGAATAAATGTTTACACGGATACGTTTCAGAATAACAATCGGCATAAACCACCCCTTGATCGGAATACAATTTCTTTCTGATTGAGCCGAATTGGATCAGAATCTTCTGATCGACATGTTAACATGACGCATTTGGCATTTATTCCAATTATTTGTGCCCATGTAAACACAGCTATTGATCCAAATCAGAAACTCATGTTAATGTTTCAGTGAATCAGTCTAAAGCACGCTCGAACAGGAAAAGTTACAAACCAATTTCAAAGCTGTGACCTTGTTTGCTCATTTCTTGGGTGTACAGCATTGTTAGCCTCGCTAGAATCAGATGTTGATCTGTTAACTTGATCAAAAGTAGCATTAGCCAAAGTAAGTGGTCAGGTGTAACATGAAAACAACAACAACTAAGATCAGTAAAAAGATAGAGTGTCTCTACTTAAGGAGAAAGACAAAATCAAAGTTGGGCGAGACTTGATATGACTTCAGCTAATATATCACCGGCCATTAAATGCCCACAAACTCTGAGACAATCTCAGGAAAACAGAGACATTGCAGTGAATGGGAACTCATCTTTAAATCACTTTTTTGTATCGGAGACTTCCTTGTTTTATTTCTTCCACTTTGTTATTGTGACCCCTCCTCATTTTGCACCTTTATCCACTGAGCTGACCTGCGTTTAATGGCTGGTATGAACAGGATCAGTGATCCGTGTCGATAAGAGATACTGTTGTATTTTTTACACAGGTTGACCTTACGGCAGGAGCAGAGACTCTGGATTTCGAAGGTTTTTAGGCCGTGAAACTGAACCTTTAAACATCCCAGATTATCCCCCTAAAAGCCTATAATTTAGAGGATGGATCAGTGACTTGACTCTGCAGCTTTCAGACCTCTGGACAGTAATGATCATCTGTTTGCACACTTTCTCCAAGAAACACACAAATTGCTGGATCAGTCGGCAGCAGACGGCATGATGGTGTGAGACGACTAACACCCCCTCTATCCTTGCTGCCAGGACAGATGTGAAAGCTTTTAAAGCGGCTGCAAGTGTTCATTAGAGATAAGGGAGTTTGTCTGCCCACGTAATTGCTGGCTCTGGTGGCAGACTGTATGTGCCAGTCAGCTGTTTGCAGTGTGACAGCGGCCTGCCGGGATCCAGCGGGGGAGCTCCTTCTCTGACATTTAGACCCATTTAGACTCATTATGCAGGACGCCAGCAGGGCCCTTTGTGTTTGCCTGTTTGGCTCGCCCAGGAGATGAATGAGTCAAAGTCAGAGAGTGTTTTAACTTGAGCTGGACTCCTGTTCAACATGTGAGAAGGAGAGCGACCTGTCCTGTCAGAAAATAACAGTTAAAGCTTTTCAGTGTTCCAGCAGACCAGGGATCAGGGCATGCTGCTCTTAAAGGGATATTCTGGCGTAAAATTGATTTAGGGTCAAACACACTATAACACCTCGTTGGACAACCTCGATAGAGATGAATGTTGCCAACCACTTGCTTCCCTAGTTTTACCAACTTTAGTAACGACCGCACGGTAGCAATACACAGCAGTCTAAGGAGCCAAGCGCAAACTCTCTTCCAGCAGCCACTTGTTTGTAGGATGACCTTGGACGAGTCCATCACCGACTGCAGCGGGGTGACGCAGCTCAAGGAAGAACATTTATGATTATTTCTTTATCCATGATGGACTGGCTCGAGGTCTTGCTACAAACAAGCGGCTGCTGGAAGAGAGTAGGTGAGTTGCGTTTAGTCTCTTTGCTAAAGAAATTAGGCAAAGTTAAAAAGATGTTTGGTGGCTAGTACTGTGGCTGGGACCCTATATGTACTGTTGATGAAGTTAGGTGCTGTTCTGAGCATTATTTGTGGCTATAGAGTGGTGTTTTGGTTAAGATTTGTATGTGGCTCCTCAGACTGCTGTGTATTGCTATTGTACGGCCGTTACTGAAATTGGTATAACTAGAGAAGCAAGCTGTCGGCAACATTCATCTCTCGAGGGGTTGTCTAACTCAGTGTTATGGTGTGTTTGACACTAAAATAATTTTACGCCAGAATATCCCTTTAAGACCCTCTTCAGTGTCTTTCACAAAAAAAAAGTCAGTGAAAGACTCCTAAAATAAGATTTCTGTCCCCTACCTGTAAAAACTGTGCACACTCTCTGCTGAATTATCACCATCATGCTTAGATTTGCATCAGCTCAAACGTGCATCATATCCTGAATGCCAAATGACTCAAGGATGTCGAGCGTAAGAGCACAACTCTTGCACAAAACCTCAAACACATCTTTAAAGCCTCCCACAGCCTGACAAACTCCTGTTTGAAACACTGAACCTTTCTCCTGACAATAAGAGCATGATGAAATCTGCATTTGGAGTACTGACTGTCTTTATATCAGTATACTTGATTCAACATGAGCAGATTTTCTCAATTATGGACTGAATTAAATCTTAAAATAGCTCCTGCCTCACAGATGAGAACCTAAAGTCTGTTTGTGGATGGTAGATGGTAGCAAAAACGCCTCTTTACATAGAAAAAGTTCGTGATCCTACATTTCTGATAAACTGCATAAAACTTAGTCTGAGGATTTCAACACACATTATGGTGGCACTGTTTCTGATGCCCTGGATATATTTTAGCGTTCAGACAGAGATGACAGACTGATATATGACACTGTTAAATGATCAGCGGTGATATCACAGGCTGAAATGACAACAGTTCCTGTTTCTAATGACGGGGACGATCGGCACATCTGCTGTCTGTGTCTGCAGTGACAAAGCTCATTGAATCTGCTGCTGCTGATGTTGTTAAAGCAACAACAGAGGTGATGAGGCGAAGGATTTAAAGATGGCGAGTCAATCGTTCCTCTTCATGTTGCCTTTGAGAAGACGGCTTGTGTTTTTGTTCTTGATAGGAAACATCTGTGATTGTGCTTTTTCTTTTTAGCCCATTAGCTGCCGATTACTCCCGCTCACATCTTCTTTGGAAGACTTTCTTTTATCAGTTTTTACTGTCAAAGTGCTCTTTGGAAAAACACAGCAGCTAAACATGATGTTTGCGGGAAGTTCATTAATAACATACCATGACTTCTTCAAAAACACTGATAGTGAGCACCGTCTTCTTTTTTTTCCGCAATATGACAAAATACAGCGATTTAGAAATACTAATAAATGAAAAACAGAGTTTATTTTGGATCTTATCCATTTACCTGATGATTATGTTTACTAAGTACTGATGACGCTGCTGTTTATTATTATTATTATTATTATTATTATTATTATTATTATCATCATGTATTTATTTATTTATTTATTATTATTGTTATTATTATTATTATTTTTTATTTTTATTTTATTTTATTCCCCTGTAATCACCTAAATTTAATGTCACCCCTAGGACAAGGGTGGGGGCAAGGGGTGTGGATAAATGAAAAAATAAATAAATAAATAAATAAAAACAGAATTTCTAAGATTGAATAAATGTATTATTCATTGAATATAGCCTAAAGAATATTTGGCTCATTAAAATAAAATTAAAATATTAATAATTTAACTATTACATACACATTCTAAACTAGTATACATGGATATTTTGGCCAGTATGTCTAAATTAATTCACTATAACCGATATGTATGTCAACTACATTCTGTACATCATAACAGAATTTATTTCAAACATAAGCCAGATATACTGTCGCTTGCAAATATGTTATTTAGACGGACAATTGTTAGTACGCCGATGTGATGTGTATTATTTAAAAATGTCATAAATCAGCTTGATTAAAAACTATTAGAGGAAATTCCTGATGTCTCCCTGTTCAGAATCAGCACTATAATAAAAAAAGATAAGTGTCATCTGCATAAAAGTGAGCACAACAACCATTCAGAGAAAACTAATGCAGCGATGCTCCTGCTGTATGTTGGTAAAACATAAAGATTTAACCTTTTGGAGAAGAAAATTTTAAAAAATGGGTTTGTCTGTCACAAAATTTAAGATGATTTACTTTAATCATGAATATTTATTTTACAATATTACTTAGAATCCTATTTCATGGCTAAGGACTCAAAAATTCTACCTGAGGATCCTTAAATATTTTGAGAACTGAAGTCACTGAAACTTAAAAATATGTAGAAGTGAAGGAACCCGAGTTCTTCTCTAAAGGAGACTGTGTTTCTGCTGAAGAGGGGAGGTATATGTGTGCGTCCCTCAGGCGGGCAGGGCCTCGGCTTTGGCCAGCTTACTCATCACCATTTATCTTTCCTGTTGATGTCCATTTACAGAGCTTCACGCCTGATGATTTCAGCAATCTAAAGTTATCACCACCTCACCAGCGAGTGCAGCTGTGCCAAATGGGCTCGGTGCCTGCCAACAGGACCACAGCTCCCCCTGCACTCCTTATCTGAGGGCGCTGCTGTCAACAAGAACGGCCCGCTTATTCGAGTCCAGGCCTCTCCTCCCGCGTCCCTCGGCGTCTCCTGCTGGGTGCTGTCATCTTTATGGATGTCACTCACTTCAGGAGGACATGGCGACGCTCGCCTCTGCCTGGAAGTCCTCTAGAGGGGGCACAGTGCCAGGGCCAGATCATCTGAAACCCCTCCTCAAGAGCCTGCGGTGGCTTTCTGCCACCTCTGCAGAGCCAGTCTGTCTTTCGAGACCTCTAATACACTTGCACTGTTTAATCCACTTCAGAGCACGGCGGGTTCATGAAGACACACTCAGAGGCTTATGTTTCTTAAATCTTGCTCATCAGCAGAGCCCTGGACATGCACAGATCTGCTTCGCATGCAGACAAAGGAGGTAATCTCATCATCACCTGAGTGTGGCATCATGTTGCACCATCTCAGCTCAGATCATCAAAGACAAGAAAAACAAGCTAATTGGCACTCCCCGGAGACTCTGAGCTGCAGGATACAGCCAGACTGTCTCAAAACACCGAGGATATTCTCTTTGAATTATGCAATGCTTAAGTTTGCACTGTAGCATGGTATGTCATTTATGCAGGCAATCTGGAAATGAAACCAGACAGGGGAGTCTAAAACAGCCCCTTAACTCCCACTAAGTTTTCACTTAACTTGCAAAGAAAGAAAAAAAACAGCATCATGGAATAAAAAATGCGCTCAGCAAGAATCCAGTACATAAAAAAACAGCTGTCCTGTTAGCTGATATCACAGCAGGACACCGCTGTAAAGAAAGAGCATCCTGTCCCCCCGTAGCGTCCTCCTGTGAGTCCAGATGAAACTTAGTGTCCTGCAAAAACACTGAGAGTGCTGATTCCAAACTGAGAGCATCATACTGGTGCCCTTGCACGTTTACCCACAAACTATACATCCAAAAATCTATTAAAAGAACGGCTTTGTCACCTTAACACGTCATAGACACTTTTAGACACTTTTTTAAAATTTAATTCAAGTCCAAAGACTTAATGCCTGCATGATTTGAGGTCATTCATATGTCCATATTACTCTCCTCATGGGGCCTCTAATGAGCTGCTCTGTCAGGCCTCCATGTCTCCTTCAATAGTGTGACTCTGCAGGGGTTTTGATATAACCAGAATAAATTTAGGAATATGCACCATGCAAGCCGAAATAGGCAGGGACATAATACGGAAATGTGACACAAAGCACAAAGGTTTTCACCATGCATGGATTGAATATCTCAAATACTGTAATCACTATTGAAATCACAACATATACTGAGCAGTAGGGATTCTTATGGTAGGTAATGGTGTGTTTCTGCCAAGCAGTCTGGTTCAGTTTAGTACAGAGAGGTGTGATTTAGTGAGGTAAACTCTGATCTTAAAGGCCTCAGAACAGCTTGATTTAACGTCTGCATGTTGACAGAGTAGACCATTTGGACAGCAGGTGTGAGAAGCACCAAATTCTTCCAAAAGCCATGCAGATCTCGGCCAAAAATACTAAAAACTGGAAAAAAAGAAAAACATACTATGGTTGCTCTAATACTTTTATTTTGAAATTCTGTCCAGAAAGGCTTAAAGCAGTAACTTGCAAAGCTCTTTATTCTAGCATAAGGTCGACTTATCTTGGAGAAAAGCTGTCATCAATCAGGCCGGGTTTGGTTTCAATTTGATCAAATCCAGCTCTGAATCCAGTTTCACTTATTGATTTTGGTTCTTACCAATTCTTCATCCCAATTCCAGTGTATTTGAAGTGGAAAAAAGACAAATATTACACTAACATTAACACTAGAGAGCATTTTCTGCTATGAATAAAAACATACAAGAATTGGGGCATAATACACTGATCAAATAAAGTCAGGTTAGGAGATATAAGCCGGTAACATCTCTCCATCCCCTCTCTCTCAGAGTCAAACTAGTACATTAACAGATGGGAGACAAAGAAGCAGTATGGTACGGGTTATTTTGAGACTTTCTCAGCTTCTGACAATGGAAATGCAAATGACTGCATATCCTCCTAAACCAGATTCTTTGTTGGAAACATAAGATGCTGATCTAATATCAAACAATAGATAAAAATACTCAGTGATGACTGGGAGAGCTCAAACTCCTACCTTGTATGTCAATTCACCTCCTTCTTGTCTTGATAAAGTTTCTCTTTTCTGAAGCGTATAAGCTTGTGGTCATATTGTAAAAAGTGCATCCAAATTTGGACTGATTTTATAAAGAGCTTTGATTACTACAAAAAAATTGAAACTGATTTCGATCAACTTGCAAAATATACTATTTAACAGTGACATTACATCATTAATATCACATTGTTACCTACTTCTACACTGATGCAACTGTAAACAGCAGCTATGGGCCCAGATGACTGGCCGTGCCGCTGAGCGGCAGAGTTGGGATTATTTTTCTGTCAATGTACAAATACCTTCCTGTCACTGGAGATAAGCAGAGAATCATTAGAGTAATTTTCTTAAACGGTAAAACCCATTATTGTGACAAAAAGCCGATGAGCAAGCTGCCCTCAGCTCTTATCTTCTCATTGTGTGTCAGTGTGCGGAGTAATCCTGGGAGAGAGGCTGATTCAGCACCACGGACAGCGACTGTGGACCAACAGGATTTTCCTACTTCTGCTCTGCAGCCGTACTTTGATAGTTTCATCACCAAAACTCTTTGTTCAGCACAGGTTACAGTCTGGGTTTAAATATTTGACACGCTAACAACTGTCTTTTGATTGAATTTATCCTGTTTCCCTACAAATTACAGTAGTATAAGGTAAAACTCCACTGGGGAAACATTCTGTAAACCAACTTAAAACCTTTCAAACCTCATTTTCACTACTGCATAATTTATCTGTCAAATAATTGTATTTATAGTCTGTTTGTAGCCTTCATAATTATAACCATTTGTATACTATAGCCTGTACAAACTTATAGTTACAACATATTCATAACAATGTTATACACCCGTGATATACTCATGTATAAATCTCCTAAATACTCTGTACATTTGTAAATATATATCTATACTTGCTAAGCACTTCTGGATGGATGCAGACTGCATTTCGTTGCTCTGTACTTGTGACATTTGCAATGACATAAAGTTGAATTCTATTCCCTGGTCTTCCATGGTTCGGATGGATATAGCCTTAAAAAACCTAAAGTGAGGAAGTTTGAGGAATCAGGCTGCATCAACTCTGCAGAGCTCTCCCTGAACCTCTGCAGTCACTGGCTAAGCTTTCTTCTGTATGTACTCAATGTGGCTTCAATGGGTTGATCAAACTGTTCGCCAACCTCACTGATGTACACATCTGTGTCCCTCATAGACACACAAACACACTTGCTCCTCTCCCTGCTCTCCTCTCTCCATCTAATTTGTGCTACTGCAGCACAAGAAGATATGTTCAATTACCTTTGTGGGATCTGCAACTTAAAATCTGCAATTTACAGTGCTCAGCATAAATGAGTACACCTCATCAGAGTTGTCAGAAAACCTTTAGTTTCCAACATTTTCTATGTCAGACTATACAACAAAATACTCCCCCAAATGTAGGCCATTGATTGCAAACAAGAATTTTTAAGTTGCATACATTTTTTTTTTCTTTTCAATTCAAAATCAGGATGCAAAAATGAGTACACCCCAATCAACGTTCTGGGAGCAAAGCTATATTTTAGCTACCATATCACCCTTACTTTCATCTTATGGTAAATAAAATGTGCTAAACTCAGCTTTGTCAAAACTTTGACAATTGTACTTTTGCTCATCTAGATATTGAGTAAAATATTACTTTTAATAGGGGGTGTACTGACTTATGCTGGGCACTGTAAAACACACAATATCAACATTGTTTTTCATTAGTGAGGCAGCAAGAAGCAGGAAGTCTCTAAACCCTAATTATTGTGTTTTGGAAGAAAATGGGAGTGAGTTTGAAGAGATATTTTAGAAACAATAAGATTTACCTCTTGCAAAAACATGAATAAAACCACATAAACTCCAGTACTAACAGGCCACAACTATGAACTGACTTTTCACTGGGATTACCTTTATCATAATCATCATAAACACACAAACTATACATAATGCTCTTGGAGTTTTAGTCTCTTTGTACATAATGCAAACAACACTGCAAGCGTAAGTGTAAAATGGGATTAAATCAGGAGTGTCTCACATCATAAGAGGCAAAAGAGAGGAGGTTTTCAACGAAAATGCCACAGGTCATTACCTCTGTATGGGTTTGAGGCTAAGCAGAAAGTTTATTTCCTATAACACAGAGATGTGTCAGCCGCCTGCAAACAAACTGAGTGTATTCATCTTTTCAGAAGCTGACTGAAGGCTAAAGACGGATAACTCAATCACAACAAATATTTCATAAACTCTTCCCTTCTGAATGCAGCATGGAACTCAGACTATGTATATGAAAGGTTACTAAGAGGCAACCTTGAAAGTACACCCTCAAATGTATAGCCGGTGCGGTGCGGTCGATATAAATGATGAAACAGAGCAGCACATATTTCCCACCTACATGTAAAGACCGAGAGTGACTGAGTCGGTGTAGTCACAAGTGGGTTCATTATGTGGAGCATGAAGGTGTCAGCCTCATTAAACAGCAGTCAGATCAGTAAAAATGATCATACCACCGGGACTGGAGGTGTTCACTGTGCAACATATTTATCATGAAGCTGCAAAAAAAAAAAAAGACATCCTGCTCAGGAAAAATGCAGCTGCAGAGACTGAGCTCAGGGTCAATGACTGTTTTGGTTCTTTTTAATGAAGATCAGATACGAATTAACTCCTAAATCAGCCTGTTTACATCTTATATTTTATCTCTATGCCTGAAAATCGCTGCAGTCTGAGAGGTGAAACTGATGCTTTGTCAGCGAGGTCTGATAGTTTTAGAGAGAGCGATGCAATATATGTCAAGAGATGTGATGTATCTACTGCACTTTAATACCAATAAAAAGAGGTATTTTACTTTACCAAGAAGTGTTTCTCTGTAGGATCTTTTTGTCTCGTGTTCAAGTTCTGGCAATGTGACAAAAACAAGCTCATTTTTGCCAAATTCACCCTAAAAAAAAAAGACCCCTCTATGTTTTCTGGGCTTGTTTTCTTTACTTTTTAGTTATTAAGATCCCAAGATGTGTCAAATTAGGACCAAGTTTAAAACACTTGCCTATCACAGAGATACCCAGGGGTGAATTAGTTTGATTCCCTGCCAGGGCAGGGGCCTTTCTGTGCAGAGTTTTCTACATTTTCCCCCTGTGCATGCATGGGTTCACTCAAGAAACTTGGGCCCCTCCCACAGTCAAAAAACATGCCTTTTATGTAGGGCTGGGCGATATGGCCTCAAATCAATATCGATTACGATAAATGGACGATAACTACTCCACAAGCTGCTCATCCCCTCCCACATTAACTTCGTCTACTTCAGCTGCTATGACTTTTGAACCGTCCTTCATCTCCTCACCTGTCTTTCCCTCTTTGTTACGGACTGGATGGGGTGGAGTCACGTCTCTGATGTAGGACGGCATCTTAAGAGGGACATGAGACCATAGCCTACCTACACACATCCAAAACCAACTTTTATTTATTTATTTATTTTGACACAGAATATATTGACATGGGCAAAATGACGTAGGTTTTTGTCGTAAATTTCGGTATCTGTAAATTTTTAGTTTATCGCCCAGCCCTACTTTTATGTTAATTGTTCAAAGGACTGTTGCATTACTTACAATAAAATCATACACAGCTAGAGTAAACCAGAATATTTACAGTCAATCTTAGACCACAAACAAGAAGTGAATGTGAGTTGCTTTATGCACATTTAACCAAAATCCCTATTCAAGTTTTTACCACTCAATAAAAAGATCATGAAGTACCGTCAGTCACACTTTTTACCAGATAACGCCAGTGGCTGAACTTCCTTTAGAAAATCCTCCCACTCACTTCTCTTTCGGAGACAGTCACTTACTGTGGGTGGAAAGTTGTTCTATGACTGACGATGCCTGAAACCATGATTTAATTTAGGAAATTGGGGCAAATGCAGAGGACGTCCATCGTAGTGCATCAAATATGAAGCTTTGTGTCTTAACTGGGAAGAACAGGATTGTTTTTGCTTTGACATCTCTTACAGTTTAGTTTGAAGTGGACATGTCAAAGAGAAGGATGTTTGGGTGAGCGGTCTCTACTGAAGACGACCACTGAAGGTCAACATATTCTCCCTGAAAGGACGGTCCATTCCCTCCTCTGCCTCCTCCCTCTTGAACCCCACCATCCCCGCCTCATCTCCATTGTGCTGGAGAGGCAGAGGCAGCTCTTAATCATGGGAAATGCTCCTGCGTCCTCAGCTCGATGGAGGCAGAGGACACAGATGACCCGAGGATGCATTTGTTATCCTTGAGGTCAGTCTCCTCAAACAAAGTGTTATTTCAAAGAGCCTCCTCTGGAAAGAGATGTAGAGTCCCATTATACACAGTGTCCCAGCTTTACTGATTTGGGGTTGTGATTCTCTAGTAGGGCTGCGACTAACGACTATTTTAATAGTCAACGAGTCACCGACTATTGAAACAATTAGTCGACTGATCGGATAATTATGAATTTTTTTCTTAAATTTAGCATTTTCGCCTTATCTGGGCTAAAGTGCTCCCAAACTTTGAAGGTTTTTAATCATAGCTGCTGCATGGGACGCCAGCGCCACCATGTTTGAATGCCCTACCGCTCAGCAAAGATGCTATTCTGCATATGTGAATCTAGGTAGAGACCATAATGAAGTAAGATGCCTCACTCCACTGGAAGAAAACACGTCTGGTGATAATAGTCGACAATGGAATTCATTGTCAACTTCTTTCATTATCGATTTTTGTCGACAACGTTGACTAATCGTTGCAGCCCTATTCTCTATCTTATATTCGTGTTCACTCTGAAACAGCTACATTTTTAATTACCTCACTTTCCTGTGAGTTCACCCATATACACTCAAATTACCCACCTGTTTTCCCCATCTGGTCTGTTTCTATTATCTATATACACTCACCGGCCACTTTATTAGGTACACCATGCTAGTAACGGGTTGGACCCCCTTTTGCCTTCAGAACTGCCTCAATTCTTCGTGGCATAGATTCAACAAGGTGCTGGAAGCATTCCTCAGAGAGCTTGGTCCATATTGACATGATGGCATCACACAGTTGCCGCAGATTTGTCGGCTGCACATCCATGATGCGAATCTCCCGTTCCACCACATCCCAAAGATGCTCTATTGGATTGAGATCTGGTGACTGTGGAGGCCATTTGAGTACAGTGAACTCATTGTCATGTTCAAGAAACCAGTCTGAGATGATTCCAGCTTTATGACATGGCGCATTATCCTGCTGAAAGTAGCCATCAGAAGTTGGGTACATTGTGGTCATAAAGGGATGGACATGGTCAGCAACAATACTCAGGTAGGCTGTGGCGTTGCAACGATGCTCAATTGGTACCAAGGGGCCCAAAGAGTGCCAAGAAAATATTCCCCACACCATGACACCACCACCACCAGCCTGAACTGTTGATACAAGGCAGGATGGATCCATGCTTTCATGTTGTTGACGCCAAATTCTGACCCTACCATCCGAATGTCGCAGCAGAAATCGAGACTCATCAGACCAGGCAACGTTTTTCCAATCTTCTATTGTCCAATTTCGATGAGCTTGTGCAAATTGTAGCCTCAGTTTCCTGTTCTTAGCTGAAAGGAGTGGCACCCGGTGTGGTCTTCTGCTGCTGTAGCCCATCTGCCTCAAAGTTCGACGTACTGTGCGTTCAGAGATGCTCTTCTGCCTACCTTGGTTGTAACGGGTGGTTATTTGAGTCACTGTTGCCTTTCTATCAGCTCGAACCAGTCTGGCCATTCTCCTCTGACCTCTGGCATCAACAAGGCATTTCCGCCCACAGAACTGCCGCTCACTGGATATTTTTTCTTTTTCGGACCATTCTCTGTAAACCCTAGAGATGGTTGTGCGTGAAAATCCCAGTAGATCAGCAGTTTCTGAAATACTCAGACCAGCCCTTCTGGCACCAACAACCATGCCACGTTCAAAGTCACTCAAATCACCTTTCTTCCCCATACTGATGCTCGGTTTGAACTGCAAGAGATTGTCTTGACCATGTCTACATGCCTAAATGCACTAAGTTGCCGCCATGTGATTGGCTGATTAGAAATTAAGTGTTAACGAGCAGTTGGACAGGTGTACCTAATAAAGTGGCCGGTGAGTGTATGTCTGGTGATACCTGCTGTATTAGTTTGTCCCACCCTTCGTCCACAGACACAAAACTACTACTAGTCAAAGGAACAATGCCAACACTGACGCATGTATGATCTCTAATAAAAGTGAGGAGAAGTAATTTAGTTTTGCAGCATTTAGGAAACTGCAGAAAAGTACATCCCAAATCTGAGACAACACAAATAACTGAGCCCAGGATCTTAAACCGAGACGTTGAAATGATCACTGTGAGAACTCAAAACACCTGCTGAACAAGCTGGTGAAATAAAGAAACTTCAATCTGGTCTGGTGTTAAAATTTTTTTAAGATTAACTCGTGATCGCAGCTCTCTATTTGGTTTAAGCATCAATAATAATAGAAGTTTGATATCCTGAAAACTGAACCTAGCCCTCTGACCTGCCCACTGTGAACAAACACACGAATCTAGAGTCGTGATTCTGAAGTTTTTAGTTTCTGTCTTCATTATTTTCCACCTGACGTAGTCGCCAATTTTATGCCTGATGTTCATGTTTTGAAAATAGCACGTGAACTTTCGCAGTGAGGTCTCAAGTCAGCACAATAGAGGTCCCAGAGAAGCAGCTATTCTCCCCATTAGTCCAAGCCTCACTTATCATCTAGATTGTGCGCCGCCTAACTAGCAAATTTTTTCTTAACACGCCCTGATTCGCTTGTCATCATGCACTTTGGAGCGTGTGTTTCCAATTGTTAAAATAAGGCCCTAAATGTATTCGTCAATGAAATATAAGCACTTAACTCGCAGAATAATGAGGTGTGTTATTGTACTGTAAAAGTAAAGTTGAGGTGAGGCTCATTGCTGAAGTTTTTGCAGGTGAGAGGAAACAGCACAGAAAGAGAAGACTCAGCAGAACAGTAAGGAATAAGATCTGGGCCTCTGCTGCGTTTCCTCCGGCATAATTGCAGCCTCAGAGATTTTAGACTATCCAGCATACAACTACAGCTTCCACGGTATGTACATCATCCCGGCACACGGTCTCCAGGCACTTGTGAAAATGTTCTCCACACCTATGAACAAATACACCCTGAGACGGACCGGCTCCCAGCTTACTGGACTTTTTCTACGGGCTCATATATCCCAGCCTCCTTTTTTCCTCTAATGGTCAGCACAGCTTCAGGACTGAGGCAGAGATGTGGCAGCTGATCTGTGCAGATAAAACATCTAGGTTACATCCCCCTGGATGTCCTGTAACCTGACTTGAAACACATTTTCCACCTCATTCAGTCACGTGAACGAACTCTTGATGTTTTTGTGTTTGATTCTGAGGAGGAAATCGTCTCCTGAGGGGACAGAAACATTTCCCACCTGCCTCTCTATTCTCAATTGTAGCCGGTTGCATAATACCGATTTTTTTTCCACCACCAGGTTTTGATGATTTTATGTGGAAACGATGAGCTCAAGGCTTTATGTGTTTTAGTACTTTTCAGCTCTGGATTTTCTGAATTTCAGTGAACTTCGGGCAGAGCTGCCTGTACTTTTTGGAAAGAGGATTAACTGTTTTGGGAAATATTAGAAAGGCTGATTTTAAAAAGCTCTGCTTTACAACTTTAACTACACGGGCTCAAAGTGATCAGTGCTCTGTGAATTTTCTCCAGACTTCAATAAAGACTGTGGGTAGAGCTAACAAGGCTTTTTAAAAGCCAGATTTATCAAGCCACTTCTCTCGCTCTCAATCTGTCAGAGCAACCTTTAGAAGTTGTTTCCAGCCCGAAAATTGAACCAAAGAGACTCGCTATTTGGAAACACAATATGAGAGCAGACTCTAATGAAGTCTTGCAGATAATATTCAAGTCCCTGCTTCGGCTGTGGTGCTTTCTGACGGTCAGGCCACAGTCGGACAAAGTTTGCAGGACATTAGAGAGCATGTTGTGAAACTGAAAAAATATAATGTTGACAAAGTTTGCAAAACGATCCTTTACTGAACCAGACAAGAAGCCTCTGTGCCTGAGCTAAACATAACTACTACACTGATATTGACCGTCACCTTCAAGACCTATTAAACTCATGTAAAACTATTTATCTCATACTGTGAAAACATCTATTTCAGCACTATTCAACCTCAGACTGCTTTGGCTGCTTTGGGAGACAGATTGGGAGTGTTACTTTTTACACAGCTTTGTAGTCATGACACAGATCCAAATTTATGCATTAAAACAAAATGTCTGAGGTTAGACATTAGCATCCATGTTAGAAGCCCATACAATAGCTATAGTCCTATAATGTACTGTTGTAAAGTCCCTTCCAGTTTGTGGCTCTGAGCTAGGGCTGGGCGATAAACTGAAAATTTACCAATACCAACATCATTTTGCCCATGTCAATATATTCAGTGTCAAAAAATTTAAATAAAAGTTGGTATTGAATGTGTGTAGGTAGGCTATGGTCTAGGGCTGGGCAATAAAATAATGATACATATCAAAAATTTATTTACCTCGATATCGATATGAAACATGGTCAATATGCTTTTCGATAGCTGTTAATGTGGGAGGGGGTGAGCAGCTTGTGGAGTAGTTATCATCCATTTATCGTTATCGAGGTTATATAGAGAATATATTGTGCTATTGATTTGAGGCCATATCGCCCAGCCCTACCCTGAGTCATCATGAAAGTCTTTGTAGATGAAAAGCTTCAGGTTTAAGTTACACCTGAGACTCAGATCTAGTGGTAAGCACAAGCAGCTATAACACTGTTGTCCTGATAACATCCAAACTCTCCAGTTTCCCAGAACCTTCAACTTTGAAAAGAGAAAATAGCTGAAACTTTTCATAGAGAGACTTTCAGAGGCAGACTGAATCAACAAAAGCAGAAAAGATGGGAAAGATGAGCAGTGATGATGTTTATGAGAGTGAAAAAACTGGACCGCCCTGCTTTGTATTCAGCCTTTTAATTCTGTTGTCCTTTCTGCAGGTTGGCCTCATGGTTCCAGATGACGCAGCTTATTGAAAAAAAAGGAAATCCTCTCTAAACCCCGCTCTGTGACAGTCAAACTCATTAAATATTGATAGGATTTTCCTATTTTTACGGCGGAATATTTTTACTCTTCCAGCCTCTGTGGCCTTTGACATGTTCTTTATGAAATCCCTCTGAGCATAAAAAGCTGACCTGAATGCAGAGTCAGAGGACTGACCTGAGTCTGCAAGAAACCTGTGAGGACTGCAAACTTTCTTCTTGGGGGGGAAATATTGCAAGCTCGAAAATGATTCCATGAAAGTCAAGAAATATTTCTCTTCTTCTCAAACTCTGAGGCAAAAGCACCCTAAGAGGTTCTGCTCAAAACAAAACAGGCAGGAAAGTTACCAACCTATCATCAATTCACCATTTTTGGACGTCCATTGTGTCTGTTTTCGCTGTCCTGGTTCTGCTCCTCTAACTTGAACCAATCTACCAGAACCCGCCTGTAAGCTTGGTGTAAATAAATCCTAAAAATGTCTGCTCTGTCTGCGTTTGGGTCCATTCCCTGCTGCCCACACTTTAACTGTCACTTTCTGAGAATGGATATGAAGTATATCTGCAAAATGCCAAGCAAGGAGCCGTAAAATAATCCAGAACTTTTGATAAATGAGGCCACAAACACCAGAAACAGAGAAACTCACAGCTAGAAACTATTTTTAATGGCTCTGACACTGACTCAGAGACATTAAACTTCATGAAACATTTAAGTATTGTAGTTAAACCTTGGAGATAACTGAAACTGACAGTGGTGATCCATATTACGGCATGCTGTCCTTGTGGTCCGGCAGCTCGTTTTGTTTCCTTTTAGCGAACGCTAAAAAGAAAACATTTGTTTGATGAACAACCAGGACAGCACTACATGAACATCAGCGTATAATGTGAGATTTTATAGTCAGACTGGAAAAAAGCTTTTATCCCATAAAATGTGGTATTTTTTTACCTTAAACTCATAAAAGTAATTTCCTTTCTTGGAGATTTTACTGTCAGGAGAAATTTTTGTGCTCTGAGACGAGGGGCTGTTTGACAGTCGGATAGAAACAAAGGTGCTAAATATTTATTTAAAAACAAACACAAGGAGGATTTAAAGGTGGGGTAGGCAGGATCTGAGTTAGTGCCAGTTTTTGGGAGAAATCTTGAATGTAAACTCTACCCCTCCCAACCAGTTTCCCCTCAGCTCCTCCTCTCCCCTCCCTCTCTGCTCCAGCAAGCCCCGCCCATGAACAGACGCTTCTGCTCGCTCGTATCGTTTCCAATTAAATTCAGATATAATGCAGATAAATACTTCAGATAATTACAAATGGGGCCAAGTCAACTTGAAAGTAAACAGCATTGGTGCTACTGTAGATAACAGACTACCAGCAAACACAATGTTTGCAGGACTTCTACAACTAGGATAAAGTGACATAGTCCAGGACTCAAGGTCACTCGAATGACCCGGCTTCTTAGCTCTTATCCGGCTACCTCCTTTTTAAGCGCCTGTTATTCCTCAGTTGAGGCCAAATGTTTGGATGCTCTTGGAGATTATCCTGCCAGATTTTCTTGCAGTTTCCTGTGATGATTGGAGCTACATTAATATGAAACTGTGAATACTTATCCTGGTTTCCTGTTGAGTAGGGGAACCCCGCAGACAGTCGAAACGCCCGGATTGTCACTTGAACTGAAACAATGGCCAATCAAGGTGCAAGCTGACTGAATTGAAAAAAAAAAGTGAATAAAAACAGCAGGAAAAGTTTCAGTCCTTGACTATCATCAGAGTTGGAATGAATGATGGAAACCTGCTATTTTATTCACCTTTTTTGCACTGCGAGCTCCTATTATTTTGAACACTTACGTCCCTATTTGCATTTTCTCAGCTTGTCAACCTTCGCAGGCACTTCAGCTGTCATTACTCCAAATTTACCGTCAGAACCAGAACACGCAAGAGTCCAATTTACATGCAAGTCCATTTTTATGATACCCTGAATGGGCGCAGTTTCACAACTTTTTGTAAAACCTACTACAATCACTCTGACAAGGAGAGGAATTAGGTGGATTTTTTTCCTACAATTGATGTAACAGGTGAAAAAAAGTGAATACCCACTGAAATCAGCCAGCAATTCTAATGCAAGTGTTCGATTTGTCGATTCGCACTCATCCTGGCTTTAAGCGAAAGTTAGTCCGACTCCATCCTGTGGTTTTATCATCCCCTGTGGCAGCCGTTCACTGACCTCTGACATCAATCGAGAACGAACGCTTATCTTATCGCACATTTTTCCCTCTATCTGACGGCCCACTTAGAGCGCCGTGAGCCGCCTTTTTATTATGTAACAGTGTCACATCCCGCTTCGCCCCTTTACATTATTAATGAGAATAAAAGCCCCCCGCTCCGACCAGAGACCTCCGCATTACATCTTCCAGCGGCACGCATTCCCAAAGGACTCTGCAGAAACATGAAAACAGTATGAATTAAAGAGGCTGTTAATTTCGGTGAATGATTATCCTGCCACTCGTTCGGCGGTATTTTATCTCCGCATCAGTTTGTAGAAAGCATTCATCTCCTCCGGCGACAGAAACCAATAAAACATTCAAACTTTTAAACTGTGCTCAACATTTCTTTTTAGTCTGCGTGAGTGAGAAGGCTATTTTTAATTGAGTTTTGGCTCCAACCCGCGTCTCCCACTGCATCTACTTGAACCTTAATTACGGGGGTCTGCCTGTGCATGAAAGCAAGGTAATAGAAAACGGCCTCAGGTCATCATATTTAATAGTATGACTCATCATTAACACTTGGCAACAGCCATCGATCGGCCGTAAGTGAAAAGAATACTTGAAAACAAGGAGGGGTTGGGTTGGGGGAGGGGGGCTAAGTGCTTCATCAGATAAAACAGAGCAATAACTCAGAGTCAGGATGGAGGGACAGAAGGAGGCTGGTGGTGTTTTTCTCACCCTAAAGGGGGTTCATATTTCTGCTCATCAGCGTCACTCTCCTTCGACAGACAACCACAGGCTCCGAGCACTTCCTTCCTCTGACAGCGTGGTTCAGGTCGACCACTCTCACTCCTCTCTTTGCTTCACCAACCGGCAGAAGAAGAAGAGATATTTTATCATCCAGACCAAAATAGTGGTGCAGGAATACAAAATATTTCGCAGAGGCCATCACGTTTACTAATGTAATGGCTTCTTTTTAGACAAAGCCCACATTAAAAAGGTGATTTTTACTCAGTTGGATTCTGATTGGTCAAAACTCTATCACAACGTCAGAAACAGCAAAATCCTGTCAGAGCCAGTAAGAGCATCTTTAAAGTTTGATTCCAATTCATTCCTCATATCACTAACCACATAGCATAGTAAGAAATAAAATGATTTTGCATTAATAAACAATCTCTTCACCTTGAAAATCAAATCTGAAGAGTAATAATTGACAATAAACTACACTGGAAATCACATGTATGCCTTGTCAAATCAAAAGTGTAAATATAACAAGAATTCTGAGTAGGGCTGCACGATAAACCAAAAATTTACAGATACCGAAATTAATGACAATAACCAATGATATTTTGCCCACATCAGTATATTCGGTGTCAAAACAATAAATAAATAAAAGTTGGTTTTGGTTGAGTGTAGGTAGGCTATGGTCTCATGTCTCTTGAAGACGCTGTCCTACGTCAGACGTGACTCTACACCATCCAGTTTGTAAAAAAGAGGGAAAGACAAAGTTAAGTTATCGTCTATTTATCGTTATCGAGGTAAACTGCTCAATATATCGTGGTATTGATTTGAGGCCATATCGCCCAGCTCTCATTCTGAGTAAAACAGAGGATCTCCCCAGCAAAATATAATTGTACAGACCCTAACATTAACTCTAAGTCCCATGACTTGCTCCGTAGAGGATATGGGAAACACAAGACAAACATAACTACTATTTTTTTTAGGCCCTCAGACAACACTGCTTTGAAAACAGACTTGGCTCTGTAGTGGAAGTGACTGCACAGGCTCAAAATCACTCTCAAAAACTGAATCATGCAAAGAGGAAACTATCTAGGTGAAGTGAGGTGGTGACAGGGGATCACAAACTGTGAAGGCTCTACTAATGCTGAACAATATATTTGGGTTTTGGAGCTACATATGTTGCCATCCAGACAACGATTTTTTCAGGGAAAATCTTCATATTTGAGCAAGATAATGACAAACCACATCATGCACGTCTTACTACAGCACGGCTCTGTAGTAGAAGAGTCCTGCTAGATTTCATCATCTACAGTTCATCTAAATAATGTCTCTGTAGGCCTACTGAAGGGATAAAGACCAAAACCAACACTAGATTTCTTTCGATGTACAGTGTGAATTCCTTCAAGTCCCCAAAGCTCCTGAAGTTCGCAACCAAATCTGACCAAATTTTTACTTCCCGCTCTGCCTCTAATCCCTGAGAGTCCACATCACTTGACATTTTTACACAACACTGAAATAAAACTTAGCACTAAACCCAAATATTTGAACAAATCAGTGCATGAAGACTCATAAAGTGTGTTATGGGAGAATAGTAAGTCGTTAACTCCGACGTTTTCATTTGACAGAATCCTAAAGCAGCTTGTAAAAGCGCGAGAGCAGGTAATTCCTAAGTATATGCTGTACAACGCTGGGCCCACTTCCAGTAAATTACTGCTTACTTTTGCCTGCTAGACACTTTTGCACAACTTCCTCAAATTGTCAAAGCTTCCTGTTAACATTCATAATAGCCTCAGCAACTCCTTCAAAGCCAAGAAGCCGAGGAGAATCAGCGTCCACCGACAGTCTGCCAACTCTGCTAAGTATCTCACGCTTATTGTTTCTCTCCTTGGGCGATTCAGATTTTTGAATCTTTTAAATGTTCTGTGCAGGAATACTTGCGAGCTCTCCATCCCCAGCCCTGCGGGGGATGCAACGCACTGCCAAAGACATCGGTTGCCATGGTAACCCTGACAGCACCTCCCCATAAAAGCTCTAATTGATAGCTGCAGAGAATTAAGCATCACGCCCGGATCACTGGTGCTACATGCAGACAAAGGCAATCGACAAAACCCGTGTGCAGAGCTGCGTGTGGCCAAAGCAGGCTTCAGATGTAAGTAAGGGTGCTCTGCTGGGACAAATCTGCTCCCAAATCCTGAACTGTTTTTAAATATACCACATTTGAAGTCCTGTTCACTCATCAGAAAGCAGGGAGTAAAAAAAGCCACTATTGCAAGTTTTTTTTTTTCCAATTGCATGTTGTTTAATTTTCAGAAAACATCATATTTGATATATTGATTTATTGGTTGAATGTTGATCTGGAAACAAATATTTCCAGTTAAAAAAAGGAGAATTTCTCCAGCAGCCCCAAAGGAAAAAAAAAACTTTCCACAAAATTTGATGAGATGCCGTTACTCCACTGAAGTGACTCAGAGTAAATCAGCTTTCTGCTCCAAAATATAATTAGAAATGATTTTTGCATTTACGATGGCAGTGTTATGTCCACACATGTCAATACAGCTTGAGCGTTAAGTCATATTTATGGCTGTATTTCAGCTGCAGCAGCAGAGGGGCCAATGCTGAGTGAGTAAGTATTGAGCTGTGATTCAACAGAAGCCAAAGTTAGGAGAAAAAAATGATCTGACTGTATCTCTGTGTGTCTGTCTGCACAGATGGAGCAGACAGACACCATTTTTTTTCTGTCAACAGAGTGAGCTGGATGAAAAAGCTCACACAGACAGAGAGGACTGCTGGGTTTGAAAACAAGCAACAATGGAAAAGAAACTGTCGGCAAAAACCCAAATTACATGTCTACGAGACATCTAGACATCTGATTAGACTCAAACTATACATCTACAGACATCTGCTGTGGTAAACTGACACAACAACATTACTGCAGGAATCAAAAAGCTGCAATTTAACCCAGATCTGTACAGCCTTGCACATTCAAGTAGCCTGAATTAACCAGAGAGGGTCTTTGCTGCTGCTTTACCTCAGCTATTCATGGATCACATGGAAGGTGTGCCCTCCCAGGCTTGGGTATTCTTGGTATGCATTGGAATAGTGGTAAGCTCTACCCAAAGGTCTTTGCTGCTGCTCTTCCTACCTTTGCTTGCCATCTATGCATACAAAACACATGGGAGGTGTGCTCTCCCTGCCTCATGCTGTGAAATTCAAAGTGTGCACTTGGAAGGGCACTTCACCAAATGAGTCTTTGCTGTTGCTCTACCTGCCTGGGTGTTTAATGTTTGCATATGAAACACATGGAAGATGTGTTCTCCCAATTTTAGGCTTTGGTATTCTTTCTATGCACATGAGAGGGCAGGTAGCTTCACCCGAGGGAGTCTTTGCTGCTGCTCCACCTGCCTTGGTGTTTTATGTATGCATATGAAACGTGCTCTCCCAATTCAAGGCTTTGGTTTTCTGTCTATGCATGTGAGAGAGAAAGTAGCTTCATCTAGGGAGGTCTTTGCTGCTGCCCTCCCCTCTTTTGCATGTCATATTTGCATACAAAACACATGGGAGGTGTGCTCTCCCTGCCTCATGCTGTGAAATTCAAAGTGTGCACTTGGAAGGGCACTTCACCAAATGAGTCTTTGCTGTTGCTCTACCTGCCTGGGTGTTTAATGTTTGCATATGAAACACATGGAAGATGTGTTCTCCCAATTTTAGGCTTTGGTATTCTTTCTATGCACATGAGAGGGCAGGTAGCTTCACCCGAGGGAGTCTTTGCTGCTGCTCCACCTGCCTTGGTGTTTTATGTATGCATATGAAACACATGGAAGACGTGTTCTCCCAATTTTAGGCTTTGGTATTCTTTCTATGAACATGAGAGGGCAGGTAGATCCACCCTTGGGGTCTTTGCTGCTTCTCTCCCTTCTTTTACATGACCTGTTTGCGTACAAAACACATGGGAGGTGAACCATCTCTGCCTCAGGCTGTGAAATTCAACGTGTGCACTTGGAAGGACACTCCATCAAATGAGTCTTTGCTGCTGCTCTACCTGCCTTGGTGCTTAATGTATGCATATGAAACACAATGAGGATGTGCTCTCAGGCTTTGGTGTTCTTTCTATGAACATGAGAAGGCAGGTGGCTCCACCCGGGGGAGTCTTTGCTGCTGCTCTACCTGCCTTGGTGTTTAATGTATGCATATGAAACACATGGAAGATGTGTTGTCCAGATTTCAGGCTTTGGTATTCTTTCTATGCATGTGAGAGAGCAGGTAGCTTTTTGCTGCTGCCCTCCCCTCTTTTGCATGTCATATTTGCATACAAAACACATGGGAGGTGTGCTCTTCCTGCCTCAAGATTTAGCATTTGACAGATGCATGTGGAAGGACATTCATAGGGATGGACAATATATTTTATGGCCAATAGAGGAAATATAGTATATAATTATTCAACACACTAGTAAAAAAAATTAAACTCAACCTCTAAAAGCTGACTTTTTTATTGAAGTCATGTGACCAAAGGAGGAGCCATAAAAATCTCTTGAAAATCACATCACTAAACCATCTCCTTCGTTAGGTAAAGGATCATGTTACACCTGGTCTACAGCTGTTTGCTCTATGTTCTAGTCTAGTTACTCTTCCCAGGTCTGAAGCTGCTGTAACCGGAGGCAGGGGAGAGAACGGACACTCAGGAGGGGATACAGCAAGTGTGGGGGAAGCCGTAAGAGCTGCCATTATTTGTGTGTTCAGGAGTCAATTACACAGCAAACACAGCAGCAGTCATAAATATGGATCTACACAAAACAACAGCACGTCAGTCAAAGGCTTTAAAATGCAAGTACTGCAGAGAGATAGAGCTGCTGCATTTCATGTTTGCACTGAGGGAAAAAGACTAAAGCAAATCATTGACTCTCATCAAGTAGCTGTGTTAAGTGATTTTAAATGATCACAGGTGTAACATCTAGTGTCCATGACAAAAGCTAAAAGCTTCAGTGCTCTGAAGGGTTTATTTCTTCTCTGAGATAATCTAGTTTTTGAGTTACATGGCAGCTGGTGCAATACTTTCATAATTACACTCAAAGCCACAGCGTGCAAAAATTCTGTGTTTTATGTCAGCTTGAATAGACTTAAAATCTAATGAATTTCAGATGGAAGGATGTGGCACCATTAAGTCTTGAGGAAAGCAGGTCATACAAGGCAAAGGCAGACAGCGTGCTGAGATGCTGGTTTGAGCAAAATAACCACAGACTCATGTGAGTAATGTTAGCTATGTAACATAACCCAAACATCTCTTTGTACTATTCATTGTCTTTATCTAGACTTAGGAAGTAGTTCAGTGTAAAGAAACCAAAGAAAGCTGCGGCTAAAATTAAGAGTTCAGGCCAAAAAAACGTCATGTCACTTTTACCCCGTCTAAAAGGTCTTAACATGCCCCTGTTCGTTGGTGCATACCTCACCCCTGAGTTTATTATTTGACAAAAACAGAGAGGCATTTGCATCAAAAGACAGCAAGACTTCATCGAAAATAGCTGCTGAAAGGTAAACTAATGTTTTTGCCAGTGTCAACAAGCAGAAGTCAAATGTGCCAAAACTATTTTTCACATATTGATTCGATATGTGATCTCCTTGTCTCTGGCATTGTCTCGGCCATACAGACTAACCTGGGATTTCCACCACATCCAGAACGGCTCTGATCCGGAACGGTGGCGATTTTCGCTGTATGCCAATTCCTACCGGATCCGTTTGTGATGCGAATTTTGTTGCGGATTACAGACAGCAGGAATCACAAGAACTTACAGGACCCCGCAGATTCATGATAACAAGTTGTCTTTAGCCATATAGGCTAACCATATAAACAGTAGACTGTGTCCTTCCAGAGGAGGAAATCTACTTCTAGACTTATAAAATCAGCATCCTCGCATCCATGGTGTCATCGGGATGAAATGCTGTCTATAAACCTTTCACTTGTTCGTCCCCGCCAGATGTTTTATTTTGTGTCTGTGCCCGACTTCCTTTCTTGCACGGGTTAATCAGTGCTGAATTTATCCGGCATGCTCCAGCGTCCCGTAAAATTAGAACCCTTGCGATCAGCTGCAGAGTCCGGCGATCTGCAGCTGAATGAAAAGAAGCGGGTGGAAATTGACACATTAACTTGAATGGTTACGACCAGCTAAGATTGGCAGATATGGCTTTTTCGTAAACATTCCTGATGCGGTGGAAATTGGGGGTAAATAACCAACCAAGACATCCAGGTGATAAATGCTGCCAAAAACTACAAACTGCACCTTTACTAAGGGGATTTCTGCAATATTGTCAACTTTAATCAATGATGCTGAACCTACATCTTTCTACAGAGACTTGAATATTTGCTTCTTTTATCAGCTTTTTGACATTATGACTGTCTACGGAGTTACTGTTGGGAAACACAAGAAAATTTCACTGCAGAGTGAAAAAAAAAAAAAACATCAGGTTCTGCTTATTATCCGACTTTGAGATTTTCATCCATCACATCAATTTCTCCCAGTTGCAGTCTTCATTTCTAGCACAGGATGGATATTAAATGGAAACACATCTTGCAGAAAGGTGGAGAACCAGAGGAACAAAAAAAAAATCTTCTAATTAAATGAATCCCAGACCTGCGCTGTGGCGGCGCTGGGGGAGGACACGGAAATTGCATCAAGCAAATCTGGGGAGTGGAACCCATATGGCTAATGGATGTGGGTTATGATATTGTTTTGGAAGGCTCCACAACATGCCGTCCTTCAGATGCTACAGCCCTACAGACCTCCACAAATCATCACTGCAGGATAATAGAAACCAGCTGATCAGACCCAAGAGGAAGGCATGCCAGGGGGAAGAAGACGAAGGAGGAGAGCGGTCTGAATAATGATGACGGTCACCTTAGTCGTATATCACCGCCATCCTGAGAGAAGATGACTTGGATAAGATTGTCAGCGTGGACAAATTCCTGCACCGTTCTCAGATTTCAATCCCACAAGCCTCCTCTCCATCCGTCTGCCTCCTCCTGCCTCTATAATCACTGGCTAAACCCGAAATTAATCCATGTTGTAGTCACCAAAACACGACTTTGTAAATTGGACGTAGCAGGTCGGCCATCATGAATTTGGAGTGATGACACAGCATCACACCGCCAGGCCTGACTTCCTCTGAAGCGTCTCACCCTCTCAAGTTATCAGGAAGCGGTACCCAAGGTCAGGTTGGTACAGTAGGTAGGTCTTTCCCTGAATATTGGATGGATTCAATTAGCGCTCCAGCAAAGGAGAACGTGAGTGAAATGTAATAACCGGCTCGGTGTGAGATTGATGCTGTGAGAGGCTGCTGTAAAATCAGACTGATAGACTCGCGCTCTGCTCTTTTTTTCTTCACTGTTTTACTGGAGTTGGCAGCCTCGGTTGTTTTTCGTCTGCGCTTCATTTGTTACTCGGAGAAGGTCATCGGCGAGCATGTTCAGGCTCTTCCTCAATGTCCAGCAGCACCGCGCCCACAGGAGTCATTAGGACGATTCGCTGTCCCTGCCGCTGCTAACTGCACGCCATCATGACCTCTGCAGCTCAAATTAGACTCACAGCGACACTTCTTCTGATGACACCCTCACCACATAACACAAGGATATATCAGAGGATATATCAAAGTTTCATAGCTGTCAAACATCCAACAGAAATCCTGACACAAGGCCAAAAAAAGTTAGGATGTTATGTACTGAATGTTTTCCACTCCCATCAGTCCATCTCTCTGGTGTTTCTGGATCATGTTTACATCTGGTTTCTCTTTACATGGTTTGGTTTAAACTAGGGGTGGGAGACAAAATCAATACAGTACAGTATCGCGATATTTTGTCTGGTGATATACCGCATCGTCTCATTAACCAAGTAGCTATTTTTCAAATTAATTCCTAACATGAAGTCAAATCTATGATAAAATCGACTGTTTGTCCAGTGAGGTTGGCAGAGGTGACACCACAGAGCAGGAGAAAGTTAGTGCAACAAATATATATAAGGTTTGCAAGATGTGCTACCTGAAAATAAAATACAAGGAAAGCCAAATTCTGAATTAGCTCAGTAGTTGCAAAAATTATAGAAATCGCAATATATTGTATCGCAATACTCACTGTATTGCAAAATGTAAAAAATCACACTAAAATCAGATCGTGGCCCAAGTATCGTGAAAATATCTTATCATGTGGTCACTAATGATTCCCACCCCTACTTTGCATTTGCAAATGTAGTGACAAACTGTTTTTACAGACAATGATTATTGGAGATGATTTTGAGCCAATGCTGTGATTTCCACTACAGAGTCATGTCTGTCTACAGTGCTGCCTGCAAAGCTAGCCCATGTTGCTCTTGATCACAGTATGCCTGTACGTCAAAAACACAATAAAAGTGTGTTTACAGTACATGTATAGGAGGGTCTTTCTCCTGTCTACACACAACTAGGGACGGGGCCGATCCAATCCAGTATTGGTATCGGGTTCAGATACCAACCAGATGGTTCGAAAATTTCCGATCCATTAGTCATGTCTTTTTCTTTCACTATGTTTGCTGAAATGACTGTACAAGTGAGTCTTGCCGGTCAGTGTGCTGGCTGGCAGGAAACTGCGAAACAGATTTCCTGAACGGAGGTGTGTCTCATTAGCCCTGTTTACATGGGTCCAAAAATCCTATTTAAAATCAGATTGAAAGATCAATCAGATTCAAAATGTCTCATATAAACACCTTAGCCAATCTGATTCACCTGGATCTGATTGTATTTCGGGTCGGATTGTAAGAGGTAGTCTACGCCGATTGATAATCCGCTCCAAGCTCCATATATACGGCTGAGTGGAGCAGATTGGGTTTACAGAGAGGCTTGTTCGGTCTGCGCAGGCACTCCGTAGTACGTAAGAGGCACGTAGTGTCGTGCGCAGGTAAACAGGAAGCAGGAAGTGCACCTCTTCTTCTCTTACACATTTGCAGGTAGTGGCAGAGTGACCTTCTGCACATGTAAAAAAAACAATACGATCGGATTCAGCTGGGGCCATGCAAATGCGGATTGAACGTGGATCGCTTTACTTAAAGTTCATGTATACAGATGGAATCAGATTCACTTAATCCGATTGATTTCAATCAGATTGAGGAAAACTACCCATATAAACAGGGCTACTTGAGATGAAACACGCCCCCGTTAAGGAAATCCATTCCACAGTTTGCAGCCAGGCCGCTATCAGGCTAGCATTGAGCAGCACTCCGGCTAGTGAACTTTTCCACACAACATGTCTGCCATGTGGAAATATTTTACAGTCCAAACGCTGCAAAGTAAGACAGCAACGTACAATGTTTGCAAAGCAGTTATTCAGAGAGGCGGATCCTCTGTTGCAACGTACAATACCACTACTGTAATCAAACATCTGAAAAAGCACCACATGAAAGAGCACAACGATTTTTTAGCCAGGGCACAGAAAGAGGAAAAGAGCCACCAGGAATTACTCCTGGAGTCAAACCAAAAGCAAGGTAAACTTCCAGCAGACAATAAACAATAATGATAAAAATGATGATAAAGCTAACAGAGCTCTGGTATCGGAATAGTATCGGTATTGGCAGATATCCAAATTCAGGAATTGAGATCTGATCGGATGTGAAAAAATGTGGATCGGTGCATCCCTACACACAACAACAGCTGCAGTTGTTGCATAAAACAACTGCAAACATATCATGAAGCTTTAGAGTTTGAGATCATTTTACACATTTCAGTGAGATAAACCTGTGAGATGTTTCAATTTCAAATGAAAGTTTAAAAGACTTTGTTTTTCATGAATCCATACAAACAGAGATGAAAACTTGAAAGGAGGTCCAAACAGTATTCAGATCAATAATCAGACATTCAGCCATGATCGCCCTTAAATAACTCTTCTTTAGTTTTCAGCAGATAAGTGAAGTGTGAAATAACTCCTGACTGATGTTCCACTCCTGTTATTTTTACACCATCATGCAATATTGAAGCTCGGTGCAGCAGGCTCTCTGTGTTAATGGAAATCAAACTTTAACACTTTACTGTCCGAATAACACGCCGTAGAAACACTTAAGTCCAAAAATACCACTCCTGATGAAACTCTTCCTCTATGTTTACCAAAACAACTCTACTCTGATAGTTTCATGATGTACCGTCTATCGGAAAGCTTCTTGAGTTCGATAAAGACACGCAAAAGACTCAGACTCAGAGTCCAGACATGCATTACAGCAAACTTTCAGAAGCTGTCGAGCACAGTCAGGTGTAATAGGAGCAGTATCATCACCCTGACGTTAAACAAAAGCCTTTTTAATATCAAACACGCCAAATGTCGCTCATTACTCTGCGCTTTTCATCTTCATTCTCCCTGTCTGCCACAGAGCTTTAGGCACTTAACCAATAAGAAAAGCCCTATTAGAGACTTAATGCAGAATAATGATGACAGGCAGAGGCACAGGAAATATCACCTGTCGCCTGAGACAAGACGGATGATGCACCGACACAAACACAGCGGGGAGAGAAGATGAAATGATGCTCTGGATGTGTGAGTGGACCACAGAACTAAACCTCTCCGCATTCTGACGCTGCTGTATCTATAAAAAAGTGTGAAAACCAGACAAAGATCTCTTGGAGTTCATGATCTTCAGAATCAACTCTGCGAGGTTCACTTTGCTCCCAGCTCAGGCGTGCACTTGTAAAGATTTTTGGTCTTTGAAAAATACATGATGTTTGATCATTGAGCTGCAGCACCAGGAGAGCTTTCCTGCAAGGGGGGGAGTTTCAAATTTGATTTGCAAGTGGATCATTCACGAAGAATAAGAATGAAACCGTCTAACTGAGCTGAACGGGGCTCAGGACCTGCAGAAACAGTCAGGCTCTGCAGAAAAGAGCACATTACAAAGTAGCAGAAGGTCACCATGAAGTCGTTAGAGGCTCCACTGGGACGCTTGATCATTTATCATCCCCACTAAGCAAACACGCAGACCTACAAGAAAGATAAGAGAGGCGAGTTTACCTGTTTACCGGGATCCTCATCCGGACACAGCGGCTACCCTTCCACCCGGACTCTCAGGGGGGAGCAGCCGGTAAGCAGCGGAGGTCAGAGAGCCTCTCCGAATGCCCCCTCGGAGGAGTGTGTGTGTGTGCTCGGCTCAAACACAGCAGGTGTGGAAGTGAAGAGGTGCTCCAATCCGGATGTTCCGCTCCGCGTGCAGCCCTGCGCGCTCCGGTAGTCAGGTGCGCAAAACAAACCTGCAGACACAACACGAGGGAGGCGTCCCGTCGCGCAGGGGATCGCTGCCTCTTCTCTCAGTGAGATAAACAGGCAGAGGAAGTCCACTTGAACCGGAGCGCCCTCCTCCAGCACCCCGCGGAACAGAGTGGCAGTGGAGACGCGTGGAGCAGCTCGGTGTGGCGCTGAAGAGAGGAGGAGGAGGGGGTTGCATGGGGAGAGCCGGGGCGTGTTCCTGAAGGAGGAGGGTAATAAAGAGGAGAAGGAGGGAGGGTGTGTAAAGATTCTTAGCTCAGTGTGAGTGGTAAAAACTTTACATAGCGACAGTGTGGGCAGGGTAGGGCTTGGAGAGCCCAGCTGTTTTCCGGGATTTGGCGGTTTCCGGTTAATTGAAGAGGACAGGTGTTACCTGAAGGAAATCCGGGTCAGCCTGAACTTTCTAAACGAATCTGTGTAAACTTACAAAGCTTTAAAATTTAACATTTCTTTCAAAATTGAGACGGCACAGGGTGGAGAGAATCAAACAAGGAAAATAAAGCCGGGAAAAATCTAATATTTATAATAATGCAGGCAGAGCCGGCCCAAGCCTCAATGGGGTCCTAAGCAAAATTTGATTTGAGGCCCCCTATTTCTGCCAAAAATATTGATTGTTGATCATTCACATACCTACTACTGTATATATTTAATGCCCCTGACATTTCTTGACACATTTAAGGCGGTGGCCGAGGTGATAGCATAAGTAATACCACTGCAACCATACAAATAATACAAATGAATGACTGGTGAATGATGTTCAGAGTGCCACATATAGTTTTTAATCTCAAAATGTAACACATTCAGGATGCTCGGTTCACATTGCACAGCAGGAGGCACATAACGGTAGCAGAGCTTTGACAAATCGGTAGGAATCAAAGTCCGACATCAACAGCAGCACTAAAACTTTTTTACGTTATTTTATTTTTACAATAATATATATTTGATCATACAGAAAGCACTATACATGCAAAAAAAAAATTTAATATTTAAAATTTTTATCTTTATTTATTTATTTATTTTTTCTCTTGGTGGCCCCCTACTGGCCCTAAGCAGGGGCTTAGTTCGCTTATGCCTTGGGCCGGCTCTGAATGCAGGAAAAGTAGTGAAAATTTCAATAATCTAACTGACTGGCAAAAATGCCTCTGTTTTAAAAAAGTAGACCGTTTTTGCAATTTTTCCCAAGATCTAAAAATGATGTTTCTACAACCTTGTAAAAATTGCTGACAAAATTAAGATCACAGTCTGAAATCAGGCTCCAAATCTGTTACATGAATTTTACTTTGAAGAACAGGCTAAAGAAAACTGCTTCATGTCTTCAAAGAGTTCATGTACAGAAAAATGACAAAAGGGCCTAAAATAAGGCCCTGAGGAATACCATATTCAATATCGTAAGTTTATGAAACAGAATCAGTGACTGCTGACGCACCACACACCACAATAGCTGGCTTAAAATTACATTTGCACTACCTTCAGAGTGCAACATGTTTTCTTCATGTCTAGGATTTACAAGACACTAAAATATTGTAAATTTTGATATTCATGCATCTCGGTTGGAGATAATTGGAAGCTAATTATGTGCTGTAACACACGGATAGCTCTCAGCCGCTGAGGTGAGCAGTGGTTCAGCGTCACAACAACACAGCTGGAAGAGTTGACAAAAATAAGAAAGACACACAGAGGCAGGAAAAAGTGGCTAAATGACTACTACACCCCTCTGCAAACTTACCAGGATGCATTGCTTGCATTTTAGATGACCTTTTAGAAGTCTAATGGGTAAATTCTGGTGGATTTTGGATGTCCAATGTTCCACCTAAGACAATCACGTCTCATTAAGGGAAACAAAATTCGAGCTTTGTTATCAGTGATGTTTTTAGCTTGTTATTGTCTCGTCTTTGTCATGGAAAAAGGGTTGTCAACAAACATTCATCGTCATAACTTTTCGTTAACAAAATGAACACTGTCCAAACTGAGACGAGATTGAAAACGGAGTTCCTCTGACTAAATTTTGAGATCAACAAAAGACGGGATTAAAAATGACCTCAATCTACCAAAATTTTCTGAAAATGACTTAAACTAAAAGCATGGAGTGAAACGGCCTTTACGTGCGATCAGCAGTATTTGAGCTCCCTCTCTGATCACCCATCTCCTCCTGAGTAAGCCGTCAGCCTGACGCAGCACTTTTTCAGCAGCCCGTTCTGCACGTGTGGAGGTCCTGCTGCTCCGTCCCAATCTCTCCTTAACAAACAGCTATTTGCGGAGTCGTGGTGTCTCGCTCGTCTGCTTTGTGCTGCCAGATGGTCCTGCGTAAGAACTTTGAATTATTCAGCCATCCCACAGCAGATTGAAGCTGTCATGCATAAGACAACTTGGCTGGCCTCTTCCTGTGCAGGGGAACACCAGCAGATGAGTGCATGCAGCCTCTGCAGGTTACGCAACTCCACATTGAAATTTCACCCATGCACAATTCAGTCTCGGCTCCAAATTTCCTGCAGAATGATCTTTTCTCTCTCTCTCTCTCTCTTCCAGATCAGACTCAAAGCGAGATGAGAATCATAAATTATTCACCTGATCCGGCTTTTATGTGCGAATGCTGAGCTTACAGCAGCGCTGGCACATCTAGAAACAAGCAGTTAAGCTTTTTAATAGATACACAGAGTCTGTTTGTGCCATTCTCTAATGCATCACATTAAGCAGAGTGTGTCAGACACAATTATGGAAATGACTAAAGTTGGACAAGTAAGCGAGAAAAGCCATAAACCAAAACATTGTCATAAATTTCCTGAAAGACATCATGTGGGTCCTCAGACGTTTAATGTGCAACAATTACCATAGCAGCCATTAGTGATATTAGAGTGAAGCTTTACTGATGGCAGGGATCATGATTAGAGCCATCATTTAGCAGGATAACTCCTGTCACTTTAACTGAGCCAATGACACCGTGAATACACGCCATTACCAAACAGAGTCGGATAATATATCACCACATTAGGGCTGATAAATGTTCCATATTTCACTTCCTCCTCGTGCCTACCTCATCCTGCAGCCGCACTCCGTCAAGGTTGAGCTGATGTGAACTGAATGATACGGATGTGGTTTTGTTTGCAGTCAAAGTGAAGGTGGGGGGTCTAATCCTTTCATAACGCGGTGAGGAAGAAATCCACTCCTTTGCGCGGAGGGTGCTGTGTGTGTCCTCCTGATTGTGTATGTATGTGCGCGCTGTAATCACCTGAGAGAGGAGAGGCCCCATTAATCCGGTTGGGAGTTGCTGCTTTGATCTCTGGCTGAGTGGCTCTACAGGAGGCTCTCAGCTCACCTCCTCCGCTAAGAATCACTCAGAAACAGAGAGGAGACTCCTTCTGTGAAATGGGTTAATAGCGAATCTTCAGTGGAGAGGCTGTTCGGCTGCGACCTGCCGCAGAGGAGTGAGGCTCATTTCTAATAAGTGGTTCAATTTCAGACGAGGGCCCTCTTCACGCCGGGCAAACAGGCTGGTTATGTGCTCAACAAAGCTACCTGTGTGACCGAAATTATCAATTTGTGATCCTTACAGTGTAATTGCAGAGGTGCTTCACTGTAAGTGTCGACTAATTGCATCTGATTATTGTATAAGTGCACATACAGTCTCTGTAGATCTGAAACAGTTTGAAAATATCAGCAGACTTTATGCAAATTCACATGGAGCATCACGAGTATTTCTCTGGAACATTCGCACCAACATGGATAAAAATGACTTCTTTTATCAATGAATTTGCATGACACAAAATCATCAACTCACTTAAAGGTAGGGTAGGCAGGATCTGAGGAAGTGCCAGTTTTTGGGAGAAATCTTGAATGTAAACACGACCCCTCCCAATCAGTTTTCCCCTCAGCTCCTCCTCTCCCCTCCCTCTCTGCTCCAGCAAGCCCCACCCACAAACAGACGCTCCTGCTCGCTCGTATCGTTTCAGTTAAATTCAGATATAATGCAGATAAATACTTAAGATAATCACAAATGGGGCCCAGTCAATGTGAAAGTAAAAGGCATTGACACTACAGTAGATGCCAACATCTCCTGACAACCTTCATGCTGGTTAGTTATCCTGACGCAAATATCAGCTCAAATTGAGACATTAGCAGCTCCCGCCCAATTTGCGTCTTTGCATTGACTTAACATGTAATTCATTCGCGCGAATGATTTTACTCGCGTTTGGTTTGTGGAGACAGTTACACAGCTGTGGAAAGAAGTGAATATGGTGGACATCTTTGCTAGATAGATCATTTTTTCTAAGTTCTCCTTTGATCACCAATTGAAACCAAACGTTTTAAAAAGATCGTAGCATCTCTAGTGTTAAAAAAATAGCTATGTCTGTGATTTTTTTTAAGCTAACCTTAGTCCCTGCTTCTACTGCTCATATCATGTTTACTAGTGTTGATATTTAAGCAACAGTTAAAAAGAAATTGAAGCAGAAATGGTTATTTTCAACCATATCAGAGTGGTGTTTGAAGATACTGGTGAAACTTACAGACGGTGACACTCGGGCATGCAGAGGAGGTTTGGACGTGTCAGAGCGGAGAGGTTGTGCCGAGCTTCTGCAGACTCAGAGGAAGGCTGTGCTGTAAATATTCATGGCCGAGCTGTCAGCGTGCCGGGGCCTCTCTGCTGGCTCCTGTCACTCCATTGATCTCTCATATATGGCATTCACGTCCAGTGACCGCCCGGCCTCGCCTCAGTCATGTGGGAAGAGCTGCCCTTTATTCAACCTGAACCATGTCGCTTCCTCAAGGAGGGGGGGTGCATGCTGATTTCACCAGAAATCTTGCTCTCAGACGACCTTTACCATCAAACATCAGGAGGTGTGAAGTCCCAAAGATCCTTTTTTTTATCAGTCTGTGGTGATCAGAAGTTATAGAGCTGAATGATAAGTTTTCATCTGCAGCGATCCTTCTTCTGTGTCTGTTAAAATTTCCAAAGGGGTTTCCCACAGCTGTAAAATTCAGACATCTTCATGCATGCATTCACTGAGGATCATTTCACATGTTTGCTGGTTATTTATTCATGAAGAACTTAGATATTTGTGATTCTGTTGGATGCAACTTCCATATTTACCTTAAACTGCAGGAATAAGGGCCTTTGTACACCAGCCGCTTCTTTTTTTTCTGCAGAACCAACAACTTCAGTTTAAGAGCTCCTCATCCTAAGTATCATTGTTTCAGTATTTCAC